CACTTCTTCACTGGTGTGCGAGACTGGGTAGGTAGTAGTACCGGTGGTAACATTACCTTCAGAGTCGGTGGAAGTGTAAGTAGAAGTGGTGACTTCTTCTTCACTGGTGTGAGAGACTGGGTAGGTGGTGGTACCGGTGGTAACATTACCTTCAGAGTCGGTGGAAGTGTAGGTAGAAGTGGTGACTTCTTCTTCACTGGTGTGGGAGACTGGGTAGGTGGTGGTACCGGTGGTAACATTACCTTCAGAGTCGGTGGAAGTGTACGTAGAAGTGGTGACTTCTTCTTCAGAAGTGTGAGAGACTGGGTAGGTGGTGGTACCGGTGGTAACATTACCTTCAGAGTCGGTGGAAGTGTAAGTAGAAGTAGTAAATTCTTCTTCACTGGTGTGAGAAACTGGGTAGGTAGTAGTACCGGTGGTAACATTACCTTCAGAGTCGGTGGAAGTGTAGGTAGAAGTAGTCAATTCTTCTTCACTGGTGTGAGAAACTGGGTAGGTAGTGGTACCGGTGGTAACATTACCTTCAGAGTCGGTGGAAGTGTAAGTAGAAGTGGTGACTTCTTCTTCACTGGTGTGCGAGACTGGGTAGGTGGTGGTACCGGTGGTAACATTACCTTCAGAGTCGGTGGAAGTGTAAGTAGAAGTGGTGACTTCTTCTTCAGAAGTGTGAGAGACTGGGTAGGTGGTGGTACCGGTGGTAACATTACCTTCAGAGTCGGTGGAAGTGTAGGTAGAAGTGGTGACTTCTTCTTCACTGGTGTGGGAGACTGGGTAGGTGGTGGTACCGGTGGTAACATTACCTTCAGAGTCGGTGGAAGTGTAAGTAGAAGTGGTGACTTCTTCTTCAGAAGTGTGAGAGACTGGGTAGGTAGTGGTACCGGTGGTAACATTACCTTCAGAGTCGGTGGAAGTGTAGGTAGAAGTAGTCAATTCTTCTTCACTGGTGTGAGAAACTGGGTAGGTAGTGGTACCGGTGGTAACATTACCTTCAGAGTCGGTGGAAGTGTAAGTAGAAGTGGTGACTTCTTCTTCACTGGTGTGCGAGACTGGGTAGGTGGTGGTACCGGTGGTAACATTACCTTCAGAGTCGGTGGAAGTGTAAGTAGAAGTGGTGACTTCTTCTTCACTGGTGTGGGAGACTGGGTAGGTGGTGGTACCGGTGGTAACATTACCTTCAGAGTCGGTGGAAGTGTAAGTAGAAGTGGTTACTTCTTCTTCACTGGTGTGAGAGACTGGGTAGGTAGTAGTACCGGTGGTAACATTACCTTCAGAGTCGGTGGAAGTGTAAGTAGAAGTGGTGACTTCTTCTTCAGAAGTGTGAGAGACTGGGTAGGTGGTGGTACCGGTGGTAACATTACCTTCAGAGTCGGTGGAAGTGTAAGTAGAAGTAGTCAATTCTTCTTCACTGGTGTGGGAGACTGGGTAGGTAGTAGTACCGGTGGTAACATTACCTTCAGAGTCGGTGGAAGTGTAAGTAGAAGTAGTCAATTCTTCTTCACTGGTGTGGGAGACTGGGTAGGTAGTAGTACCGGTGGTAACATTACCTTCAGAGTCGGTGGAAGTGTAAGTAGAAGTGGTGACTTCTTCTTCACTGGTGTGAGAGACTGGGTAGGTGGTGGTACCGGTGGTAACATTACCTTCAGAGTCAGTGGAAGTGTAGGTAGAAGTGGTGACTTCTTCTTCAGAAGTGTGAGAGACTGGGTAGGTAGTAGTACCGGTGGTAACATTACCTTCAGAGTCGGTGGAAGTGTAAGTAGAAGTAGTCAATTCTTCTTCAGAAGTGTGAGAGACTGGGTAGGTGGTGGTACCGGTGGTAACATTACCTTCAGAGTCGGTGGAAGTGTAAGTAGAAGTAGTCAATTCTTCTTCACTGGTGTGAGAGACTGGGTAGGTAGTGGTACCGGTGGTAACATTACCTTCAGAGTCGGTGGAAGTGTAAGTAGAAGTGGTGACTTCTTCTTCACTGGTGTGGGAGACTGGGTAGGTGGTGGTACCGGTGGTAACATTACCTTCAGAGTCGGTGGAAGTGTAAGTAGAAGTAGTCAATTCTTCTTCACTGGTGTGCGAGACTGGGTAGGTAGTAGTACCGGTGGTAACATTACCTTCAGAGTCGGTGGAAGTGTAGGTAGAAGTAGTCAATTCTTCTTCACTGGTGTGAGAAACTGGGTAGGTAGTGGTACCGGTGGTAACATTACCTTCAGAGTCGGTGGAAGTGTAGGTAGAAGTAGTCAATTCTTCTTCACTGGTGTTAGAAACTGGGTAGGTAGTGGTACCGGTGGTAACATTACCTTCAGAGTCGGTGGAAGTGTAAGTAGAAGTAGTCAATTCTTCTTCACTGGTGTGGGAGACTGGGTAGGTAGTAGTACCGGTGGTAACATTACCTTCAGAGTCGGTGGAAGTGTAAGTAGAAGTGGTTACTTCTTCTTCACTGGTGTGAGAGACTGGGTAGGTAGTAGTACCGGTGGTAACATTACCTTCAGAGTCGGTGGAAGTGTAAGTAGAAGTGGTGACTTCTTCTTCACTGGTGTGCGAGACTGGGTAGGTGGTGGTACCGGTGGTAACATTACCTTCAGAGTCGGTGGAAGTGTAAGTAGAAGTGGTGACTTCTTCTTCAGAAGTGTGAGAGACTGGGTAGGTGGTGGTACCGGTGGTAACATTACCTTCAGAGTCGGTGGAAGTGTAAGTAGAAGTGGTGACTTCTTCTTCACTGGTGTGAGAGACTGGGTAGGTGGTGGTACCGGTGGTAACATTACCTTCAGAGTCGGTGGAAGTGTAAGTAGAAGTAGTCAATTCTTCTTCACTGGTGTGAGAGACTGGGTAGGTGGTGGTACCGGTGGTAACATTACCTTCAGAGTCGGTGGAAGTGTAAGTAGAAGTGGTGACTTCTTCTTCAGAAGTGTGGGAGACTGGGTAGGTGGTGGTACCGGTGGTAACATTACCTTCAGAGTCGGTGGAAGTGTAAGTAGAAGTGGTTACTTCTTCTTCAGAAGTGTGGGAGACTGGGTAGGTAGTAGTACCGGTGGTAACATTACCTTCAGAGTCGGTGGAAGTGTAAGTAGAAGTAGTCAATTCTTCTTCACTGGTGTGGGAGACTGGGTAGGTGGTGGTACCGGTGGTAACATTACCTTCAGAGTCGGTGGAAGTGTAAGTAGAAGTAGTCAATTCTTCTTCACTGGTGTGAGAGACTGGGTAGGTGGTGGTACCGGTGGTTACATTACCTTCAGAGTCGGTGGAAGTGTAAGTAGAAGTGGTGACTTCTTCTTCAGAAGTGTGAGAGACTGGGTAGGTGGTGGTACCGGTGGTAACATTACCTTCAGAGTCGGTGGAAGTGTAAGTAGAAGTGGTTACTTCTTCTTCACTGGTGTGAGAGACTGGGTAGGTAGTAGTACCGGTGGTAACATTACCTTCAGAGTCGGTGGAAGTGTAAGTAGAAGTGGTGACTTCTTCTTCAGAAGTGTGGGAGACTGGGTAGGTAGTAGTACCGGTGGTAACATTACCTTCAGAGTCGGTGGAAGTGTAAGTAGAAGTGGTGACTTCTTCTTCAGAAGTGTGAGAGACTGGGTAGGTGGTGGTACCGGTGGTAACATTACCTTCAGAGTCGGTGGAAGTGTAAGTAGAAGTAGTCAATTCTTCTTCACTGGTGTGGGAGACTGGGTAGGTAGTAGTACCGGTGGTAACATTACCTTCAGAGTCGGTGGAAGTGTAAGTAGAAGTGGTTACTTCTTCTTCACTGGTGTGAGAGACTGGGTAGGTAGTAGTACCGGTGGTAACATTACCTTCAGAGTCGGTGGAAGTGTAAGTAGAAGTGGTGACTTCTTCTTCACTGGTGTGAGAGACTGGGTAGGTGGTGGTACCGGTGGTAACATTACCTTCAGAGTCAGTGGAAGTGTAGGTAGAAGTGGTGACTTCTTCTTCAGAAGTGTGAGAGACTGGGTAGGTAGTGGTACCGGTGGTAATATTACCTTCAGAGTCGGTGGAAGTGTAAGTAGAAGTAGTCAATTCTTCTTCAGAAGTGTGAGAGACTGGGTAGGTGGTGGTACCGGTGGTAACATTACCTTCAGAGTCGGTGGAAGTGTAAGTAGAAGTGGTGACTTCTTCTTCAGAAGTGTGAGAAACTGGGTAGGTGGTGGTACCGGTGGTAACATTACCTTCAGAGTCGGTGGAAGTGTAAGTAGAAGTGGTGACTTCTTCTTCACTGGTTTGAGAGACTGGGTAGGTGGTGGTACCGGTGGTAACATTACCTTCAGAGTCGGTGGAAGTGTAGGTAGAAGTAGTCAATTCTTCTTCACTGGTGTGAGAAACTGGGTAGGTAGTAGTACCGGTGGTAACATTACCTTCAGAGTCGGTGGAAGTGTAAGTAGAAGTGGTTACTTCTTCTTCACTGGTGTGAGAGACTGGGTAGGTAGTAGTACCGGTGGTAACATTACCTTCAGAGTCGGTGGAAGTGTAAGTAGAAGTAGTCAATTCTTCTTCACTGGTGTGGGAGACTGGGTAGGTGGTAGTACCGGTGGTAACATTACCTTCAGAGTCGGTGGAAGTGTAGGTAGAAGTGGTGACTTCTTCTTCACTGGTGTGAGAGACTGGGTAGGTAGTAGTACCGGTGGTAACATTACCTTCAGAGTCGGTGGAAGTGTAAGTAGAAGTAGTCAATTCTTCTTCAGAAGTGTGAGAGACTGGGTAGGTGGTGGTACCGGTGGTAACATTACCTTCAGAGTCGGTGGAAGTGTAAGTAGAAGTGGTGACTTCTTCTTCAGAAGTGTGAGAGACTGGGTAGGTGGTGGTACCGGTGGTAACATTACCTTCAGAGTCAGTGGAAGTGTAGGTAGAAGTGGTGACTTCTTCTTCAGAAGTGTGAGAGACTGGGTAGGTAGTGGTACCGGTGGTAACATTACCTTCAGAGTCGGTGGAAGTGTAAGTAGAAGTGGTGACTTCTTCTTCAGAAGTGTGAGAGACTGGGTAGGTGGTGGTACCGGTGGTAACATTACCTTCAGAGTCAGTGGAAGTGTAGGTAGAAGTAGCCAATTCTTCTTCACTGGTGTGAGAGACTGGGTAGGTAGTAGTACCGGTGGTAACATTACCTTCAGAGTCGGTGGAAGTGTAAGTAGAAGTGGTGACTTCTTCTTCACTGGTGTGAGAGACTGGGTAGGTAGTAGTACCGGTTGTACATTACCTTCAGAGTCGGTGGAAGTGTAAGTAGAAGTGGTGACTTCTTCTTCAGAAGTGTGAGAGACTGGGTAGGTAGTGGTACCAGTGGTAACATTACCTTCAGAGTCGGTGGAAGTGTAAGTAGAAGTGGTGACTTCTTCTTCACTGGTGTGAGAGACTGGGTAGGTAGTGGTACCGGTGGTAACATTACCTTCAGAGTCAGTGGAAGTGTAAGTAGAAGTAGTCAATTCTTCTTCACTGGTGTGAGAGACTGGGTAGGTAGTGGTACCGGTGGTAACATTACCTTCAGAGTCGGTGGAAGTGTAAGTAGAAGTGGTGACTTCTTCTTCACTGGTGTGAGAGACTGGGTAGGTAGTGGTACCGGTGGTAACATTGCCTTCAGAGTCGGTAGAAGTGTAAGTAGAAGTAGTCACTTCTTCTTCACTGGTGTGAGAGACTGGGTAGGTAGTGGTACCAGTGGTAACATTACCTTCAGAGTCGGTGGAAGTGTAAGTAGAAGTGGTGACTTCTTCTTCACTGGTGTGAGAGACTGGGTAGGTAGTGGTACCAGTGGTAACATTACCTTCAGAGTCGGTGGAAGTGTAAGTAGAAGTAGTCAATTCTTCTTCACTGGTGTGAGAGACTGGGTAGGTAGTGGTACCGGTGGTAACATTACCTTCAGAGTCAGTGGAAGTGTAAGTAGAAGTAGTCAATTCTTCTTCACTGGTGTGAGAGACTGGGTAGGTAGTGGTACCGGTGGTAACATTACCTTCAGAGTCGGTGGAAGTGTAAGTAGAAGTGGTGACTTCTTCTTCAGAAGTGTGAGAGACTGGGTAGGTAGTGGTACCGGTGGTAACATTACCTTCAGAGTCGGTGGAAGTGTAAGTAGAAGTAGTCAATTCTTCTTCACTGGTGTGAGAGACTGGGTAGGTAGTGGTACCGGTGGTAACATTACCTTCAGAGTCAGTGGAAGTGTAAGTAGAAGTAGTCAATTCTTCTTCACTGGTGTGAGAGACTGGGTAGGTAGTGGTACCGGTGGTAACATTACCTTCAGAGTCGGTGGAAGTGTAAGTAGAAGTGGTGACTTCTTCTTCAGAAGTGTGAGAGACTGGGTAGGTAGTGGTACCAGTGGTAACATTACCTTCAGAGTCAGTGGAAGTGTAAGTAGAAGTAGTCAATTCTTCTTCACTGGTGTGAGAGACTGGGTAGGTAGTGGTACCGGTGGTAACATTACCTTCAGAGTCAGTGGAAGTGTAAGTAGAAGTAGTCAATTCTTCTTCACTGGTGTGAGAGACTGGGTAGGTAGTGGTACCGGTGGTAACATTACCTTCAGAGTCGGTGGAAGTGTAAGTAGAAGTGGTGACTTCTTCTTCACTGGTGTGAGAGACTGGGTAGGTAGTGGTACCGGTTGTAACATTACCTTCAGAGTCGGTGGAAGTGTAAGTAGAAGTGGTGACTTCTTCTTCAGAAGTGTGAGAGACTGGGTAGGTAGTGGTACCAGTGGTAACATTACCTTCAGAGTCGGTGGAAGTGTAAGTAGAAGTGGTGACTTCTTCTTCACTGGTGTGAGAGACTGGGTAGGTAGTGGTACCGGTGGTAACATTACCTTCAGAGTCAGTGGAAGTGTAAGTAGAAGTAGTCAATTCTTCTTCACTGGTGTGAGAGACTGGGTAGGTAGTGGTACCGGTGGTAACATTACCTTCAGAGTCGGTGGAAGTGTAAGTAGAAGTGGTGACTTCTTCTTCACTGGTGTGAGAGACTGGGTAGGTAGTGGTACCGGTGGTAACATTACCTTCAGAGTCAGTGGAAGTGTAAGTAGAAGTAGTCAATTCTTCTTCACTGGTGTGAGAGACTGGGTAGGTAGTGGTACCGGTGGTAACATTACCTTCAGAGTCGGTGGAAGTGTAAGTAGAAGTGGTGACTTCTTCTTCACTGGTGTGAGAGACTGGGTAGGTAGTGGTACCGGTGGTAACATTGCCTTCAGAGTCGGTAGAAGTGTAAGTAGAAGTAGTCACTTCTTCTTCACTGGTGTGAGAGACTGGGTAGGTAGTGGTACCAGTGGTAACATTACCTTCAGAGTCGGTGGAAGTGTAAGTAGAAGTGGTGACTTCTTCTTCACTGGTGTGAGAGACTGGGTAGGTAGTGGTACCAGTGGTAACATTACCTTCAGAGTCGGTGGAAGTGTAAGTAGAAGTAGTCAATTCTTCTTCACTGGTGTGAGAGACTGGGTAGGTAGTGGTACCGGTGGTAACATTACCTTCAGAGTCGGTGGAAGTGTAAGTAGAAGTGGTGACTTCTTCTTCAGAAGTGTGAGAGACTGGGTAGGTAGTGGTACCGGTGGTAACATTACCTTCAGAGTCGGTGGAAGTGTAAGTAGAAGTGGTGACTTCTTCTTCACTGGTGTGAGAGACTGGGTAGGTAGTGGTACCGGTGGTAACATTACCTTCAGAGTCGGTGGAAGTGTAAGTAGAAGTAGTCAATTCTTCTTCACTGGTGTGAGAGACTGGGTAGGTAGTGGTACCGGTGGTAACATTACCTTCAGAGTCGGTGGAAGTGTAAGTAGAAGTGGTGACTTCTTCTTCAGAAGTGTGAGAGACTGGGTAGGTAGTGGTACCGGTGGTAACATTACCTTCAGAGTCGGTGGAAGTGTAAGTAGAAGTGGTGACTTCTTCTTCAGAAGTGTGAGAGACTGGGTAGGTAGTGGTACCGGTGGTAACATTACCTTCAGAGTCGGTGGAAGTGTAAGTAGAAGTAGTCAATTCTTCTTCACTGGTGTGAGAGACTGGGTAGGTAGTGGTACCGGTGGTAACATTACCTTCAGAGTCGGTGGAAGTGTAAGTAGAAGTGGTGACTTCTTCTTCACTGGTGTGAGAGACTGGGTAGGTAGTGGTACCAGTGGTAACATTACCTTCAGAGTCGGTGGAAGTGTAAGTAGAAGTAGTCAATTCTTCTTCACTGGTGTGAGAGACTGGGTAGGTAGTGGTACCGGTGGTAACATTACCTTCAGAGTCGGTGGAAGTGTAAGTAGAAGTGGTGACTTCTTCTTCACTGGTGTGAGAGACTGGGTAGGTAGTGGTACCGGTGGTAACATTGCCTTCAGAGTCGGTGGAAGTGTAAGTAGAAGTAATTGTAGAAATTTCAGTTGTAGTAAATGATTTAATTGAAGATGAAGTTCTTGTTGTTGCAGTGGCATCCGCATTAATAGAAACTAACTTCGATTCTAAAGATGTAAAAGAAATACAATTAGAATTCATAATACCAGAAGAAATACTGACTTCATCTTCACTGGTGTGAGAGACTGGGTAGGTAGTGGTACCGGTGGTAACATTACCTTCAGAGTCGGTGGAAGTGTAAGTAGAAGTAGTCAATTCTTCTTCACTGGTGTGAGAGACTGGGTAGGTAGTGGTACCGGTGGTAACATTACCTTCAGAGTCGGTGGAAGTGTAAGTAGAAGTGGTGACTTCTTCTTCACTGGTGTGAGAGACTGGGTAGGTAGTGGTACCGGTGGTAACATTACCTTCAGAGTCGGTGGAAATGTAAGTAGAAGTAGTCAATTCTTCTTCACTGGTGTGAGAGACTGGGTAGGTAGTGGTACCGGTGGTAACATTGCCTTCAGAGTCGGTGGAAGTGTAAGTAGAAGTAGTCAATTCTTCTTCACTGGTGTGAGAGACTGGGTAGGTAGTGGTACCGGTGGTAACATTACCTTCAGAGTCGGTGGAAGTGTAAGTAGAAGTGGTGACTTCTTCTTCACTGGTGTGAGAGACTGGGTAGGTAGTGGTACCGGTGGTAACATTACCTTCAGAGTCGGTGGAAGTGTAAGTAGAAGTGGTGACTTCTTCTTCAGAAGTGTGAGAGACTGGGTAGGTAGTGGTACCGGTGGTAACATTACCTTCAGAGTCGGTGGAAGTGTAAGTAGAAGTAGTCAATTCTTCTTCACTGGTGTGAGAGACTGGGTAGGTAGTGGTACCGGTGGTAACATTACCTTCAGAGTCGGTGGAAGTGTAAGTAGAAGTGGTGACTTCTTCTTCACTGGTGTGAGAGACTGGGTAGGTAGTGGTACCGGTGGTAACATTACCTTCAGAGTCGGTGGAAGTGTAAGTAGAAGTGGTGACTTCTTCTTCACTGGTGTGAGAGACTGGGTAGGTAGTGGTACCAGTGGTAACATTACCTTCAGAGTCAGTGGAAGTGTAAGTAGAAGTAGTCAATTCTTCTTCACTGGTGTGAGAGACTGGGTAGGTAGTGGTAGCGGTGGTAACATTACCTTCAGAGTCGGTGGAAGTGTAAGTAGAAGTAGTCAATTCTTCTTCACTGGTGTGAGAGACTGGGTAGGTAGTGGTACCGGTGGTAACATTACCTTCAGAGTCGGTGGAAGTGTAAGTAGAAGTAGTCAATTCTTCTTCACTGGTGTGAGAGACTGGGTAGGTAGTGGTACCGGTGGTAACATTACCTTCAGAGTCGGTGGAAGTGTAAGTAGAAGTAGTCAATTCTTCTTCACTGGTGTGAGAGACTGGGTAGGTAGTGGTACCGGTGGTAACATTACCTTCAGAGTCGGTGGAAGTGTAAGTAGAAGTGGTGACTTCTTCTTCACTGGTGTGAGAGACTGGGTAGGTAGTGGTACCGGTGGTAACATTACCTTCAGAGTCGGTGGAAGTGTAAGTAGAAGTAGTCAATTCTTCTTCACTGGTGTGAGAGACTGGGTAGGTAGTGGTACCGGTGGTAACATTACCTTCAGAGTCGGTGGAAGTGTAAGTAGAAGTAGTCAATTCTTCTTCACTGGTGTGAGAGACTGGGTAGGTAGTGGTACCGGTGGTAACATTACCTTCAGAGTCGGTGGAAGTGTAAGTAGAAGTAGTCAATTCTTCTTCACTGGTGTGAGAGACTGGGTAGGTAGTGGTACCGGTGGTAACATTACCTTCAGAGTCGGTGGAAGTGTAAGTAGAAGTAGTCAATTCTTCTTCAGTGGTGTGAGAGACTGGGTAGGTAGTGGTACCGGTGGTAACATTACCTTCAGAGTCGGTGGAAGTGTAAGTAGAAGTAGTCAATTCTTCTTCAGTGGTGTGGGAGACTGGGTAGGTAGTGGTACCGGTGGTAACATTACCTTCAGAGTCGGTGGAAGTGTAAGTAGAAGTAGTCAATTCTTCTTCACTGGTGTGGGAGACTGGGTAGGTAGTGGTACCGGTGGTAACATTACCTTCAGAGTCGGTGGAAGTGTAAGTAGAAGTAGTCAATTCTTCTTCACTGGTGTGGGAGACTGGGTAGGTAGTGGTACCGGTGGTAACATTACCTTCAGAGTCGGTGGAAGTGTAAGTAGAAGTAGTCAATTCTTCTTCAGTGGTGTGGGAAACTGGGTAGGTAGTGGTACCGGTGGTAACATTACCTTCAGAGTCGGTGGAAGTGTAAGTAGAAGTGGTCAATTCTTCTTCACTGGTGTGGGAAACTGGGTAGGTAGTGGTACCGGTGGTAACATTACCTTCAGAGTCGGTGGAAGTGTAAGTAGAAGTAGTCAATTCTTCTTCAGTGGTGTGGGAGACTGGGTAGGTAGTGGTACCGGTGGTAACATTACCTTCAGAGTCGGTGGAAGTGTAAGTAGAAGTAGTCAATTCTTCTTCACTGGTGTGCGAGACTGGGTAGGTAGTGGTACCGGTGGTAACATTACCTTCAGAGTCGGTGGAAGTGTAAGTAGAAGTGGTGACTTCTTCTTCACTGGTGTGAGAGACTGGGTAGGTGGTGGTACCGGTGGTAACATTACCTTCAGAGTCGGTGGAAGTGTAAGTAGAAGTGGTGACTTCTTCTTCACTGGTGTGAGAGACTGGGTAGGTGGTGGTACCGGTGGTAACATTACCTTCAGAGTCGGTGGAAGTGTAAGTAGAAGTGGTGACTTCTTCTTCAGAAGTGTGAGAGACTGGGTAGGTGGTGGTACCGGTGGTAACATTACCTTCAGAGTCGGTGGAAGTGTAAGTAGAAGTGGTGACTTCTTCTTCACTGGTGTGAGAAACTGGGTAGGTAGTGGTACCGGTGGTAACATTACCTTCAGAGTCGGTGGAAGTGTAAGTAGAAGTGGTGACTTCTTCTTCAGAAGTGTGAGAGACTGGGTAGGTGGTGGTACCGGTGGTAACATTACCTTCAGAGTCGGTGGAAGTGTAAGTAGAAGTGGTGACTTCTTCTTCACTGGTGTGAGAAACTGGGTAGGTGGTGGTACCGGTGGTAACATTACCTTCAGAGTCGGTGGAAGTGTAAGTAGAAGTGGTGACTTCTTCTTCAGAAGTGTGAGAGACTGGGTAGGTGGTGGTACCGGTGGTAACATTACCTTCAGAGTCGGTGGAAGTGTAGGTAGAAGTGGTGACTTCTTCTTCACTGGTGTCGGAGACTGGGTAGGTGGTGGTACCGGTGGTAACATTACCTTCAGAGTCGGTGGAAGTGTAAGTAGAAGTAGTCAATTCTTCTTCACTGGTGTGAGAGACTGGGTAGGTGGTGGTACCGGTGGTAACATTACCTTCAGAGTCGGTGGAAGTGTAAGTAGAAGTGGTGACTTCTTCTTCAGAAGTGTGAGAGACTGGGTAGGTAGTAGTACCGGTGGTAACATTACCTTCAGAGTCAGTGGAAGTGTAGGTAGAAGTAGTCAATTCTTCTTCACTGGTGTGGGAGACTGGGTAGGTAGTAGTACCGGTGGTAACATTACCTTCAGAGTCGGTGGAAGTGTAAGTAGAAGTGGTGACTTCTTCTTCACTGGTGTGGGAGACTGGGTAGGTGGTGGTACCGGTGGTAACATTACCTTCAGAGTCGGTGGAAGTGTAGGTAGAAGTCGTGACTTCTTCTTCACTGGTGTGGGAGACTGGGTAGGTGGTGGTACCGGTGGTAACATTACCTTCAGAGTCGGTGGAAGTGTAAGTAGAAGTGATGACTTCTTCTTCACTGGTGTGAGAGACTGGGTAGGTGGTGGTACCGGTGGTAACATTACCTTCAGAGTCGGTGGAAGTGTAAGTAGAAGTGGTTACTTCTTCTTCAGAAGTGTGAGAGACTGGGTAGGTAGTAGTACCGGTGGTAACATTACCTTCAGAGTCGGTGGAAGTGTAAGTAGAAGTAGTCAATTCTTCTTCAGAAGTGTGAGAGACTGGGTAGGTAGTAGTACCGGTGGTAACATTACCTTCAGAGTCGGTGGAAGTGTAGGTAGAAGTGGTGACTTCTTCTTCACTGGTGTGAGAGACTGGGTAGGTGGTGGTACCGGTGGTAACATTACCTTCAGAGTCAATGGAAGTGTAAGTAGAAGTAGTCAATTCTTTCTTCAGAAGTGTGAGAGACTGGGTAGGTGGTGGTACCGGTGGTAACATTACCTTCAGAGTCGGTGGAAGTGTAAGTAGAAGTGGTGACTTCTTCTTCAGAAGTGTGGGAGACTGGGTAGGTGGTGGTACCGGTGGTAACATTACCTTCAGAGTCGGTGGAAGTGTAAGTAGAAGTGGTTACTTCTTCTTCAGAAGTGTGGGAGACTGGGTAGGTAGTAGTACCGGTGGTAACATTACCTTCAGAGTCGGTGGAAGTGTAAGTAGAAGTAGTCAATTCTTCTTCACTGGTGTGGGAGACTGGGTAGGTGGTGGTACCGGTGGTAACATTACCTTCAGAGTCGGTGGAAGTGTAAGTAGAAGTAGTCAATTCTTCTTCACTGGTGTGGGAGACTGGGTAGGTGGTGGTACCGGTGGTAACATTACCTTCAGAGTCGGTGGAATTGTAAGTAGAAGTAGTCAATTCTTCTTCACTGGTGTGAGAGACTGGGTAGGTGGTGGTACCGGTGGTTACATTACCTTCAGAGTCGGTGGAAGTGTAAGTAGAAGTGGTGACTTCTTCTTCAGAAGTGTGAGAGACTGGGTAGGTGGTGGTACCGGTGGTAACATTACCTTCAGAGTCGGTGGAAGTGTAGGTAGAAGTGGTGACTTCTTCTTCACTGGTGTGGGAGACTGGGTAGGTGGTGGTACCGGTGGTAACATTACCTTCAGAGTCGGTGGAAGTGTAAGTAGAAGTGGTGACTTCTTCTTCAGAAGTGTGAGAGACTGGGTAGGTAGTGGTACCGGTGGTAACATTACCTTCAGAGTCGGTGGAAGTGTAAGTAGAAGTGGTGACTTCTTCTTCACTGGTGTGCGAGACTGGGTAGGTGGTGGTACCGGTGGTAACATTACCTTCAGAGTCGGTGGAAGTGTAAGTAGAAGTGGTGACTTCTTCTTCAGAAGTGTGAGAGACTGGGTAGGTGGTGGTACCGGTGGTAACATTACCTTCAGAGTCGGTGGAAGTGTAAGTAGAAGTGATGACTTCTTCTTCACTGGTGTGGGAGACTGGGTAGGTGGTGGTACCGATGGTAACATTACCTTCAGAGTCGGTGGAAGTGTAAGTAGAAGTGGTTACTTCTTCTTCACTGGTGTGAGAGACTGGGTAGGTGGTGGTACCGGTGGTAACATTACCTTCAGAGTCGGTGGAAGTGTAAGTAGAAGTGGTGACTTCTTCTTCACTGGTGTGCGAGACTGGGTAGGTAGTAGTACCGGTGGTAACATTACCTTCAGAGTCGGTGGAAGTGTAAGTAGAAGTGGTGACTTCTTCTTCACTGGTGTGGGAGACTGGGTAGGTAGTAGTACCGGTGGTAACATTACCTTCAGAGTCGGTGGAAGTGTAAGTAGAAGTGGTGACTTCTTCTTCACTGGTGTGGGAGACTGGGTAGGTGGTGGTACCGGTGGTAACATTACCTTCAGAGTCGGTGGAAGTGTAAGTAGAAGTAGTCAATTCTTCTTCAGAAGTGTGGGAGACTGGGTAGGTAGTAGTACCGGTGGTAACATTACCTTCAGAGTCGGTGGAAGTGTAAGTAGAAGTAGTCAATTCTTCTTCAGAAGTGTGAGAGACTGGGTAGGTGGTGGTACCGGTGGTAACATTACCTTCAGAGTCGGTGGAAATGTAGGTAGAAGTCGTGACTTCTTCTTCACTGGAGTGGGAGACTGGGTAGGTAGTGGTACCGGTGGTAACATTACCTTCAGAGTCGGTGGAAGTGTAAGTAGAAGTAGTCAATTCTTCTTCAGAAGTGTGAGAGACTGGGTAGGTAGTAGTACCGGTGGTAACATTACCTTCAGAGTCGGTGGAAGTGTAGGTAGAAGTGGTGACTTCTTCTTCAGAAGTGTGAGAGACTGGGTAGGTAGTAGTACCGGTGGTAACATTACCTTCAGAGTCGGTGGAAGTGTAAGTAGAAGTAGTCAATTCTTCTTCAGAAGTGTGAGAGACTGGGTAGGTAGTAGTACCGGTGGTAACATTACCTTCAGAGTCGGTGGAAGTGTAGGTAGAAGTGGTGACTTCTTCTTCACTGGTGTGAGAGACTGGGTAGGTGGTGGTACCGGTGGTAACATTACCTTCAGAGTCAGTGGAAGTGTAAGTAGAAGTAGTCAATTCTTCTTCAGAAGTGTGAGAGACTGGGTAGGTAGTGGTACCGGTGGTAACATTACCTTCAGAGTCGGTGGAAGTGTAGGTAGAAGTGGTGACTTCTTCTTCACTGGTGTGAGAGACTGGGTAGGTGGTGGTACCGGTGGTAACATTACCTTCAGAGTCGGTGGAAGTGTAAGTAGAAGTGGTGATTTCTTCTTCACTGGTGTGAGAGACTGGGTAGGTGGTGGTACCGGTGGTAACATTACCTTCAGAGTCGGTGGAAGTGTAAGTAGAAGTAGTCAAATCTTCTTCACTGGTGTGAGAGACTGGGTAGGTAGTGGTACCGGTGGTAACATTACCTTCAGAGTCGGTGGAAGTGTAAGTAGAAGTAGTCAATTCTTCTTCAGAAGTGTGAGAGACTGGGTAGGTGGTGGTACCGGTGGTAACATTACCTTCAGAGTCGGTGGAAGTGTAGGTAGAAGTGGTTACTTCTTCTTCACTGGTGTGGGAGACTGGGTAGGTGGTGGTACCGGTGGTAACATTACCTTCAGAGTCGGTGGAAGTGTAGGTAGAAGTGGTTACTTCTTCTTCACTGGTGTGGGAGACTGGGTAGGTGGTGGTACCGGTGGTAACATTACCTTCAGAGTCGGTGGAAGTGTAAGTAGAAGTGGTTACTTCTTCTTCAGAAGTGTGGGAGACTGGGTGGGTAGTAGTACCGGTGGTAACATTACCTTCAGAGTCGGTGGAAGTGTAAGTAGAAGTGGTTACTTCTTCTTCAGAAGTGTGGGAGACTGGGTAGGTAGTAGTACCAGTGGTAACATTACCTTCAGAGTCAGTGGAAGTGTACGTAGAAATAACGGTTGACATCTCGGTTTTAGTCATGGATTCCGTGAATGATGTAGATCTAGTAGTTACAGTCACATCAGCATTAACCGAAAATGATTTAGATTCTAACGATGTAAATGGTATGCAACTTAAACTACCGATAATAGAAGTGGTGACTTCTTCTTCACTGGTGTGAGAGACTGGGTATGTGGTGGTACCGGTGGTAACATTACCTTCAGAGTCGGTGGAAGTGTAAGTAGAAGTAGTCAAATCTTCTTCAGAAGTGTGAGAGACTGGGTAGGTGGTGGTACCGGTGGTAACATTACCTTCAGAGTCGGTGGAAGTGTAAGTAGAAGTAGTCAATTCTTCTTCACTGGTGTGAGAGACTGGGTAGGTGGTGGTACCGGTGGTAACATTACCTTCAGAGTCGGTGGAAGTGTAAGTAGAAGTAGTCAATTCTTCTTCACTGGTGTGAGAGACTGGGTAGGTGGTGGTACCGGTGGTAACATTACCTTCAGAGTCGGTGGATGTGTAAGTAGAAGTAGTCAATTCTTCTTCACTAGTGTGAGAGACTGGGTAGGTGGTGGTACCGGTGGTAACATTACCTTCAGAGTCGCTGGAAGTGTAAGTAGAAGTGGTGACTTCTTCTTCACTGGTGTGAGAGACTGGGTAGGTGGTGGTACCGGTGGTAACATTACCTTCAGAGTCGGTGGAAGTGTAAGTAGAAGTAGTCAAATCTTCTTCACTGGTGTGAGAGACTGGGTAGGTGGTGGTACCGGTGGTAACATTACCTTCAGAGTCGGTGGAAGTGTAAGTAGAAGTAGTCAATTCTTCTTCACTGGTGTGGGAGACTGGGTAGGTGGTGGTACCGGTGGTAACATTACCTTCAGAGTCGGTGGAAGTGTAAGTAGAAGTGGTGACTTCTTCTTCACTGGTGTGCGAGACTGGGTAGGTAGTAGTACCGGTGGTAACATTACCTTCAGAGTCGGTGGAAGTGTAAGTAGAAGTGGTGACTTCTTCTTCACTGGTGTGGGAGACTGGGTAGGTGGTGGTACCGGTGGTAACATTACCTTCAGAGTCGGTGGAAGTGTAAGTAGAAGTGGTGACTTCTTCTTCACTGGTGTGCGAGACTGGGTAGGTAGTAGTACCGGTGGTAACATTACCTTCAGAGTCGGTGGAAGTGTAAGTAGAAGTGGTGACTTCTTCTTCAGAAGTGTGAGAGACTGGGTAGGTGGTGGTACCGGTGGTAACATTACCTTCAGAGTCGGTGGAAGTGTAAGTAGAAGTGGTGACTTCTTCTTCACTGGTGTGGGAGACTGGGTAGGTGGTGGTACCGGTGGTAACATTACCTTCAGAGTCGGTGGAAGTGTAAGTAGAAGTGGTGACTTCTTCTTCACTGGTGTGCGAGACTGGGTAGGTAGTAGTACCGGTGGTAACATTACCTTCAGAGTCGGTGGAAGTGTAAGTAGAAGTGGTGACTTCTTCTTCACTGGTGTGAGAGACTGGGTAGGTGGTGGTACCGGTGGTAACATTACCTTCAGAGTCAGTGGAAGTGTAGGTAGAAGTAGTCAATTCTTCTTCACTGGTGTGAGAGACTGGGTAGGTAGTAGTACCGGTGGTAACATTACCTTCAGAGTCGGTGGAAGTGTAAGTAGAAGTGGTGACTTCTTCTTCACTGGTGTGGGAGACTGGGTAGGTGGTGGTACCGGTGGTAACATTACCTTCAGAGTCGGTGGAAGTGTAAGTAGAAGTGGTGACTTCTTCTTCAGAAGTGTGAGAGACTGGGTAGGTGGTGGTACCGGTGGTAACATTACCTTCAGAGTCGGTGGAAGTGTAAGTAGAAGTAGTAAATTCTTCTTCACTGGTGTGAGAAACTGGGTAGGTAGTAGTACCGGTGGTAACATTACCTTCAGAGTCGGTGGAAGTGTAGGTAGAAGTAGTCAATTCTTCTTCACTGGTGTGAGAAACTGGGTAGGTAGTGGTACCGGTGGTAACATTACCTTCAGAGTCGGTGGAAGTGTAAGTAGAAGTGGTGACTTCTTCTTCACTGGTGTGAGAGACTGGGTAGGTGGTGGTACCGGTGGTAACATTACCTTCAGAGTCGGTGGAAGTGTAAGTAGAAGTGGTGACTTCTTCTTCAGAAGTGTGAGAGACTGGGTAGGTGGTGGTACCGGTGGTAACATTACCTTCAGAGTCGGTGGAAGTGTAAGTAGAAGTAGTCAATTCTTCTTCACTGGTGTGAGAGACTGGGTAGGTGGTGGTACCGGTGGTAACATTACCTTCAGAGTCGGTGGAAGTGTAAGTAGAAGTGGTGACTTCTTCTTCAGAAGTGTGAGAGACTGGGTAGGTGGTGGTACCGGTGGTAACATTACCTTCAGAGTCGGTGGAAGTGTAAGTAGAAGTGGTGACTTCTTCTTCACTGGTGTGGGAGACTGGGTAGGTGGTGGTACCGGTGGTAACATTACCTTCAGAGTCGGTGGAAGTGTAAGTAGAAGTGGTGACTTCTTCTTCACTGGTGTGGGAGACTGGGTAGGTGGTGGTACCGGTGGTAACATTACCTTCAGAGTCGGTGGAAGTGTAAGTAGAAGTGGTTACTTCTTCTTCACTGGTGTGAGAAACTGGGTAGGTAGTGGTACCGGTGGTAACATTACCTTCAGAGTCGGTGGAAGTGTAAGTAGAAGTGGTGACTTCTTCTTCAGAAGTGTGAGAGACTGGGTAGGTGGTGGTACCGGTGGTAACATTACCTTCAGAGTCGGTAGAAGTGTAGGTAGAAGTAGTCAATTCTTCTTCACTGGTGTGAGAGACTGGGTAGGTAGTGGTACCGGTGGTAACATTACCTTCAGAGTCGGTGGAAGTGTAGGTAGAAGTAGTCAATTCTTCTTCACTGGTGTGAGAGACTGGGTAGGTGGTGGTACCGGTGGTAACATTACCTTCAGAGTCGGTGGAAATGTAGGTAGAAGTGATGACTTCTTCTTCACTGGAGTGGGAGACTGGGTAGGTGGTGGTACCGGTGGTAACATTACCTTCAGAGTCGGTGGAAGTGTAAGTAGAAGTGGTGACTTCTTCTTCAGAAGTGTGAGAGACTGGGTAGGTGGTGGTACCGGTGGTAACATTACCTTCAGAGTCGGTGGAAGTGTAGGTAGAAGTGGTGACTTCTTCTTCAGAAGTGTGGGAGACTGGGTAGGTAGTAGTACCGGTGGTAACATTACCTTCAGAGTCGGTGGAAGTGTAAGTAGAAGTAGTCAATTCTTCTTCACTGGTGTGAGAGACTGGGTAGGTGGTGGTACCGGTGGTAACATTACCTTCAGAGTCGGTGGAAGTGTAAGTAGAAGTGGTTACTTCTTCTTCACTGGTGTGAGAGACTGGGTAGGTGGTGGTACCGGTGGTAACATTACCTTCAGAGTCAGTGGAAGTGTAGGTAGAAGTAGTCAATTCTTCTTCACTGGTGTGAGAGACTGGGTAGGTAGTGGTACCGGTGGTAACATTACCTTCAGAGTCGGTGGAAGTGTAGGTAGAAGTGGTTACTTCTTCTTCACTGGTGTGAGAGACTGGGTAGGTGGTGGTACCGGTGGTAACATTACCTTCAGAGTCGGTGGAAGTGTAGGTAGAAGTAGTCAATTCTTCTTCACTGGTGTGAGAGACTGGGTAGGTAGTAGTACCGGTGGTAACATTACCTTCATAGTCGGTGGAAGTGTAAGTAGAAGTGGTTACTTCTTCTTCAGAAGTGTGGGAGACTGGGTAGGTAGTAGTACCGGTGGTAACATTACCTTCAGAGTCGGTGGAAGTGTAAGTAGAAGTGGTGACTTCTTCTTCACTGGTGTGGGAGACTGGGTAGGTAGTAGTACCGGTGGTAACATTACCTTCAGAGTCGGTGGAAGTGTAGGTAGAAGTGGTGACTTCTTCTTCACTGGAGTGGGAGACTGGGTAGGTAGTGGTACCGGTGGTAACATTACCTTCAGAGTCGGTGGAAGTGTAAGTAGAAGTGGTGACTTCTTTTTCAGAAGTGTTGGAGACTGGGTAGGTAGTAGTACCGGTGGTAACATTACCTTCAGAGTCGGTGGAAGTGTAAGTAGAAGTGGTGACTTCTTCTTCACTGGTGTGGGAGACTGGGTAGGTAGTAGTACCGGTGGTAACATTACCTTCAGAGTCGGTGGAAGTGTAAGTAGAAGTAGTCAATTCTTCTTCACTGGTGTGAGAAACTGGGTAGGTGGTGGTACCGGTGGTAACATTACCTTCAGAATCGGTGGATGTGTAGGTTGATATTTCGTATGATAATTCAGTGGAATCAGATTCGGAGAAAATTTCAGAGTTTGTAGTAGATTGGTGAACTGTACTATTTAAAATTGATGATTGGGTTCTGGAATTTTCAGAGCCAGTTGCCACACTTGTAGAAGAGTAGTGTAAGGAAGTTTCTGTAGATTCTGTTGAATTTGAAGTGAGTGTGTTGAATGTATTTGAATTTTCTGATACGTATGAGTCGTAAGTACTTGCATCAATGGTTCCTATTGATTCAGTTGAAGAATTGTTAGGAATTCCACTTTCAGATTTGATTGATGATTCAATAGAAGATCCGAAAGAAGTTGCATTATAAATTTTACTTTCAGATTGAACAGAAGATTCAATAGAAGTGCTGTTGTACATAACACTTTCAGAACCAATTGAAGATTCAACAGAAGATTCAATAGAAGAGGTGTTGTACATAACACTTTCAGAAGCAATTGAAGATTCAACAGAAGATTCAATAGAAGAGGTGTTGTACATAACACTTTCAGAACCAATTGAAGATTCAACAGAAGATTCAATAGAAGAGGTGTTGTACATAACACTTTCAGAAACAATGGATGATTCGACAGAAGATTCAATAGAAGTGCTGTTGTACATAACACTTTCAGAACCAATTGAAGATTCAACAGAAGATTCAATAGAAGAGGTGTTGTACATAACACTTTCAGAACCAATTGAAGATTCAACAGAAGATTCAATAGAAGAGGTGTTGTACATAACACTTTCAGAAGCAATTGAAGATTCAACAGAAGATTCAATAGAAGAGGTATTGTACATTACACTTTCAGAAACAATGGATGATTCGACAGAAGATTCAGACTCTGAAATAATTAGTGAACTGTTATAATAGGAAGAAAATCCGAGAGATGATTCTTCAGATGATTCTTCGGATGATTTTAGTGGAGTTTCGACAATAAATAAAGTTTCGGTTGTCAAAAACCCCTCATTATCTGTAAATGTTGTAACATAGGTATAAACTGTTTCTTCAGCAGTTACAGGACCACCGACATAAGTAGTACTACTAACTTCGTAATGAGGAGCAAATACGTAATAAATTGTCTCAGTTACTTCGTCGCCATTTTCATCAGTGATTGTAACAATCGAAGTGGAATATGTGGATATTGACCTCATAGACCAGTAGGATGAAGTTGTTGAGGTAATATCTCTTGCAGGGGTCATGACATAATAAATAGTTTCAGTAATCTCATCACCCTGTGAATTGTATGTAGTAAAAATAGATGTGGAGAAAGTGGTAGTAATGATACCTCCTGCTGTAAAAGATGTGACAATACTTTGACGAATTGGAGTCAGAACAAAATATATACTTTCTGTAATCTCATTACCTTCACTATCTGTCAATGTCAGCACTTCGGTAGAGTAAGTAAAAGTACCATCAATGTTATCGACTGCTGAGTATGAAGTCGATAAAGATTTTTGAATAGGAGTTAATACAAAATATGTTGTTTCAGTGGTTTCGTTACCCTCTGAATCAGTTATTGTTGTTAGAATTGTAGATATTGTTGTTCTGAATATATTAGGAATTCCAGATACTCTTGTGGTGGTGTAAAAACGGTATGGTGTACTCACGAAGTATATTGTTTCAGTAATAACAAAATCATTTTCATTCGTGTATGTAGTAACAAAAGTCGAAAATGTCAGTGAAATATCGCTAGACCAAGCTGTATAACTGGTAGAAGTTCTTTCATGATCAGGTGTTCCGACAATATAAATAGTTTCAGTAGTCTCTTCACCGTCAGTACCAGTAAATGTTCTTGTAGTAGTCGTAAATGTCATTGTTTCTTCTTGACCGTACCCAGTAGTAGTGGTAGTACTGGTTGCTCTATAAGGAGTATAAACTAAATATAATGTTTCAGTGGTTTCTTCTTTATCTTCGCCAGTAAAAGTAGTAACAATGGTTTTGAATGTTGATGTCAAATTTGGAGATGGCCAGGCAGAATAACTAGTAGATAATACAGAACGAATTGGTGTTTCGACAACATATACAATACGATCCCAACCACCTAAAAATGTACCTGAATAACCAAAACTGTAAGATGTAGTTGTCAAAATAGTGGATGTATAGTCACCAGCCCATGGTAGGTAAATAAAAATACCAGTGTCAATCGGTGTGACGATATAAATAATAGTAGTTCCTCCAGAAGTAACAGTAGATAATTCACTTATGTAGTCCTTATCCCATGAACTAAAAACGGTGCTTAATTTTGAATCTACTGGGATAAGAACGGAATAGATAGTTTCAGTTGTTTCTAAGCCATCTTTACCGGTGAAAGTAGTAACCCCGGTACTGAAAGTACTAGTACCTGCATTACTTTGTGGAAAGAATTCAGTAGTATAGATAACACGAGTAGGTGTTACAACATAATAAATTGTTTCTGTAGTTGCATTTCCCCAAACATCAGTTATTGTAACGATATCAGTCGAATAAGTTGAATAATTCGTGCCTGTCCAATATGAAAATTCATAGGTAGTAGACAAACGGATAGGTGTTTGAATAATAAATATAGTATGGGTCCAGGAAGCCAAAAAGTTATCATAGTAATCTAAAGTTGTGTAAACACTGGTTTGAACAGTTGATGTGTATGTTCCAGTCCAAGGAATATATGAATATGATGGACTTAGAACTGGAGTTTGGACAACATATACAGTATAAATTGAAGAAAATCCTTCTGAATCAGTAATAGTTGTTACAAAAATAGTACTTGTTGTAACATATGTACCAGTCCATTGAGTCATTACTGTAGATTGTGCAACATCGACCGGCAAAACCACATAATACACAATGGCCCATGAATAATCATAAACTCCACCAACAGTAGTGGTAAAAGTAGACGTAGTCACTGTGGTTGAAGAAGTAAATGTACCTTGTGAGTAAATGAATGACGAAACAGTAGGAGCAGGCGCAAAAACAAAGTAAATAGTCTCGGTTGTCGATTCCCCGAACACATCGACAATGGTAGTTACACGAGAGGAAGTAGAAGTAGTTTGAAGATTCCAGTTACTAGTCCAGCTGAACAAAGTTGTTCTACGAATCGGCGTTTTTAAATAATATTGAGGATAGACCCACAACCCGAAGAAAATACCTTTGAAACCAAATGCTAATGTATAACCATCTTGACTATATGTTGTGTAAGTACCCGTCCAATATGTTGTTTTCCACTTACCACCACCAGGGGTAGGTGTACGGACATAGTAAACTGTTTTCTCAGTAGAATATCCATCAGTTCCTCTTGCTGTCGTTTTACTGATATAATAAGTAATAGTGTATTGACCAGTCCACACTTCGGTTGTTGTGGTTTTATATAGATCCGTTGGAATGGCGATGTAATATGTTGTCTGGGTAGTCTCATTACCATCTTCATCTGTTATGGTAGAGTAGAAAGTTGCAAATGTAGATGTTAGGGTCCCACCAAAAGGACTGCTCTTGATGGTATAAGTACTGGAATAACGACGTGTTGGGGTATAAACATGGTAGATAATTTGTGTTGTGACATTACCATCTAAATCAGTGAAAGACAGATATTCAGTAGAATAAGTGGTAGTATACTCATGTGTGCTATACGTGGTAGTAGATATGATTGTCTCATAATATGGAATCCTGACGTAATAGTAAGTTGTGGTACCAACAGGGATACCAATAAAATGATTTGTATTTACCGACGTAGAATAATAAGTGGTATAAGTACCAGTCCATGGGGTAGTTATTGTAATACCAGGTTCGCGAGAAGTGTAAACGTAATAAACAGTACCAGTGGTTAGAATACCATCATCACCAGTAGTAACAACGATGGATGTCGCGTGAGTAGTTAAAAAAAAACCAGTCCAACCTTCAGTAGTAGTAGAGTATAAAAAGTTAGTTGGAATAGCAACATAATAAGTTGTTTCTGTAAATTTTTGCCCATCTTCATCAGTAATCGTGTTAAAAATAGTAGAATAAGTGTAAGTAGATGCAGAACTAAAATTACTTGTTGTTGAAACTGTAGATGTTACACGACGAACTGGAGTAGCGACAAAGTAAATAGTCTCAGTTGTTGCATTACCTTGGGCATCAGTTGTAGTTAAAATGGAGGTAGACCATGTAGTAGTATAATCTATAGAACTCCAAGTAGTGCTACGGGATGTACTCTCACGAATAGGAGTATAAACCCAATACAAAGTTGAGGTAGTTCTACCAATACCAATAGCTCCACCAAATACCGTCAAGCCAGTAGAATAGAATGTTGTATAAGTTCCAGTCCATGGAACGAATGTAGTCAAACCAGGATTTCTTGTGGTATAAACGTAATAAATGGTACCAGTTGTCAAAATTCCATCATTACCAGTAGTAACAGTAATTACGGTTGAATGAGTCCATAAATAATTACCAGTCCAACCATCTGTAGTGGTAGAATGCAAAAAGTTGGTAGGAATAGCTACATAGTATGTAGTTTCTGTAGTGGTATTACCTTCCCCGTCAATTACAGTATTAAATAAAGTGGAATAAGTGTAAGTAGATTCAGAACTAAAATTACTTGTTGTTGAAACTGTAGATGTTACACGACGAACTGGAGTAGCGACAAAGTAAATAGTCTCAGTTGTTGCATTACCTTGGGCATCAGTTGTAGTTAAAATGGAGGTAGACCATGTAGTAGTATAATCTATAGAACTCCAAGTAGTGCTACGGGATGTACTCTCACGAATAGGAGTATAAACCCAATACAAAGTTGAGGTAGTTCTACCAATACCAATAGCTCCACCAAATACCGTCAAGCCAGTAGAATAGAATGTTGTATAAGTTCCAGTCCATGGAACGAATGTAGTCAAACCAGGATTTCTTGTAGTATAAACGTAATAAATGGTACCAGTTGTCAAAATGCCATCATTACCTGTAGTAACAACAGTGGAAGTAGCATGAGTCCATAAATAATTACCAGTCCAACCATCTGTAGTGGTAGAATGCAAAAAGTTGGTAGGAATAGCTACATAGTATGTAGTTTCTGTAGTGGTATTACCTTCCCCGTCAATTACAGTATTAAATAAAGTGGAATAAGTGTAAGTAGATTCAGAACTAAAATTACTTGTTGTTGAAACTGTAGATGTTACACGACGAACTGGAGTAGCGACAAAGTAAATAGTCTCAGTTGTTGCATTACCTTGGGCATCAGTTGTAGTTAAAATGGAGGTAGACCATGTAGTAGTATAATCTATAGAACTCCAAGTAGTAGTACGGGAAGTACTCCTACGATATGGAGTATAAACCCAATATAAAGTAGAGGTAGTTTGACCAATACCAATGACCCCACCAAATGACGTCAAGCCGGTAGAATAGAAGGTTGTATAGGTTCCAGTCCATGGAACGAATGTAGTCAAACCAGGATTTCTTGTAGTATAGACGTAATAAACAGTACCAGTTGTTAAAGTCCCATCATTACCTGTAGTAACAACAGTTGAAGTAGCATGAGTCCACCATGAATTACCAGTCCAACCTTCAGTAGTTGTAGACTTGTAAAACATATCTGGAATAGCAATATAATATGTAATATCTGTTGTTGTTGAGCCATCGTCTCCAACAATAGTGTTATACACGGTTGAATAGGTAGATGTGTAAGTTGAAAAAAAGAGACTTCTTTTAGTATTAGTTGTCGGACTAGTATAAATCGGATAGTATACTAAAGTTGATGTGATATATGTTTCATAACCGTCAGCCCCTACGCTAGTAATAACTATTGTACTAGTTGATAATGATGGAACATCTGTATTAAAAGAAGTAGTGGTAGTTGAGAATGTTACTCTAGGAGTATAAATCCAATAATAAGTTGTAGTATCATGAAAGACAAGACCATTAGTCTTATATGATGTTGAGTACGTTGAAGCAGTTTTTTCAGTCCAGTAAGTTCTCGAATATACTGTTGAGTCAGCTGTAACTAATAAAAATTGAGCCAACAGCACCAGCAAAATAGCCAGATATGTTGATTTCAACCCCATAGTTCTAGTTAGGATTGTTATTTCTGGATTTTATGTGTTATTCAAAGAATATATGATTTATAAAAAAATTCAAGTTATCCCTGTAGGAAACACTCAAAAGCGAAAATAACCAGTATGGTATCTTTAAAGAAAATAATTTATTCATCTCTTTAAATTAATTTCTTCAAATCAATAATAATTATACAAAAAATTTTATTAAACATGATATATATATATATATATATATATGTGTGTGTGTGTGTGTGTAAATAGAACTATGGAGATAAACTTTGATCTCAAGATATAGATATCCTCTCTGCGTGTCTGTGTCTGTGTTTAAAGTAATTGAAGTATGTTCATTCTGAAAGAGGATAGACAACTTTGCAAATATATCAAGAGTTTCCTTTTTCCTACTATCGCATTTTAACATCCCTGTAAATTGATAAAAGGCGAAGTTGTCTCCTGTTTCTCGTCCTTCAATTTTCTTTTTCCATACAAAATATTTGAATCACTATATGCTAGCGAATGAACCTCGAAAAAAGCAAAAAAAAATTTAAAAAAGTATACTTGTCCAAAAATATTGTCAAGACATTTATTTACCTGGGAGGATATAAGCTATAAAGAAATTTTTCTGTTGAAATCCAAAGAAATATAAGAACCAAAACTATAATAAGTGTTTATTTTTGTGAGTTATCAATCAGAAATAGTGCTGTTCAATTAAAAAGAACCTTCGGCCTAATAAGATATAACGGAGAAGTAAAATGGTGCTAATAAGTATATATATAGTATTTTCATAGAATTGTGTACTCTTTCAGTTGATAAATGAAAAATGAATTAAAAGGGATAATAGAAATAAACATCGAAAGGGACTAATTTTCTTTTTTGTTGAATTAATATAACTCCTACGATTATCAAGATTTTGGAGAACTACAACAGGTTGTCCTTTAGTTTTAATTTTTTCAAGAACTTCCAAGAGAACTTGCTGTAAGAAATTTACTACCAAATGCATTTCAGTCAACCTAGTGGAATTATTTCGAAGAAGCTCAAAAGTATTCTGCCGCAGAGAAGAGGTTTGTTCTTGAATTCTCTAATAAATTTTTTTCATTTCTTGTTCTTCTCTAAATATTATGTCAAACGTCATCTAAAGCTCCTTTCAGAAATTCTAGTATCCCTTAGACATTTAGAAAGTGCAACTACGAAAAACTTGACAAGGTCATTAAATCTGAATCCTACTGATATTCAAAAGCTCATTTATTTCGTCTTCCTCTTATGACTTGGCATGGCTTGGCAGCAAGGTCAAAATCATGTCTTCATACTCATGTGGCCAAAAGAGGAAGTTGTCCGACCGGTTGGCCACCAAGTTAGCTGCGTGATTTGTCTATTGCTAACTTCTGCTGGACCTCAAAAGAAGTCGAAAAAGGTGATGTGATAACAATAAAAAACGGGTACCGAGTTGCCCGTCCATGCCTAGTTATCACACGTACCGCATTGAAATATGTTATTGCTACAACTTTCAAAAGTTCCCGTGAAGGTTTTTGAAATAAAAGAGAGTGTGGTGAGATGTTGAGCATTTTGTTATTATTTTAGCTTAAAAGAAAAAAGAGTGGGAGCAAAAAAGAAAAGAAATTCCAGATTCACAAGTCGAAAATTTTAAAGCGTATCAATATACACACACAGCCCTCCCTATAATGTCCATAAACGCAAAAGTGCTTATTTATTTGAATATCGGTTGGAAAGAATAATTCGAACCCTAACATTAGCCTTTTTTAACTTTTTTGGAAGCATTAGAGATAAGTCAGGTCAAAAAATTAAGAAAAAAGAAATCACATCATACTATATAAAAGGAATCTCTATCGATTTACAGAAATAGTAAGTTAAAAATTTTGTAAAAGTAATTTCTGACTAGTGTTTACTTTATTTATTTTTATTTTTAACTAATCTCTTTACTAAATATCGGTTTTTTTGGGGCGATGAAGTTATTAATAAATAATCCCACAGATCTTTATGATAAGTGGGAAAATGAATTCTTCATTTCATATATCCTTCACTAATCAAACTTGGATTTGTTTCGTAGTACTTGGATTTGTTTCGTAGTACTTGCTTTTTATAAAAGTTACGCTTTCATAACTCAAATCTAGTAATTATTAGTTATTTTTTTAGAGGTTTTTCACGCCTCTTCATTCTTTTTCGAAAGCTTTAAGTCAAACAAAAAATGGAAGTGTTATACTAATACAAATGTGGACATAATTCAAATTTTTGGTGGATACACGTTGTCATACTTAGTACGAATGTTGTTGTTTACTAGGAAACTAAGTTTTGACTCCTAATGGTTATTAGGGAACTCGTGTTATAAAATATTATATACAAAATTAATTTTTGTACTAGACATGACTGTTGAAGGGGAAACAGATTTAATAGTGAACTATACTAACTTACTTTCTTGAAACCTATAAAAAAATTGTTTTCCTTGACTTTTTTAATGTTAGCTAAACTTACCATTGAGAAGTTCATGCAAATTCATCTGCTAGTTGAAATCAATTTGATTTCCCTCTGTTCCATATATTTTTTGTTGAACATATGTTATAATAATAATTATGGCCCTTTCTGTTTGCAGAAATATGAAAAATAATAGTAGGTTTGTCAGTAGCAGAAATTAAGCCCTTCTCCCGAACTCAGATTCGAAATTGATATTAAATGAAAATTTATTTCAACCTTTCATGAATCAATTTCGCATGGCTAGTTCTCCTTTCTGTCTGGACATTTAAGATCAACAACAATTCAAGTCATATTTTACAAGTTCTATTATGCTAGTCTAATGTGTAGTTTGCTAACATTATTATTATTATTTTATTAGAATTATTCTGTTGTTATTTTCTTGTTAGATAGTACTGGATTTCTTATATTTTTCTATATCTGCAATTAATCATGTTAAGTTAAAAATGAGACAAACCAGCATGTTTATCTGTAATTATAATGCTTCACCTTTATATATAATCCCTTCTTTGATCTATAGATTCAGAAGTGGAACAATTATTAGCGAGCTAAAAATCAATAGAAGATTCATTCACCATGCTAGAATCACCCCTATATTTTGAATATTAGAAACATCTGATATTTATTTCAATAAAGGAAAGCAAAAGTCTAAATTTTTATAGTTCTACTATGATTTAGATACGTTTCTGATGCTTTTCCCGGTTTGATTAAATAATGTAAAGAACGCAAGATTTATAAACAGATCTGCTATCAAGGATAATACTCCTCTTTGATATCTTAGAGAGAATTTGTAATTTTGTTAAATTTTTTTGGTATTAAACTTAATATTTGCTAACATTCACTTATGAAGATCTCCAGGTAATTTGTTTTTCAACTATTAGTTCTTTTTAAATAATATTGCGGTGTCCCTAACATATCAATGCCTCTATTTGTCTCAGTAGTCGTTAAATTTATATCATTCTTTCAAAAATAATAATAGCTTAATATGAAGTAAAAAAATATTTAATTTTGGTAATTAGTCAGCTACAACAAATATTTAAGATATGAAAATAATAACACCTCAATTATTTAAAATATCAAAATTGACTGTTTTATAGAATCAGATTCCGCCGTTAAATACCCATTACCTTATATTTAAGGCTTTTATGATTGTTTATATTTTTGTTTTCCCCCCATTGTAATACTTTCCGTAACGGAAGCAGTAAAATGCCAAAATTGAAGATAAATATAAAACAAAGACAATTAACATTAAATATGCTGTCGCCTTTGATTGAATACTTTATTACCTTCGGATATTTTATACAATGCAAATACTATTATTCTGATATGTTATGCTTAAGATACTCAACAATTCTATGATAGTTGTGATTGTTCTCTCAACAGGTCATCATTACGTTATAAGTCATTAATTTATTCATATTACTAATAAAATTACTTTCTGAGGTTCACTGATTTTATATAAATGTTAAAATAATTCTGACATTATTATCCAGTATTTCTTTTATATACATTAAAGAATATGCAAAGTATTAAAAAGGTATTTGTTTCTCATAAAACATCATTAGTAAAGTACAGTTATTTTTATATCTTCTTACTTTTTGAAAACACTGTAAACTGGGGTAAACTTACCGCATACCATCTACGTTATTTATTCTATTCAGCCCAATTTACGGTTGATAAACTAATAAATAATAAAAAGAAATTCAAACGAACTAAATAAGATTTGTTCCGTAATTAATCCATCTATAAAAATATAAACAGTAACTTATTTTATTAGGAGTGAATTAATTTCATTGCTTTTATTCATCTCATATATTGGGATTGATGAAAAAAGAATAGAAGACAGCAATCACTACAAATGTCCCCAAATACACCATCTAAATGATTTGATATATTAATCTGGATCATATGATGTGTTATATTTGGGATGATTAATAAATGTAAATCAACAGAACCATTTATAAGGAAAAAAGAAAAAATAAATTTTCTTAATTGAAACTGCAATATTGTTCTTGCCAATACGACATCTTGAATATATATCTTAATTAGTATTTTCTAGAATTTAAACTAGTCTTTGTATTATTTCGAGACTACTTCGAGGTTACTTCATACGAACCTTGAAAGTAAAGAAATATGTGTCACTACAAGAATGTTGTTAGATGCTATTAACATTGCTATTTAAAGAGATCATTGTACATTATTGTATATTATTTAGTATCTTATTTTGTACATAAAAGAGATATAGAACTACATTATTATTTACCAGTATATTTACTTTAACTTACAGATCTCCACCCTTAAGATCCTATAGAATAAACGCCCAACAGCCTTCATTCTAACGTATAACAAATTAAACATACAACTAAGTAATAATTACAGGCCAAATAATACATCTTGCTATATACACGTGAATTCACCAGGAAATTTATAATTTCATTACAAAGCATACTTAACTAAATATGAACAATGTCAAGGAAGCGCACTTTCTTAACCAATACAAAATTAGTTACCAAATTCTTTGTCGAAACCCATCAAAGTAAATCTATATCTAACTTGACCCTTATCCATTCTTTCGAAGGCTTCAGCTACACCAGCTTCACCAACTTGTAATTGTTCTACCCAAATTTTAATATCTTTGTCAACAACCAATTTTAGTAACTGTTCAATTTCTTTTCTTGAACCCAAAGCACTGTTACCAATGGTGACACCCAATAAACCGAACGGCTTCAAGGTTAGAGTTTCATCGATGGATGGAACAGAAATCGACAAAATTTTAGTGTTAACCTTCATGACTTTGATCAATTCATCAAAATTAACATCAGTCAATGAGGAAGCACAGACAACAATCAAATCTAAAGTATCAAAATATTTTTCAGTCCAGTCTTTATCCTCCAAAGTGGCAATGTAGTGATCAGCACCCAATTCCTTCGCATCCTTTTCTTTAGAATGAGAACGAGAGAATGCATAGACTTCAGCACCCATAGCTTTAGCAAATAGAATACCCATATGACCAATACCACCAATACCAACAATACCGACTTTTTTACCTGGGCCACATCCACCTCTCAATAATGGAGAGTAAACAGTGATACCACCACATAATAATGGAGCAGCTAGATGCAATGGCAATTCTTCCGGAACAGGGATAGCGAAATGCTCATGGACTCTGACGTGAGAGGCATAACCACCTTGAGAAACATAACCATCTGGATACGGTTGACCATAAGTGGTAACAAATCTAGGACAATAAGGTTCATTATCATTTTGGCAACGAGAACATTCCAAACAAGAGGCAACTTGGGCACCTACACCTACACGATCACCAATTTTGATACCAGTGGTACATTTTGGACCAACTTTAACAACACGACCAACAATTTCATGACCAACAACTTGGTTCTTAACTACTGGACCCCAATGAGAAGCGGCACAATGAATATCAGAACCACAGACACCACATGCTTCAATCTTAATATCAACATCCTGATCATCAAATTTTTTTGGTTCGTAAGTAACCTTTTTTGGATGTTTCCAATCTTCTGGGTTAGTTACACCAATACCTTCGAACATTTCTGGATATGCCATTTTTTTAGATCTTACTCTTTTTCTGTTTTCACCTTTCTTCTTATCTTTCCTTTAACGAAACGGAAAATTGCAGCAATTCAACTAGACAAACTAAATTCAACAATTTCAATTTATAGACAATTATAATGCTACCAGTTTGGCAATTATTAGTACTATAAAAAATATAAGGCCTCTTGTCGCTTTATATATAAGTTAATTTTTTTAACCTATCTTTTTCTATATGGCATCCCTCTCTATTTGAAAATTTCGAAAAGGAATAATATGAATTATTCCTTTCCAACATCATTAGATACATTCTAAATTCCGTTTATTTCCTTCCTCTCAGGTTTTTCCTCTCAGGTTTTTCCTCTCAGGTTTTTCCTGTGCTAAAATTTTCGTAATAATTATCTGTTTTGAGGTTCTTAAACTGTTTTATTGTAAGCTATTCCATAGATAATTATTATTAATTAATCTGCAGTGAAAAAAGCAAGGACGCCAAAAAAAGAAATGTCATTATCAGCTCGGTTTGATCCGGTGAGATTCCGAAAATGTACTTTATAAAATTTTTGATTATAAATCAATTATTTTCTGTAAGGGAATAATTTCATTAATAAATAATTGGAACCAGGAAGCGTAAAGAGTAATTATGATATTATCACATAGTAATTAGACACATCGATAGGTGATGAAACAGTCCAACAATCTTTTTCAAAAAATATCATTGTGGCAATTAGATTCACTTAAATATACCCCCCATATGAAACATTACATATGATTACCCACTTATTTTTATCCTTTTCTAATTAATATTATCATATTTAGTTAAATATACAATAAATAGTTAGCATAAAAAATTTTGTACATGTCAAGATAAGCTAAGTTTTGATATTTTAAGCTAACTATGATTACACATTAATAATATGTCTTCCAAAAAATAAACTGAATGCAGACAGTAAGCTTAAATCAACATACAAACTAACTTAAGTAGCAAAATATATTGATTCTAGAGAACGAAATCATTCGGAAGTAATATTAATAGTTATAAAGTTTGATTTGTAATTATCTATCTATATTCACAATATTTTATCTTTTACATTTAACTTTTAAAGTATTAGATATATCATAAAACTATCTTATGTATCTGTTAGATTATGTTTGCATAATATTATGAGATTAGGGGGTTTATCCCATTTCGTCAGATGGGAAAAATACAGCCGCGTGTATAAAGAATCAACTTATACATTGGTAGACAAGATTATATGTGCTCAAAAAATTTCATAAGGGCCATCTTATTTATAGTTATTTGGTTGCCCTTCAAGGGTACAAGAATTATACAGGTTGGGATGGTGGCGAGTGGAGGGTAGAGAGAATGCCAGCTTTAGTAATTGTGATAGAAAACGGTATTTTTAAAATTATCAAAATATATTTACAACTGGATTAGAAGTCATTAGATTGATTCTCTCTCAAAAAGAAGAAACTGGTTCCGGGAAATAATTTTATAAACCTATTATCTATTATTTTTTTTTTTTAATTTAATGCAAAAACGAATATATTAATGGTTAATAATATGTCGTACATATTTTTAAAGAAAACTCCAAGATTCCCCAATGTGATATAATGAGAATTTACAAAATAAGAAATAGTAAATAAAAAAAAATTGCTATTTCTCAAGAAACTTTTGAACCTTTTCTTCTTCTTTTTAAAATATCTAATAACTGCGATGACTTAAAATAATAAGTGTTGATTGTTAGAGGCAGAAAACAAACTTTTTTACTCTTCTTGTATTGACTCCACCCTCTCTTTTCATATAATTTGAGTCATTCTTATCCCTATACTTTCCTAAATGGAAATTTGGATATGAAATATTCTAGGTTAGCAAACATAAAGTAGAAATGTAGTGTGTATTTCAAAATGTTTAGATGATTCTTGCAAACATCAATTTTTATTATCTGTAACTTGCTTCAGCCTAAAGAATACTAAAATAAAGAAATCCTCCTGAATAAACTGTATAATGATTCAATTAAGATTACCTTTAGCAGTACCAAAAAATATATGTAGTCCTATTTTACCATAGATCGATCTGTCATCTAAAATTTAATCGATCCAGCAAGGAAAGAGGGAAAGCAAGCGATAACAAGTCATTTCTGTGGGTGTGTATGTATGTTTATGTGCATACATCTTACGTAAATATTTAAAATCAGTTCGTAAAGCCTGACATTATTTTTGATACATGCAAATTAAAGCCGGAGAGAGAGAGACGGAAAGAAATCAAACAAGAATTCCAACCAATGAGCAAAAGAATTTATCAGTTACTTACTACTTCTACCTTATTTCTTAGTTGTGTGTAGTTGTGATTGTGATTGTGATTGGAAGAGCAACAGAGAAAATGTTGATGTTGCTACGGAATTGTACAGAAGATCTGGTAACAACAACGTCAAGGAAAGTGTGGGGGGGGGGAGAGGCGACCTGAGGAAACAACAAGCAGAATGCACAAAGAGTTTATACAGTAGAGACAAGCAAGAGCCGAGTGGAAGAGGCAACGAGATGTATCGAGAAAGTAACACCCATTCACCATCGCATGGATGCCGTCCGAAACGCCGTCTCCATAGCGAGAGAAAGTTGCCGTGCGCATAAACGCCAAATGAGGAAGTTTTGACCGAAGAGACACCGAACGAAGCGACGAGAAGGCAAAAGCAAAGCAAAGCAAGGAAGAGATCAAGAGAAATTAAACGCGCCTCTTCTTTCCTTGTACCCCTGCGCAAATTTTTCACTGCTGATTGAACTGAAACAGAAAAGAAGACGAATAAAAAGAAAAAGAAAAAGAAATCTAAAATGTCTGAGTGCGTGTGTTGGTGCCGGAGGCCGTCGGGGCAACCGTCTGCAGATGTAGGCAGTATTACTCGTACATATATATAATAGACAAATTCGCGTATACTCACTGATAGAGGAGAGACGGACATAGACAAATTCGCGTATACTCACTGATAGAGGAGAGACGGACATAGACAAATTATACATGAACGTCAAATTTTATAAAAATGAAAAAATGAAAAAATGAAAAATTGGAAAACTGGAAATATTATTTTTAAATTATTTCAATTCTCTGCGGTTTCGTGTGGTATTTTAACGAGAAATGAGAAATGAGAATTGAGAAATAAAATAAATAATAAATGGTTTTCTGATAAGACAAAGAATGTAAGAATGCGTCTGCGGATAAATTACTGTGAATCACTTCAAACCAACAAAAAAAATAAAAAGATTTATACTGATATATATATGTTTTCTACCCACATTCATCTCTATTTTAGGCAAAGAGAGCAAAAGAGCGGAAGAGTATTATAAAAATAACCAGTAGCTACTACGTAAACTGTTTCGAATAAGAAAAAAATCTCGGAAGGAGAAGGAAAATACGTAGTGCTTGCTATTTATTAACTTTTGCTGAAGCTAAGAGGTTGCTGGCACTACTATTTTCTTTACTCACTTGTATCTTTTTGTCAAGTTCTTCTTCTTAATTTTTCGTCAAATAAGCAAGTAGAGCACTCAAGATTGTCTTTGTGGAAATTCTTTAATATTTTTGACCAGTAACTGTCTAGTCCAGTTACTACCGTCATCGTCGCCAATAAATCACCAATAGAAAGAGGTTTTATTCGAAGCACTTCTCTACACGAACAACTTGTCCTTTACATCAGTCTAGATAATTATTTATGCAATCTTTTTTTTTTTTTCCCAACTAAAATAGTGGCGTTTCCCTTTCAAGCACCTTTCTTAAGAATTAGAACATGCGATTAGTACTTAATAATATACTAATCATCAAGTTCATTTTATCTAGAGGAATAACCGCAATATGTATTCTATCTACCTATCTATATCCTGATCTATTTATCTATCTCGAAGTTTTTTTTTCTCTTTCTCTTTCGTAATGCAGTTTAATGAAATAATCAAGCAACTGGATTAATAGTAGGGATTACTGAGATAAATACTGATATCTATTCCAAGCTTACTTTGCAACCGCAGTGCTTGGTTGGCATTATCATTTATTTTATAATGTAATAAATAGTAATGACTGTATGATTTGATAACTTTCATTATTTTTCTACACACAGTTATCTACTAATTTAATTAATCAATGAATTGGCATTTTTTCTTCCCTCACTTCCAAATTGAAATATCTGAAGAAGTTACGGTTCAATTACAATAATTTATTTATATCTACACAAATTTTTCAACTAGTAACTTAGATTAGATAGCCAGCATCATACACAGACAGCAATACAAATGCAAGCTAATCCTTCGTGACTTTCCAATTTAGGATCAAAATTCAAGCGTAAAAAGTCATGGGACTTTTGTTCAGATCATTCAAAATGTCAATTGAAGATTTCAATTTCAATTACAAATTTGAAATGTATTAATCTCTTTATCTATCTCGATCCGTTACCGTTTTTCTTGAGACGAAATAAACTCTTAACAATCGTTAACGAGAACTTATCGTAGCTGAGCGTATGATTGATTGTATACAATTTCTTTGGTTTCTTGGACCAAAAAAAAACTTAATGATTTTGCCTGCTTTTGTTACCTTTGCTACTTGATTTAATATGTTGTCTATCAACTTGACTTTATCGATATCAGGTTGATATTCCTATGCGTTTAGAATTATCACTACGACAATTTGTTACCATGAATATAATTATTTCATCTTTTTTCTTCTTTCTTCACTATTAACAATTAGCAATTACCAGTATTTTTTTTCTTTTTCTTTTCTTTTTTCTTTTTTTTCCACTTCAAACTTTTTATCAATGTTCGAAATTATATACTGTCTCTCTCTCTATAAGGAGCACCAGTACTTTCAATATATTCATATATATATATAATTGGCGTTTATATTCCAAAATTTATCTTTGATTTCTTGTACATTTGCCATAAAAATTATCTAGCAATTTTTTTGTATTACTCATCTATCTCTCTTTTTGATCTATTTATCTCTTTGTTTTTAATATATAACCCAACAAAGACTTGTTAATAAACTTTTCAGGTCTCATAATAGATTTTGTTAGTTACTTGGCTAAATCGAAAATTTTTTAGCAAAAAAATCATCGTTATTGAAATATTTTTTTATTCAATTTTTTGAAATCGCAAAAAAAGAAGATAAATTAAATTATATAATATATTGCAAAAATCCTATCCAGAAGCATTAGGAATTAAACAGTCATACATATTCCGAATTAAAAAAAAATGTCTGATTCATTAACCCGAAGGACATCTGGTGAATTGGAGGATGATTCTTTTGCATCCCATATAGACTCAAAACAAGATCATGAAGTCAAAATTGTCTCTAAATTCGATAGTACCTCTTTACAAAATAGTGATCAATTAGAGATCACCAAAGTTGGTGATGATGATATTGAATATGATGATAACCAAGATTTTGTCGAGCCAACCGAAGAAGAAATGAAAACTTTAAAACATGTAAGTGGTAAAATTCCAATGAGATGTTGGTTAATTGCCGTTGTTGAATTATCCGAAAGATTCTCTTATTATGGGTTAGCCGCTCCTTTCCAAAATTATATGGCGAATGGTCCAAATGATACTCCAAAGGGTGTCTTAATGTTAGATACTCAAGGTGCCAGTGCTTTGTCTTATTTCTTCCAATTTTGGTGTTACATTACTCCTATCTTTGGTGGTTATATGGCTGATACTTACTGGGGTAAATACAATACTATTTGTGCCGGTACTGGTATTTATGTTGTTGGTATTTTCTTGTTATTCATTACTTCTCTTCCTTCTATTGATACTCGTGAAACTGCATTGGGTGGTTATGTCACCGCTATTATTTTAATTGGTATTGCTACTGGTATGATCAAGGCTAACATATCTGTTTTGATTGCCGAACAGATTCCAAGAACTAAGCCAAGAGTTATAACCCAAAAAGGTGGTAAAAGAGTTATTGAAGATCCAAATATCACCACTCAAAATGTTTTTATGTTCTTCTATATGATGATTAACGTTGGTTCTTTGTCTCTTATGGCCACAACTGAATTAGAATCTCACAAAGGTTTCTGGGCAGCATACCTATTACCTTTCTGTTTCTTCTGGATAGCCGTCGTGGTTTTGGTCATTGGTAGAAATCAATATATCATGGTTCCAGTTGGTGATAAGATGATTTCCAAGAGTTTCAAAGTCATGTGGATTTTGGTTAAGAATAAATTAAACTTTGATGCTGCAAAGCCAAGCATGAACCCAGAAAAGAACTACCCATGGAATGACAAGTTTGTAGAAGAAATAAGAAGAGCTTTAAGAGCTTGTAAGGTTTTCGTCTTCTACCCAATCTACTGGTGTGTATACGGTCAAATGATTAACAATTTTGTTACACAAGCTGGTACAATGGAATTGCATAACTTACCAAATGATTTCCTACAAGCTTTTGATTCTATTGCCATCATTGTTTTCATTCCAATTTTTGAAAGATTTATATATCCATTCGTAAGAAGATTCACTCCTTTCAGACCAATAACAAAGATTTTCTGGGGTTTCATGTTCGGTTCCGGTGCCATGATATGGGCTGCTGTCTTGCAATCATTTATTTACAAGGCAGGTCCTTGTTACAATATGCCAATGAAGTGTGCACCAGAATATGCCAATACTCCAAATCAAGTTCATGTCGCATGGCAAGTTCCTGCATACGTTTTAATTGCCATTTCTGAAATTCTTGCATCTGTTACTGGTTTAGAATATGCTTATTCGAATGCTCCTGCTAGTATGAAATCCTTCATTATGTCCATTTTCTTGGTTACCAATGCATTCGGTTCCGCAATTGGTATTGCCATTTCTCCAACTGCTCAGGATCCAAAGTATACCTGGACTTTCACTGGTTTGGCTGTTGCATGTTTCATCGCAGGTTGTTTGTTCTGGATTTGTTTCCGTAGCTACAACAACACTGAAGATGCTATGAATGACATTGATTTCATGGATGATGATGATGATAAGATCATGCCAACCGCTGGTGAAAAGACTAGTATTGAAGTGATGGAACCAATCACTTCATTTAGATCTATCAAATCTCTCTAATGAATTCACAAATTTAAGTCATACAATTGTCATAAACTAATTTTAATTAATGTAACATGTATCATAATAATTATGTATAATAAATTCAAAAAGCAAATGAACTTGTATAAAAGTATTCATATAAATATCTAGTCATATATACAATTTTGATCAAATAATGAAATTGACTCTATTGTTAAAGAAAACTTTCAGCATCTTAATCAAATGGAATATTTATTAATTGTTGAATAATAATTATTAAGCCATTTATTTAGTCGTTAATGAATATTCGGGACGTAGGCACCCTGGAAGTCAAGAAAAAATAGATCGGTATTTCAAGGTCAAAGCAACTGTGTTACTTGCCTCCCCTCAAGTGACAAAAACTATATCATCATAGTATAGAGGTGGATATATGTTATAACCATTAATGATCCGTATTTTATAATTTTCTTAAAACTAGTAAGAGTTACTAAATGATCAAAAAAGTTATTACTCAGAGCTTTTTCAGGTCAAACACTTATTACAACTAACTCTATTATCATTTCCTGTAACGACATAAAGAAAAATTGATAAACCAACTCGACATCTAATCGATGAATGGCAACTTTATTATTACACAAGTGAACAAACTATATTATTGATGTCGAATGAAGATAATCACCATGGTAACTTAGGAAAAGATTCAAAAACTGTATTTTGTGCATTCAGTCATGTGAAATGACTGTGTTGTATTCTTTGTTGTGAATTCTTTAGTTGTAGATATCTAATAATTGTATGTTGATTATACAAGCACATATTTCAGTGATCTATCGTCATTGAATACTATTCTTTTATAAAAATTTTACTAAAAAAGCCCATCAATTTAATATGCACCCAGAGTGTACATTAAAGGGAATATTTTTAAAATCTACATTTTGAGATGATATATTTTAATTAACATTTCCGTCATTGATGTGCAGTGAAACAAATCTATAATTGAAAATGGGATATCACATGAAAGAAAACTCCTTATTAAAATTAATAAATAGTGTTTATTTTAGTTTAAGTAAACTTTCCATTGAATTATAATTCGCTTTCAGTTCTTAAAAAAACAAATCTAGATAAAATGCTATATCGTCACCAATCGAGCAGTTAGTCAAGTGTAGCATGAAAAAGACAAAATACACCAAAAGTTTAACTCTCGAGTTAGAATCCCTCTGATATTATTCCTTTTGCGTAAAGGAAAGGTTTAAGTTCTTCATCAACAAGAATTGGTTGGAAGGTATTTAACTAAATTTATTATATCAAACTAAAGTAATAAAAATATACCATTAAAATTAGTTTTGCTGTTACCTCCTCTGATAAAAAAGGTTTCAAGTATTGATCTATAAATATAATAAAATGAAACACACCTATACGGTATCGGTTAAAGTTGCTTAATTTTAATCAATAAATTATTTGAATCATAGCCAATTTCATATTCCTATCTAATTATAAACTACGTAATTCAATCCATTCTTACAAAAATTTGCTCTGCGATCAATCGTTTTATCTTCACTTGCAAATGCAAACTAACTTTACTAAATACACAGTTCAATTGTTAAAGCAACCACAGCCACGTATTGTCGCAGGAATAGAATGTCAACGTAAAATCACACGTAATTAACTACCGTATAGTAGGAAAAAAATACATGTTCAACAGATCAATACATTAAACTGCTATATTATGCTTTTCGAAACAAATTCAGTTTACATCAAGAAACAGTCTCCTAAGATATGTTCTTACAAACTAGATTAATAATCAACTAAAGATATATAGAAAGCGCAATCAGAAGGGCAAATGAATAACGAAGAGTGAAAAAAAAAACATTATTTTAGGAGAGAATTACTCCGAAACCCTCTTGATGCCTCAAATAGTCTATTACGGCTTCAAAGCTAATTGAGAGTTTTGAACTTATGTTTTCAATCTAATTCAATTTAACTCAACTCAGCCAGCCATTAAATAATAGTAACCCATTAATTATTATTTTATTTATCTCTATTCAATTCCAATCGTCATAGCAGAGTAGAACATACTATTAAATATGAAAATTACTACTGCGATTCCCATCAATCACGTAGAAGAGAGGATTGAGGAAACTGTTGAACTTTCAAATTGTTTTATGTAGTTAATTGTATAGAAAATCAGTGTTATGTTGTCTACTTTTGCTATACCTTCCTTACTGTGTGAAACTATTAGCAATCATTGATGTTATGTCTCTCTTTACTTACACTGCTTCTTTTCTTGCTCTTTTTCCCTTCCGTACTTCAGTTACACACTTGATTAATAATATCCATCGGAGATGAATACCATTTGCAAATTGATTTCAGTTCAAATTAGGTGGCTGACCTCTTCAATTGAAATATATATAAATCAATTAAAATTATAAACTCTTTTACATATCAATTGGCCTCTATTTTTATCTTTTCCTTGTGTTGTTAATGCTAAATTACAATTTATTGTAGATACAAGATAAAAATATACCATAAAAAAACAACAACATTGACAATGAGCGTATTAATTAGTGGTGCTTCTGGATACATTGCCAAACATATCGTCAGAGTTCTTTTGGAACAAAATTACAAAGTAATTGGTACTGTTAGAAGTCAAGACAAAGCTGATAAGTTATTGAAACAATATAATAATCCTAATTTGTCTTATGAAATTGTACCTGAAATAGCAAACTTAGATGCTTTTGATGACATTTTTAAGAAACATGGTAAGGAAATAAAATATGTCATTCATGCAGCTTCACCAGTGAACTTCGGCGCAAAAGATTTGGAAAAAGATTTAGTTATTCCTGCCATTAATGGTACCAAGAATATGTTCGAAGCTATTAAAAAGTATGCCCCAGATACTGTCGAACGTGTTGTAATGACTGCTTCTTATGCTTCAATTATGACCCCACATAGACAAAATGATCCAACTTTAACTTTAGATGAAGAAACTTGGAATCCAGTAACTGAAGAAAATGCTTATGAAAATGTCTTCACTGCTTATTGTGCTTCAAAAACTTTTGCTGAAAAGGAAGCTTGGAAGTTCGTTAAAGAAAATAGTGATGCTGTTAAGTTTAAACTAACCACTATCCACCCATCCTTCGTTTTCGGACCTCAGAACTTTGATGAAGACGTCACTAAGAAACTAAATGAAACTTGTGAAATTATCAATGGTTTATTACATGCTCCATTTGACACCAAAGTCGAAAAGACTCACTTCAGTCAATTCATTGATGTTCGTGATGTCGCCAAAACTCACGTTTTGGGTTTCCAAAAAGATGAATTAATCAACCAAAGATTGTTATTATGTAACGGCGCCTTCTCTCAACAAGATATTGTTAATGTATTTAATGAAGATTTCCCAGAGTTAAAAGGCCAATTCCCACCAGAAGATAAGGACACCGATTTAAACAAAGGTGTAACAGGTTGTAAAATTGATAATGAAAAGACTAAAAAATTATTAGCATTTGAATTTACTCCTTTCCATAAAACAATTCATGACACTGTCTATCAAATTTTACATAAAGAAGGTAGAGTTTAAATAAACATAACAATAAATACAATATAAGATATATATAGATTATATAATTTTATTGAATTTTCTTATTACACCTATATCCACAGTTTTTAGTCAATATAGTTTACTTCTTAGTAAAAATAAGTATAGTATGTTTAAAAACGATGAATGGTCATTATGAAGAACCTTTAAATTTTTAAAGATATGGAAATATCAAAGGGTTAAGCCGAAGCAAAAACTTTTTGGTATTTTAATAATGAGTAACAAAAGAGAAAAGGTTTGAAAGTGTTAAGTTTTTATAGGTGGAATATTAGATATTATAAGACTAATTATATACTTGAATGAAATATTTGATATATTATATAAATTGTTGTCTTTGTTTTATTCTTATAGAAAGAAGAATAAAGTTAGAAAAAGATAGAAACTGATTAGGAGTAAGGTTTCGTATAAATCAGTGATGCCATTTTGGTTAGCATCAAATTTACAGAAGAAACTCCTTTTATACATCTTACAAAAAATATCATTATTTTCCAATGTTGATTTGTCCAATGTTGATGTTTCATTAGGCTCAAATTCAAAATTTGCATTTCATGATGTTCGTTTAAATTGTGATGATATTGATTTGCCAAATATAGAGGTAAAAGAAAGTACGATACAGCAATTAGATCTTCAGTTAACAGTGTCGGGAGTTTTAAATATAAGTGGTGAATCTGTTATTATAGTTGTTAAACCTAAAGTTGATAATGAATCAAATTCAAGTAAAGAATTTTCATTAGCTAAAAGTTTGCATGACTTAACTGCTTCAATGATCCAATTTCCCCAATCATTTGATCTCGATGAGATAAAAAATATGAAAACTAATCAAAATGAATATGATAATGATATAATTGGAAGTTCAAGTTCCAGTGGGAATGAAAATGATATTGATATTTATAATTCGTCTTCAGATGAGAAAAATGAAAAGGAAAGTGAATCAACCGGAACAATGAAATCTATGAAGAATAAAATTCTAAGTAGTGTACTGTCGAAGTTTAAAATGGAACTGAAAGACGTGATTTTAAAGGTAATACTTCAAGACTCTGCTTATATCGAAATATCTATCGATAAAGTTTCATTGGCAAATAAACCGGATGATATCAGAACACTAATAATAGATCAAGTAAGGATAGACCATGTTAAATCAATAGTTGAAGAACAAGAAATATCATTTAATCGACGTATGCCAAATAATTTGGAACAAAGTAAATCATTGTATGAATCCAATTCTTTATACATGAGCGCATTAGATGAAATTCAACATAATCCTGAAATTGACCTTAAAGAAGATAGACTAGAACTTTTAGTAGTTAAGCATTCAAATATTACATTGACAGGATTAAGCACAATTGAAAATTTTAATCTAAAAGATTTAGATATTACAGTTGATCATATTTTATGTTCCTATAAGAATTTATTATGTATTGATGAAATGTTTTTTGACGATGTCATGGGAACGTTAAATTCATTTATATCAAATAGTAATAATTCCCCTAGAAGTTCAACTGCATACAAAAGATTCCAAATTGAAAATGATTTATATGAAAATGATAGAAAGTTAAAATTATCCATTAATACAATTATATTCTTAGTGGATGATCACATTTCTGTTAGCTTATCTAATTTTAATTTAGATCAATCTGAAAAAAATGAATTTAAGATCAATTTAGAATTAATGAAATTAAATGATCTTACGACAGATAGATCAATGGTATTTTCGCCATTTTTGGAGGCATTTATTAGTAATTCTGTTCTAACTTTAAATTTCTTATCTGATTTAGACTTTTATTTTGAAAAGGATTTTATAATAGGATTAATATCTGTATGTCAGAAAACATCAAAATTAATGAACACGTATAATAGGAAAAAAAACGCCAATAAAAGGCCAAGAGAACCTGGTCGTAACAATATCAAATTTTCTATTACTACGAAAAATGTGTCATTTAAGTTTAAATTAGATCAATCATATATACTTATACGTTGTGACCCAATTATATATGATTGGAAAACTGATAAGTTAGCAATTTCAAAAATAGAATTTCTAAATGATCTGAATCTACAAAAATTAGAACGTTTTATTACTGTAGATTCACTTATTTTAAAATTTTCAAACACTCCTATACAATGTTTAGCATATGATGAACACTTTACGAAATGTGCATTAATAACAAAGGTCTTACTAAACATAAAAAATATCTGTTTCAGATACCAATACCATAAATTATTGCAATTGTATGGGAGTATTTTGGAAATAATTGATGAAGCAACTCGTTTTGAGAAAAGCAAAAAATTATCTAAAAGAGGGTCTCATCTACGGAATACTGTGAGGATCATGAACTCTTCCAGTATTATATTCAAGAAAAAATTAAATGCTAACACCATCATTTCTATCGATAATATTGATGCTCAATTTGATCATTTCTTAAATGAAGAGTTTGGAAAAATGGTACTTGGTCTAAAAAACAATCTAATTGCATTGAAGGAGAATTCTGAAGTGTACATGCTCTCGAAAACATTATCAATAGATAGGTTACTAAAAGAGAGAAGATACCCTATTTTATCATGTCTATTGAATTCAAATTCCCAGGAACCCACATTAATTTTTGAAAAAAAGGTAAGAAACAAACTTAAAATTTACATAAAAAATGTTTGTTTACACTATTATGCAAGACTTTTGCCAATTTTGACTAAAATGGATACAGATTTAAAAAAAGAAAATTCGGATGCTGATCACAATAGTTTATTCATTGATATAAAGATTAGTAATACAGCGGTAGTCTTGCATCCATTCAGAATAAAACCTGCATTGATTGTAATCTTTGACTCATTGTCTATCAGCAGTGATTTTTTGAAATGTACGCATAAAATATTTTTCAAACATGGCTGCCTATTATTAATCGATGATATAGGAAATATGAAGGTCTCATCGAAACAACCGTGGTCTTCCCTTTCTAATTATTATTTACAAAGAGGTTTTTCCGCCATTGGAAAAATAACGAATACTAATGTGAACATTAAAACAGACTGTAATGGGGTAGAGGCTACGACTAATGTAGAGTCATTGGGCTTATCTTTATGTGCTGATTCATTTAATACTCTAATATCACTTCTAATTGATTTGAAGATACCGATTACTTTTCCAGATGAGGATAAATATAATATAGAAGTTCCAGAAGATGTTGATGTTTTTGCGGATGTGGATATGTCTTTTTTCGACCCAATTCATATCAAGGAAACAGAAGAATTAATCATTGGTGGCGAATCTGTTCATGTAGTGAACGAATTTTTAGACGATTTCCATGATGAGGTTGAAATATCTGAAAAAGTCGCATCTCCTAAAAAATTTTTTAATGATTATATTAGTTCACATAGAATTACACAGCCGCTGGAATTGGAAGAAAGCTACATAGATCGTGTTGATTTAGACACCACCCTTGAATTTACTGAAATGGAGTTTACTGCTTTTAACTTAGACATAAAGAAAATATCAATAAAACTTTTTGATGGATATGACTGGAAATACACACGCAAATCGATATCAAATACAATTGACATGGTGGGTAGAGAAATAGAAGACTATGAGGCAGACGATGATCAAAATCAACCGCTACATGCCACTATATTCGATTCAATATATATATCTACAACTAAATCAGATGTGTCCAATTTAAAAAGTAGAGTTAACAATGAAATTCAAGGTGAAAGTAATCCAACTGGATTTATTCCTAAAGTGAACTTGAAACCCTCAAAATATTTTAAGACATTAATCGAGTTAAATAATGTTAATATAAATTTTACTGGATATCCAAATCAAGAACTAGTTGAATCCAGAAGTAAAGATACTAGTACCATATTAAGCAATATAAAAGTAGTGGTTGATACATTTGAAGTGATTGATAATATGCCAACTTCAACTTGGAAGAAATTTATTACATTATACAGACATGATAAATGGCCTACAGGTTTACCAATGTTTGCATCGGAATTTTCATTGGTCCAGCCAATAAATAGTTTACAAGCGACTGAGATGATTATGGCCCTGAATATATCTCCTTTAAGACTACATATTGATCAAGATACATTAGACTTTCTATTAAGATTTTTTGAATTTCGTGATGTGAGATTTGAACTAATCGATGATTTTCCAGAAGTACTTTTTATTCAAAAGTTCACAATGAATTCAGTAAAAATTCTATTAGATTATAAACCTAAAAAGATAAATTATTCAGGGCTAAGATCAGGACACTCAAGCGAATTTGTAAATTTTTTTATACTGGATGGAGCTAAGCTAACCTTAAAAAATTTGAAGCTTTACGGAATAAATGGATTTGAAGATTTAAGCGACAGTTTAAAAAATGTCTGGACACCCGATATCATATCTAGTCAATTGGGGGGAATAATCGGAGGTGTCAGTCCTTTGAAATCAGCGATTACGATTGGTACCAGTGTTAAAAAATTGGTGTCAGTTCCAATTACTGATTACAAACAGGATGGTAAATTAAGTAGAAGCATTCCAAAGGCTGTAAACATTTTTTTGAAAACAGCAAGTGGCGATTTTGTTAGACTAGGTGCAAAAATGGCATCTGGTACGCAAGCAATGTTAGAGAATACGGAAGAATTTTTTGGTGGTACAGGTTCTGCTGGCAGAACATTTGCCATACCAGAGAAATTTCTTGATATAAACAATTTAGTAGAGGAAGATCAATTGGTTGGTGGTAGTAATCCCAAAGTAAAAAACCATAGACCAGTTGCAGTTGTAATTGATGCTTCAAAGATGGAACTCGGTCAACCGAAAATAGTCAGTTTATATGCTGATCAACCTTTAGACGTGCGTGAAGGGTTAGAAGAAGCATATCATTCCTTAGAGAGACACCTCTTCATTGCTTACAATTCAATCAAAAATAGAAGTACAAACATGGACGTCCTAGAAAGTCCAACGATGACCGTATTATCGATGGCAAAAGCAGCTCCTATTGCAATCATTAGACCATTAATTGGTGCCACTGAAGCATTATCCAAGGCATTGCAAGGTATTTCAAACCAATTAGATAAAAATCAAATCGAAAATAATAAGGATAAATATAAATCAACTACAATAATTGATAGAAAATTAGTAGAATAATCAATTATGGTATCCCAATAATATCATAGGGATAACCATTCATATGTGTTATAATCATAATACCTTTCCTTACGTATCTTTATAGTAGTAGTACTTTTGAAACATGCATGATTTAGGTACAATAAGAATCATTATAAACGACAACGTATTTGTCGCTTTATCTAATTTATATCTTAAATTTGGAAAGAATATCAATATTTAACATTTAAGATATATCTTGATCTTTAGATAACTATCATAATTATCAGAAGAAGAAGCTAGATCGGATAAGTTGTAATACATTAGTTTATCATTCGCTGTTTTTGGTGGAATATCTGCGAGCCGTTATCATATCCTCCTGGCATTTTCTGGTGTAAAAAGTTGTTGAACTAGCCTCAATTGTCCAAGTGATACCGCTAACAATATTTGTGCAACAGAATTTAATAATCTTTATTATAAATTGTACTTAATTTAATTTCGAATAAAATTACAGATAAAGTATATTTATTTTATTGATAGAGATTGTATGGGTTATTAGAGTGTATGCAAAATTTACCGAATACTTCTCGATTGGGGAAGAAACATGAGGAAATGAGTGAAAGACCAAGTATCAACCAATATAACACTAGTATTAACAATAGTAACCATACGGATTTGATTAATTTTTCCAAAAAACCTGAAAAGATTTGTAGCAATTGTGGTCTTCCTATCCTTCAGAATAATAAAAGTAATAAAAGTACTTTAAAGGCATTAGGCAAATATTATCATGAACAATGTTTCAAATGTCATGATTGTTCGAAACCATTAATACCAAAGTACTTCCCATATGAAATAGCAGATACTAAAGAAACCCTATTACTTTGTCAATATGATTATTTTAAAAGGCATGATTTGCTTTGCCATGTATGTGATAAACCATTAAGAGGATTGTATTATACTGCGTTTGGTGAACGTTATGATGAAGAACATTTTTCGTGTAGTATATGTGGTGAAGCTTGTGGTGTTAAAAAATGTTTTATGAAAGATGGAAAATTGTTTTGTAGGTATCATTTCTTAAAATATTTTTCAAAAAGATGTAATGGTTGCCAATACCCTATTTCTGACAGATATATAGAATTTCCGAGAGGTGAAGAAATTCAATGCTGGCATCCAGAATGTTATGGTATACATAAATATTGGCATGTTATGCTATCGTCGTATAAACTTGGGTTATCTCCAGTTCCCACTGTAGCATATAAAAAAGGTGATATTATAGATGACACTAAACCAACAAAAAGTGAGATGGATTCGCAAATGCAGGCTTTTATTACAATATTAACCAAGACATGGTCTGTTCTATACAAATTTGAAGAACATACAGCGTCATGTATTTCTGACATGTTTCAATATTTAACAAGCGTCGATCAATTAAAAGGTCTCGAATCCGCGGCTCTATTAGTATTAAAAATCGAATGCTTATTCAAATCGTTAAACTTTTTAAAAAATAATCTAGAGCAAGAAACAAATGAAGCTATCGAGGATACCAAATCTGAAGTGGTCGAGGAAGAATCACAAGAAGATGCATTCAAATTAACTTCACAAAACGGAAATTTTAATTTAAAGAAATTATCTAGAAATTTAACTTCAAAAATAATGGTGTACTTGCAATTACTTAGGAAATTAAATTCAGAGGTAGAAAGCTCAAATGTCAAAATTGCATCTTTCATGTCTATAATAACCGGCTTAGCACATTACTTGAAATTACTAACACGTTGTGGTTTATACATGGCGCTGGAAATGAATCAGAAATCACATACTTCAGTGAATTTGTTGAAATTTTTAAAAGAAGTAGAAAAGAATGAACTTTATGAAAGTAATCCATTCCAATACATTAAACTTTCTGTCAAAGTTACTGATAATTGTTATTCATGTGGAAAATACATCCAAGAAGAATGCATACAATATCAGGATAAGAGATGGCACACAGATTGTTTGGTATGTTCGGCATGTCACAACTCTATTAATATTAACAACTTGTCTGATGCGACTTTTAATTCAACAAAATCTTTGGTACTATGTGCCGACTGTTCAATAGATGATCCAATTTCCATTCCTGGTTTTAAGTATGTGTCAAGATTATCACAGTTAATATTCTTATTGAAGATTGCTTTAGTCAGATCAAAAGCTGTAACAGAGACGCAATTAAAAAATAAATCAACCAACCATAAAGCAAAAAATGCAAAAGAGGCTATAAAAATGCAAGAAAGTTATGTAAGAACTTTAAATGATATTACTAAGTTGAAGTCACGTAGAGAAAGTGTAAGAATAGCTAGAAAGCAAAATGTCAGAATGTCGATGTTATTAGAAAAAACCGATACTGAATACAATGCAACTGCTGTAGAACTTGAAGATAAGGTGATATCTGACACAGAACCTCCAAACAGTTCGAAAGATCCATCATCTCCAGAAAACGTGTTCAGTGCGGCAAGGTCGCTAACTTTAGATGATATTTCAAGAATCGTTGCTGCTGAACAAGCTAGGGAATTAAGACCTAACGCATTTACTCATTTTAAGAAACTGAACGAGATAGGCGAGGAATCTATTCGTGTGCTTAATAAGAATGGTTGTATCTATTATTCACAATTAAGTACAACTGATCTATCCCTGTTAAGGGCTATATCGTTTTCTATACTTTCCGTAAATGATAAATTACTGGAAGGAATGTCAGATCTTTCGCAACTGACACCAGTGCTTGAGAAAGTCGAAAAAGGCAATTCTTCGATGAAATTTTGGATAAAAATGAAAGAAATGATTAATAAGGATTCAAAAAAGTCATCAACTAAAAAATTGTTCGGAGCTTCACTAGAAGAGCTATGTATAAAATATGGTGTACAATCTGATCTTGGTGTTGGTCCTTCTAAAATCCAAGTCCCTATTATCGTTGATGAATTAATTTCTTGTTTGAGACAAATGGATTTATCGGTGGAAGGTATTTTTAGAATTAATGGTAATATAAGAAGGTTACGTGAATTAAGCGCTGCAATCGATAAGAATCCAAGTGTTATCCCTGATTTATCAAAAGAATCAGCGATTCAATTATCTGCTTTATTGAAAAAATTTATTAGATCACTTCCAGAACCATTAATGACAAAGTCATTATACCAATTATGGATTAATGCTGCTAAAATTGAGAACGAAAATGAGAAACGAAAAGTTATGTCCTTAATTTATTCAATGTTACCAATATACAATAGAAATGTTTTAGAGGTAATATTTTCATTTTTATATTGGACGTCTTCATTCTCACATATTGAAAATGAAATGGGTTCTAAAATGGATATCCATAATCTTTCAACAGTCATGACACCTAATATACTTTATTCTAGTACCGAAGACAATTCTACAGGGATACAACAATCTACCAATGATACAACTAAGCCAAGTACATATCATGATGCATTTGCGCAAAATGAAGGTGAAAATTATTTCTTAGCCATTGAAGTAATTGACTACTTAATTACCCATAATGAAGAAATAGCCATGGTTCCAAAATATTTAAATAATCTATTGTCAGAAATAAAGGCCAATAAATTGGACAACTATGAATGTATTAAATCATTTGTGATAAAAGAATTAAGTGCTAATTCATATAAATTTGATTCACAAGACAATGAATTAAAATCTAAAACAATGAAAATGGTACATTCCCCATCTATAATTACGCAAAATGAGAAATCTTTAGATCAATAAGAAGTGATTTATAGCTCCCCTTCATTTTTTTAAAGATTCAAGAAAAGGAAGGATATTGTCAATTTCAAAAGCATAAATTTAAATATATCTTTAAAATTATTACCACCTCCCCACTATTAACATACATCTTACGCAGTTTTCCAATTATCGTTACCTGTTTTTATTTTCCCTTTTTCCACGTTAATGTCTACAACTTGTAATATTAAATACAAATATAAATATCAATTTAATCTGATTTAATTTATCCAACAAGTCCCTGCAAATTAGTCAAATCTAATAATCTGACCATTAATTTAATCATCGCTCTCCGACGTTTCTTGTTCTTGTTACTATGGTGAAATTGTCTTACTTTACTTAACTTTTTCCCACTATGACGATTTATTTCCAACAGTGAAAATATATTTAAGATGTCAAAAATTTCGAAATTAATTAATAAGATGTAGAAATCGATGTGATAAAACATTAAAGATCTAGTTTATTCATTAGTATTTGCAGATCGGTATTTCGGATAAGGCCAAACAGTTATGGTAGAGTCAGTTTATGAGCTAACTGGAAAGTCCCAGATCGACTTTTTATCTGACGGTTTAGATTCAGTTCCAGAGAGTCAACTATTTGATTCCGATGACAGTCAAGCTGATGAGGTATTTAAAGTTATACCTGCTTCTAATAATGACACAACTGCTGCTATAGTACAATCATTTTCTGATTCTGAGGAGAGTTTTAATGAACAATTTACGAGATTACATGTTAATGATGCTGATATATCTATGCCTTCATTTTTTAGTGGAGGTGAAATAAAGAATGCCCAATTAAATTTAACACCAAGAGAAATTTTATTAGTAAGGAAATCCTGGGGGATGTTGCTTGATGACGAGGTAGTCAGTAAATCTGCTTCCGTTATCTCTAGTATGTTGAGTGGGAATGATGCTACCGACTCTGGTGGTAAAAGTACACCAGTCTTTAAATCTATTGAAGAATACCCATATCATGAAATTAAAACTGAAGATGTTTTAATTGCAGGTGGCTTATTTTATGCACAATTCTATGGTAATTTGATATCGATAGATCCAAAATTAGACAAAGAGTTTCCAACATTAAAACATCAAGCTTCTGGGTTTGCAATGGTTTTAAATACAGCTGTAATTAATTTAGAAGATTTAACGATTTTAGAACAATATTTGAAAAATTTAGGTAAAAGACATTTTAGAATTTTAGGTATCCAAGCTCCAAATTTTGAATTAATGGGTGCCGCATTTATCAAAACTCTTCGTGATCGTATTGGTATTTATTATACAATCGAACTTGAGAAAATTTGGACAAAAATTTATTACTTCCTGGCAAATAGTATTTTAAAGTATGGTGCTGATCCTATGTTAGATGTAAATTCTCAAGAAGAAGTTTTGGTATTTTCAATGCCAACTTTAGGAAAAAATTCAAACGTTTCTACATCAGGTGTTCGTTCAAACAAGACCGTATCTTCAAATGACGTAGGTTCAAAATCACTGGTACGGACTAATTCAGGTAAAAGCAACAGTTCAGCTTATGATAATAGACGATCTTCTGGTACAATAAATAAATCACAATCGATGAACCAAAATATTCCTTCACAAAAGAAAGTATCTTCAATTCCTAATGACACTAGGCTTTTAAGAAGGGCTAATATTGGTAAAAAGATTCCTAATAATAAAAAGGAATGTATTTTGATGTAAGTTCATCAATCAAATTGTAATATAAGACATTCATTTAAACTTCAATTAAATCGAATAAAGGGCATAAATGCTTAACCAACTCATATGATACACCATTCTCAATTTTGTAAAAATTATAAAACATTTGTCATTAAATTAATTATGCAGAGTAGTACGTAAAAAGGACTGTAGTGTTATAAAGTCTATATTTTAATTATATAGATGTAATGCTGGTTCTAATAATGTTATTGTTCTCTTTCATGAAAACAGTTCTAAAAAACAACTATTTCTTTTTATCATGTATATATATCTTTTTAGTGTTTTTAGTCTTAGGAAGAGTTGACATAAACCTGTTCTTTGAAAATATTCCAGATTCTTTCTTCTTTCCAATCTTTGGATCAGAACTACCTGTTGACTTTATTCCATTCTTTATAATTGGAATACTTGATGAAGCTTTCACTGTATCATTAAGTTTTTTTGTAGGTGATGGTGATAAATTCGGTTTCTTTTTAGTCAAGAATATATTAGTTATACCTGATCTTCTTTTCTGAGGAATAATAGCATTTTTAGTTAAATCCTTCTCATTATCTTTATTTATCAATTCTTGTTCACACCCATTTTTAATTGTAGTTTCATTAGTAGATAAATTTTTGGATTTAGCCTCGAGTTTGCTATTGTTATTGTCAATGTCAATTTCAATGTCAATTTCAATGTCATTATCATCATCATCATTATTATTGTTATTATTATTATTATTTCTATCATTAGCCAGTGGTCGTTGATGATATCCACCTGCAACACCTCCAAATGCAACTCTTTTTGCATGGCCTTTGGCAATATCAAAACCTCCATCTTTAAATTTTTTCAACCTTGTTTGGTGTTGTTTAAGTGATTTTTTAAATAAGTCACTTCTATCATTTTGAAGTTTAGCCTTCCGTTTAGTTCCTATATTATTATTATGGGAATAGAATAAATGATCCACTTTTACAGATTGTTTCGACTCTCTTTCCTCTTTAATTTTACGCATTTGCAATCTTAATCTTTCTGTACTTTGTTTTGCTTTTCTAATATCATCTTCCTCATACCTTAGATATAGCAGCCTATAAGGCAGCCTGAATTTATTATTCAAGTGACACTTTTTTATTGAACTGTTCAATAGATTATCAATAAGTTCACGATCATTATTAAATAATTCAGGATCATTCTTTTTAACAAAACTTAAATAATAAGTTTGAATAATATCTCTTCTTGATGTATATAAATCACTAACTCTTAATGGGAATTCTTGTTTGACAAAATTTTCCCAAAGTTCATCATCATCAAATATCAATAATACATTTGCAGCCTCTAAACGACGGATTTGGTCTACTTTCATCAACTTTAATGCATTTGAAATCAATCTATATGGAACGTTAGACACATCTTCTAATAGCCTATAATTTCTTACCAGTTCAATCTCGCAAAGCTTGCTTAGGCTTAGCATAGTGCAAAAATCATTTAATTCAACTATTATTTATACTACCCAAATGAAATAGCTCAAATTACACCACTCCTCCAAATAATATACGTTGTATATACCTCTTTACCTTCTTTTTATTCCAATAAACACTTCTTGCTTTAAGCTACCTAAGCTCTTTAAATATCTTTAAGACCACTACAATTTTTTTTCCCACTATAAAAATTAAATGAAGTGACACATTAAATTAAATAGTGAAATTATTTAATGTTACAGTTCTTAGAAAGAATTTCATTAATCGATTTTATTATTTTTAAAAACACATCATATAGCATGACCCTACAATACTTACATTTATATATTTTAAATTAAATATTAAATTTTATTCTTTTATACAACAACACAACAACGATTTTGATGAATGATATAAAGACTAGAAATCCTTTAAAGATCAAATGTTATTAGGAGAAGGCCAACGATTATTGATAATGTCAATCAAGTGATTGTGATCGTTAACATTTATTCGCCTCTTAATGCCTGAATTATTGCTGGTCTTCTCATCATATTTTTAGTCCATTTATAAACCTCTGGGAACTCTACCCTGATATTTATACCAATTCTGTCAATCACGTTATTCCATGGTAAGAAAGATATGTCAGCAATTGTGATATTATCACCAACTAGCCAAACTGGATAATCGAAGAATCTACTTTGAGAAATTGGTGTGGTACCTGCGGAGTATGATGCAGCATTTTCTGTATCTAATTCCATAACCACAGCTTCTCTTCTTTCTGCAAGGGCAACCTCTAATACACCATAAACCCTTCTAACTTCATCTGTATATCTTTCTATTGCACTAGGGATTTTTTGTGAATGGAAGTATCTAAAATGCAAAGCTTGACCAATCATTGGAGCATGACCTGAAGTTTGAAAGAATAGCCATGCATTAATCTGTGATTGATCTGATAGATTGTCTGCCCAAAGTAATGGTTCGCCAGTTTCTTTATAATATTTATTAACTAGATGTAATAGAATTGCACCAGATTCCCAAATACCTAAATTATCTAAACCATGATCGATTAAAGCTGGTACCCTTGCATTTGGATTAACTGAAACAAATTCAGGTGCTCTATGTTCACCACTACTAAAATCTAAAAAAATGGTGTTATAATTAAGTCCTAGTTCACTTAGAACCATTGAAACTTTATAACCATTTGGAGCAGATCTATGAGAGAATAGTGTATAACCCTCCATTGGTTGATTTTGGAAAAATTGAGTAATTCTTGAATTTTGATTTGGATTAAATGCTGCATTAAACATCTCTTGATTTTGCTGTTGTTGTTGTTGTTGTTGCTGCTGCTGCTGCTGCTGTTGTTGTTGTTGTTGCTGCTGCTGCTGCTGCTGTTGCTGTTGCTGTTGAGCTTGCTGTTGACGCACTTGTTGTTCATTGAGATTTTGATTACTAACCTGTTGCTGCACTGAAATTGGATGAATCATATCTTCTAAATGGACTTCTTGTGATTGATATTGCTGTTGTGGATGTGTTTGTAATACATTTTCCCTACCTGAGGATTCAAAATGTATATTTGATTGATCTGTTGTAGTATTACTATTGCTTATATTCACATGGCGAAGAGCACTAGAAAGTTGTGATACATTGACTCCATTCTTATTAGAATTTCGATTTATCTCATCTGGATTTAAATTACTTTGCATTGGGATGTATGTAGAAAGTGGGAAATAATCTTGTAAATTCTTTTATTTTTTTTTCCAGTTTTCCTGTATAGTTAATGGAGTTGTATCTAGTATGAAGTGAACTTTACTTATCAAGAGCGTATTGTCCTTGATATATCGAGCTTCTATTTCTGTAGGTTGTCTTATATATATATATACCTTTTTTCCTAAAGTTTAAAAAATATTAATTGTTGGAGCTGACTCTTTTTATTAATCGGTATTGCTTGTCCTGTTGAAATTTATCTCAAACAAACGGTTTCAAATAACGAAAACTACCAACACTTTTAGAACAATGATTAGAAGTGTAATTAAATAGGGTTCTTGACTTAAATTCTTTTTAATAGTCCTCTCTTGTTTGAATATATACAAGATTACTCATAACTTATCTGAGCTTATAGTTCTTCAAATTTTCCCATCGATGTGAAGAAAAAAAAGTGAAGTTCAATTGAGAAAAGCAGGTTTTAACTGCGTTAATGCTGTGGTGTAAGAGTGCTAATATACATATGAATAAATACAAATCTATATCGATATATTAGAGAGTACCTAATGAATCAAACCTGTAATTCTTTTGAAAATGACAGTAATTCACTCTCAATATGAAGAGTAAAATGATAAATTGGTCTAATTCAGTTGGGCCTTCTATCTCTTTTTACCAGATGATACCATCGAGTGTGGGGACGGGGGTATGATGTGGGGCCAACGAAATGATGTAAATATCAGTACTAAATGCAATAAGATACATTCCAAAGATGAAGTCTACTTTGCTTTCAAACAACACTGTCTTCAGAAACATATTCATAATTTCTTCTTATTTTTTTTCGATTTTGATTTCACTTTGGAAGGTGGTGCAGCATGTCCACTTGTGTTGACATGCTTAAAAAGACCATTACGACTACTGAATCCTTCACCACATGTACTACATATCTCTGTCATCACTAGATTCAAAGTCGATGATGAAGGTTCTGTATTGGGTTGAGATAAAGGAATGTTCGTTTGCTTTTTCTTAGTTTTGGTCTTGTTACCTTTTTTAGAAGATTTCTTGTTAGTGCCCCAGCCATCGTCACTATCGTTAACAGACGTGCCACTACCATTTTGTAATGATGTTAGTAAATCATTTAGTTCTTTATCCCTTTCTAAATCATTATCTTTATCTTCGACATCGCTTGTATCCTCAGCTGATTCGGTTTCTATCTCAATTTCTTCATCATCATGTTCAATATCGCTTAATTCTATGTTAACATTCCTTTTAATGTATTCCAAATCTGAATCTGGATTTACATCTGAATCCGAATCTAACTCAGTATCTAGTTCGGCTAATTGTTTTTCAATTTCCGCCAGTTCTTCATTTATTTTATCCATATTTAGGTTGTCACTTTCTCCATTATCAGATATTATATCATGTTCCTCATTAGCAGAATCGAAATCATCCAAGTCACTGAGATTATCTAATCCGACTTCTAAACTTTCTTTTCTCATTTCTTTCTGTATTTCTATGATATTACTTTTATGTAATTTAGTCTGGGTATGATTTTGCAATTGATTTTCTGATTTAAATGTTTTGGAACATAGAACACACTCATATATTAGTATTTCCTCCTCTTCTTCAGATTTCTTATCCTTTGACATTTTACCTTTAGATTTTGGTTTGATACTATTACTAGAGCCTTCTAAGGATCCCTCTTCTGTTTCATCCCAAACATCATATCGTTTATCTAATTCATCCCATACATTATCATCAACCTTTTGCCAACTTTGTAATTCTACATTTGACCTGCTATTGTTGATATCATTTTTAAACTTATTTCTTAATTGTGATTTTTTCAATTGGTCATTTGCTCGTTTTTGTTCTTCAGCTAACTTTGCTCCCTCTACCATTCTCTTATCTAATTTTTTGATAAAACTTACAAACCTCTCTACTGTCTTGTTATATTCATTTCTTGCTGTCTTTCTTGCCTTCTCATTTCTTTTATTAATTTCTCTCTTAGTCCTTCTATCATAATTCTTGGAATACATATATTCATCTTTCCAACTAAAACTTTTTAGAGTGTTAAATGAGTTCCATTTTCTATAAAACTCTTTAGAATAGCTGTAGCTACTTTTAGAATACCCAAATACAGGGAATAATATTTTATTTTGTTCTTCATTTATGTATTTATCACAAGCTTTCAGATAACCAAGTACATTTATGTCATTTTCAAAATCATCATCCCTATAACTGCTATAATTGTCTAATCCAAGTTTTCTCCCTGCTAAAATTTCATCTTTTGCCAGCTTTGCAAATATTTTACCAGCTATTTGATAAAGACCAGCTGGAGAATCATCCTTTCTTGTATATAAAGATGAATTAAAAAACATTAACAATTCATCAGTAGTAACACCCGTTACAGAAGCATCAACCTCATATTCATAAACACCATTCTCATCAACTATTGGATCATCATTTAATATTTGATTCTTATGAGCATCATACCAAGCTCTCTCTTGTGGGTCTGACAGTACTTCATAAGCAGATCTAATAGTAGCAAATATTTCAGTTGCTTCTTCGACATTATCAGGATTCTTATCAGGATGAAACTGAAGGGCTTTCTTTCTATAAGCTTTTTTCAATTCGATATCAGTAGCTGTTATATCAACACCTAATAATTCATAATAGCATGTTTTCATATTTTTTTAGCCTCTCTCTTTGCAACTTATTCGATCTTCAGCAATTCGTTCACTTCCTCTATGAATTAGGTAAAACTTAAAGATATTACAACTTAGTGGCTTCACAAATTCCTATACCTAAAATACCCTTTACAATTATATGTATTATATAAAATGCTATTAGATTAAATTATATTAAATATCCAACTTTTTGATTTAATGTTACAAACTATCTTCTTGGTAAGCGATGCGTTTAAACAATTTTTTTTTCTTTTTTTTTTCTATAATTCTTAACATGACTTGAATAATTTAAGATGCCAATTGACAAACTAATTGAATTAAAGTCCATAAGGGGAATTGGCAGAAAATATCAATATCATTGCAACCTTTGTACATGCTGTTATCATTAAAGTTTAGTACTAATCCTTTGATATAGAGAATCCAAACAGATTTCTAATGGATGTTTTAATCCATTTAAATCATATGATTCTATGTATTCAGTGTAAACCTTATTGGTGAAATATTTTGTATCTATTTCTTCATTGTATAATTGATAATGGATTTGATTTGCGAAATGAATTAATATTGGACGTTCGTATTTTAGATATATTCCAATTAATGGTAATTTTTTGGTCAATTTTGAGAATGGAATTTCTAGTAATAATATTAAGTTCTTTATTATATTTTGGAGTTGTGTCATATCAATAGTATCAACCTCATCTACCATTAATGATTCATACATGTGTCTGTCCATTTCTGGCCTTGATTTCTTTGCTATTTCATATGTAATCTTTTGATAACGATTGCCTTCGAGTTTCTTTATCGAGTTAGTTAAATTATCGATACTAGCTACTTGTTTATCATAATCATTCTTCAATTCATCAAAGTCTTTCTCTTTTTTGAACAATTTATTCTTCATCTCCATAATTTGTTCAGACTTCTCGCATAATTCTTGCTTTAAATCATTGACGACATTTCCCGATTTATTTAATTCTTCAACTAAGTTTCTGAATTTTGATTCATTATCCTCTAAATTCTTATTTTGAAGATCTGCTATTTCTTTACTTAATGCAATATTTTTTTCTAAAGTAATTTCCTTTTCTTTAATTAGTTGTAAATTATCATTTTTCATATCTTCAAGTTTAGCTTCAACGGCGTTAGTCTTTTCAATTTCTTTTTTAAGTTCAATTCTGCCCTTTTCCAATTCAGTTGTTAGCTGACTACATTTAACTTCCCAGTTATTTTCTATATCTTTCTGCATCTTTGAGATTTCATATGTCAAAGAATCAACTTTATCTTCCAATTCCTCTAAATTCCTTTCATCTTCATTAGTTTTAAAGGCTACAATTGATTGCATGTTAGAATCTTTGAGATTTTCCCTAATGAACTTAGCATCGGTATACCTGCCACTTTTTTCCTTCGGGTGTTGTGCGTTCCAAAACATTTTCATGATTAAATTACCAACTTGAACATCAAATAATTTGAAATCTTGAATATAATTCTTGAATTTATTCACCTTTTCTAGCATTTCTTCATTATCCTTCTTCAGCTCTGCATTCTCTGCCTCCATTGTGACTATCTTGTCATCTAATGTTTTAATTGAATCATTTAGATTAACTAACTTTGATTCCAGAGAACTAACCATCAATTCCTTTGATTTAACAGAGGCTTCTGAGGTCTGCAACAAATCATTTAATGAACTTAGCTTATCTCTTTCCTCTTTCAAGTTTTCTGACATTACTGAAATTTGTGAGGTATTAGTTACCAACTTCTCATTAAATGTTTCAATAGATAACTTCTGTTGTGTGCTTTTTAAGGTGAGTTCATTTATTTCTTTATCCTTATTGGATAGTTCTGAATTTGCTTCTTCTAAGTTCTTGACAAATGAATCGAGTTTGGCATTTAAGTTTTTAATAGTATTATTTGCTTCGTTAAAATTGGCTTGCAATTCAGAAATAGTACATTTAGAATTGTTTATAATTTCCTCATATTCCTTAATTTTACCGTTTAAAATTTTCAAGTCATCTTCATCCTTATTATTTTGTTCCACTTGTAACCTTAGTTTTTCATTTAGTAAATCTTTATCATATTTTCCTTGTAAATCTTTGTTCTTTAATTCGCTTATTGTCTCATTTAACTTATTAATCTCAATATCCTTTAATTTTATATTTTCGTTTAATTTTTCAAACTTCAAGTTTATTTCAGATATCAGATTTGAATAGTTTTTAGTGTTATTCGAATCATTCTCCTGTTGTAATGATTTGAATTCTTTTAAGTTATCCACCAGAATATTAATAGTTTGGATATCAGAATCCTTCGATCTCAGTGAATCATTCAATCGTTTAATCTCTTCATTCTTGGATATAAATGTATCATTTAATCTTTTAATTTCCTGATCTTTTGATAGAAAGATATCATCTAATCTTTTAATTTCCTGATCTTTTAATCTAAGTGCATCATCTAATCTTTTAATTTCTTGATCTTTCGATGTAAATGCATTACTCAATGTTTTGATTTCTTGCTCTTTCAAGCTAAATGAGTCATTTAATCTACTAATTTCTTGATCTTTTGATATGAAGATATCATTTAGTCTTTTAATATCACCATCCTTTGTTGAAATTATTTCGTTTAATCTTGAATTTTCTAATTCCCTTTCTGATATCAGATCACTCAACCTTTTAACGTCTGAAGTCAATTCTTTATTTGTCAATTCAAGCACATTATAATTTTTTTGCAAAATCTCTGTATTTATTATTAATTGATTCATTTCATTTAGTTTTTCATTATAGTCTTCAATATCAGCGGCTGATTCTGCAGCAGTGACTGTAGTTGTTGAAGTAGCGGTGGATGTTGCCGATGAAGCCAACGGAGTTGACTGTTCGACAGTTTCTTTTCTACTTAGTTTACTTTCGTCGAAGTTTTCAATATCACTCTCTAATTTATTCTCATTATTTAATTCTTTTGATTGTTTATAAGTATGATCATTGTTCTTTAAATTTGATTTCTCATCATTAGCAGTATCTGGGAATATACCTTTTTTTTTATCAAATTCTAAGGCTCTTTCCAATCCTATAGTTTTCAATTCATTATTTATGGTATTTTCATTATAACCTTTCATAATATCGAAAATACCAAATATTTTTTTCGAAGAATTATTCTGTGGACTTGAATTGAAAAAGGACATCATATTCTTACTGTGAGGAGGCTCAAGATCCTTAGTATCACTAGATTCAGTCTTTGATATTTCAGATCCCTTTTGAATTAGATTACTAACCACCATTACAATTAGATAAAGATTAAAATCAATTAAAATAGCATGAGATAAAATAAAAGAAAATAGTTGGAATCAAATCAAATCAAATCAATAAATAGATAACTGTGGATATATGCGTGTATGTTCCTATATGATGTTTTTTTAAAAAAAAAATTCTTTTGATCTCCTACAATTCTCTTTCGAAAGGATGTAATTTCGATATAATCAATATCTCTTTTGTGGTATTAATCTGTCTAATTCCTAGTTATTTGAATTTTCTGACCAGGTTGTGTCCCCTATAGTAATGATCCATCCATCGAAGTCCATTAACTTAGTTCTCTGCTCAAGTTTTTGCTATTTGAATCTAGCTTGAGATGAAAACAAACAAAAGGTAAATAAAAGATAATTAGTTCCAGCAATAATCCTGATCCAGTGACCGATAGGCAGGAGCAATACTTCAATAAAAACAGCCGTACAACAGCGAGCACACACACAAAAAAAATATATATATATATATATGGATATGGATACCCTAGTTTAACATCGGGCAGATTTCACGAAGACCTGCATAGGTTACAAAAAACTGGTTATTGGATTAGAAGAAAGATAGTCTGAGACAAAGCATAGCATATCATAGCATTTTCTGTTGATCCCAACCTATATCTGAAATTAGCAGTATACAACTCTAATATGATTACACTATATCCCACACTTTTACCAAATTCAATGGTTTATAATTGACCCCCTGCCTATGAGCCAAACATCATATATTCTTGTTATCATTTGATTCATTAATTGATTGATCACTGGACCAAGGTATAATAAATGTGACTGAATACTAGCACGTGACATATATACATTTTATCACGTGATACAAATTCGTGATGTATGTAATCCGTTTATCCCCACGGAGATAAGCCAAATCTATACAACATGAAGAACCATCTACCTCATCGTTACCTGAACTGAGAGAGACAAAGAAAGAAAGAGACGAGACGAGAAATGTAAAAATAAAAGTATGGAAATGCAAGAGGGTCCTTATATACTCCCCAGAAATGGTTTCGCGATATATATATATATATATATATATTTTAAGGGAGATACTAAAAGTTAAGTTGGTGATTAAGATATAGCCGCCGAGTTAGCTAAAGGCAAGTTTGTTTGCTTTTTTTTTGATCTTTTACAAAGTTGTTATACAAAGGTATGTTTGATATTTGGTATTTGGTATTTGGTATTTGATGGAAACTTTATTTGAATTATTTTTTGAATAATTGTTCTAACTAAAAATGAATTAAAATAAATGAATATGTAAACTTTCCCGGCTACACAATATAGTATACAGATGTTTAATTATAGAAAATGTTCAAACTTTGAAAACTTGGCTCTTGGTGTAACCCAATTCTTTCAAGATACCACCAAAGGAACCTTGGAAAAATAATGGACCTTGTTGACCAGCGTATGCTTTGACAAATGGCTCTGGTCCACAAACGAATACATGGGTATTTTCATTAGAGGCTGGAGCCAAAGATTCTATATCTTCTTTAGCAATAAACCCCTTTTTAGCTCCAGTAGAAGCAATGTCCTTAGTTTTAGGTTGACTTAAATAATAATGAATTTTAACTCTATCAGAGAATTTTTGTTGAAATTCATCCAATTCTTTCTTCAATAGGATATCGTCTGAAGTTTTGTTTGCATAAAATAAATTAATTTTAGTCTTATCTTCTGGATTACTTAAGATAGATCCCATCAATTGATATAAGGGAGTAATACCAGAACCTGCACCTAATAAAGTAACCGAATCAAACTTGTTTTGTTTCCATTCATATTTAACAATTGGACCAGTAAATGATACAGTATCATTAGGTTTCAAACTAAACATATGAGAAGACATTCCACCATTTGGAACATGTTTAATAACAAATTCAATAACACCTTGAGTTTCTGGCAAAGACACAGGGGTATAAGGTCTAATGCCACGTAATGACCAAGTACCGTGTGGTCTTGCTAATAGAAAAGACAATGGTGAAATACCACTAACATCATCATCGTTTGGTAATTTAAATGTGAACTTTCTTGTATCATGAGACAAATCTTCAAATTTTACTAATGGTAAATCTACCCATGTACTTGCAGGACCTTTAAATCCTTTAAAAGTTTTATTATGAAGAGCCTCGTTAGCCAATCTTGAACCAGTGGAAAAATAAACTGCAGCTGCTGCAGTTACTGCAATACCGCTACTTAAAAGTAAAGGTCTTGAACCTAAAGAAGTGAAACTAGAGATCATTATTGCGTACTATCTTAAATGTAGCTCTTCTATATAGAATCTTAATTATTGGATTTATAGTTTCTATTAACTATATTATACAATGATAAAACTTATTTATGATAAGGAATTAAAATATAAATCATCCAATATCATTGACTCTTTTATATGATTTCAAAACCAAAAAAAATTGATATTCTTATCAACTAATATCATACTTACAACAATTAGCTGTAGTCAATTAGATTCAGGGTTACATTACCATTGATTTTTATGAAGGTTTTTGCGAAAAATGTCTATGACATATGAGGCAGGGATGATGAGAACAGAAGATAGGTTGACTAGATAATTCAAGAACAGGCTAGGCTATTAGTTTCGAATTTCGAACAGACAGGGAGGTTCTGCTTCTACGATTGATCATAAACCGAGGAAATTAGGAAATTAAAGGAAATAAGAGAATATTCGTAAGAAGAAAAGAGCATCAGAGAAAAAAATAAAAAAAGAAAAAATAGAAAAAAATCAAGAATAAAGGCGGAGAGACAACGCATATAAGTTTGCAACATTCTTCGGAAATACGTTTGAATTAGGCGTGGACGCGCAACTCGGTGCCCGCTCAATTTTGTTATCACATGACTTTTTTCGACTTCTTTTGAGGTCCATCCGAAGCTAGGCACAGACAAATCCCGCAGCTTACTTGGTGCCCGACCGGACGGACAACTGCTTCATTTGGGCATTAACTATGAGGACCTGTTTTTGACGTTGCTGCCCATCCATGCCAGGTTTGAATCCGTTCGTAGTTTACCATGTTTTCCATTTAGCTCGATATATTCGCTACCGAGTTCTTAAAGACGTGGAGTTTAGGAACAGCAGTTTTACAACTATTATGCACGGAAATATTGAAGGATAGTTTCCATTCTTATATACTTCTTTTTTTATTCCGTACTTTCTTATACAAATTCTTTGTAGCTTTGGAATTATAGTTCTGACTTTTAGTTAATTTTCAGTATTTTTGAAGTCAGTTGAAAATACTTTGATGTTCAAGTACACGTGATTAATAACCGTGTATTTGTCCATTTATATATGCCAATTTTTCTTCCGTTAACTCCGTTCTGCTATCTTAAACTTTATTTCCATGGATTTCTATGCTGTAGAAATTTTTGAACAGTCTTGATATAATTTATTACGAAGCTTAATACGCGTGATGAGGTAAACTAAAATATAAAAATAAACGCGTATGGACGTTCCACCTATCTTCGTTCTACATGTCTAATATAACCCAATGGGAAAGCGGGTACAATGTCCGATTAAACTATGGTACAGTCCTTCACAATAATCAGATTCGTAGTGACAGTCTTGATAGATTTGTGATATTCTCTCTCTTGATTCACAATGGATTGATAGGCGGTTAATTTCCTTTCTTTATCAGTATTATATTAACTATGCATCTCATCATTGTCTTCTTGTGATACAATTATATATTCACACATTGTTATCTATAATGAATTTATTTTAGCGTTTTAAAAAGAGATACTATTAATGTCATTGTTAATTGAAACCGTCATTATTTATAATACATATACATACATATATATGTAAACAATATAGAAAATAAAACATATATAATTGAAAATTCTATGTAAGGAATGTTAGGATGGAAGAGAGGGAAGAAATGATAAGAACATAAAATTTAACTTATTTGTGCTTGACTTGTTTATATGTGTTTTTTCTTGATTTTTTCCCTTTCTTGTCTGATATTTTTGTTTTGCTTGTTCACCTGTCTGAAAACGACCTTGCCGAAGATGGGATTGAGCTGACACTATTTGGAATACTCAAATGATTATGAATAACCCTCTTTTTCTTGTTCTTACTTCCTGAACTTCTTATAGATGAAGAAGATGATATTGTCCTCGGCAGTTGATTTGATACTACATAATGTGTTTGTCCGTTTGATGGAGATAACTGCAACGATAATTCACTGTTTCTATTTGTCACCGATGGTACAATTGGAATAGGCGTCTCAGATTTATCATTAATTAAATTACCTAATTCAACTTCCTCTTCCTTCTCTTTGGTCTCTTCATTTTCTTTGTTCTCTTCATTTTCTTTGCCTTCTTCGTTTTCGTCCAATGTAAACAAACCTTGTTCTTTATCTTCATGAGATGATCTTGATTCCGTTTTAGTCACAGCCTTTGATTGCGGCGAATTAGCAATTTCCACCATGGATCTAGATTTCTTGGTTGTCAAAAATGGATTAGAGGTTGCACCGGTACCAGCTGCAGAACTACCTGCAGAGCTAGTAGATAATGCTGATGACATTGGGTTAGTGCCTGGATGCGAATCACTAGTAAAATCTTCCTTGGATGAATCCACTTCACCTAAATAAAATCCTCCAGTATGTTCAAGACTTGTTTTTTGAATTTGAGGTGGAGTGTGGACATATTCATCATCCGAATGAACACACGTTTCGATTGATTTAAACCATGGATCTTCTAATAAATCATCTAAGGTATAACGCGTTTCGTATTGAGGATCAGCCAATCTCCATGCAACACGGGAGGCATCGACATTTCTAAAATTTCTACCTAAAGAATATTCAGCACCTGGTCCAGGTTTGTAACTGCCCTTTGATCTGAAGAACTTATTTTGATAACTAATGAAATTATTGTAGGAAGTTTCATAACTTCTGAACCTGGTATCGGTATTACATGATTCAAAGAAAGGAATAGTGTTATTCACTAAGGTGAAAAGTAATATACCTAAGGCATAACAATCCAACCCTAGTGGGTTGTAAGGTAATTGAAGATGTTCAGGATAGTGTTTCTTCGCATCAAAGTACATTACTTCAGGTGGTGCATATGGCGGAGAACCGATCATTCCTTCACATCTTTTAACTGGTGACGAGAAATCATGAGGGTCTTCGTGATACCAATCAGAAATACCAAAATCCGTTAATTTGAAGATTCCATCCTTAGAGATTAAAACATTTTCAGGCTTTAAATCACGATGTGCAATACCGTTATCATGACAAAATTTAATACCTTCTACAATTTGTTTAAATATACAAAATTTCTCTGGTAAAGGTACATTTTTCCAACCTGTTCTCTCTATCAATTGGAATAAATCACCCGTACATAACTCCATTATGAAACCCCAACCACGGGTAGTATAACTTGAAGTTGGGACTTTTACCAAATAGTAGGTATTTGCAATATGAATATCATTACTTAGAGATTTTGCAATTATAAATTCTTTCGAACATCTTTTGTAAAATTTCTCTGGGGTTTCGTTATAAATCATGTTCAATTTTTTTAAAGCGTAAATTTGTTTTTGTTTATATGCTGATTTTACTTTTCTGACTTCAGATGAACCACCTGAACCAATTGTTTTATTATCTGTGTCAAATACGAAATTATCAGTAAGATGAACACTGTATTGTTTCATTTCACTCGGTATATATTCATTTGGATCTGATATTGGCAACGGTAGTAATCTAATTTTAGCATCACCATCATGCATATAAAAACTTATATCCTTGTTAAATGAGCTACTAGCTGATACAGTTGTAGTACCAGGTCTAGATAGATTTGGGTTGAGACCATATGGGTTATAAACAATATGTTCATTAGTCAAACTTGCAGAGGGTAGACCAGGAGAGTTTCTTAATAAAGTATTTGTAGTGGAACTATTTGCATGGATTGAATTTTGTTGTCTTTGATTTGTATTTCGACTTGCTGGTCTGTGTTTAGTTGATGAACTTCTTGATAAAGAATTCGTATGTTCTGAAGCACCTGATTTATGAGGACTCCTTAGAGAGGAAGATCTACTCGAAGTTAATCCATTTGAAGGGGCTAGATGTAAAGTATTTGAACTTGAGTTTGAAGTAGGATGTGACGATGGAGTTGAACAAAATGGGTTCGAACTTTGTGAAATCAACTTTTTTGTAGTTCTATTTGTCTCTAAAAAAGAGGAAGTTGTTGTTTTGGTTAGAGTTTTTTGAGTTTGGCTTTGAGATAATGAAACAGATGATTGGTCATTACCAGAAAAAATTTTTTTCAAAGAAAACCTTGAATTAGAATGAGATTCAACTCCTAAATCACGAGAAACCATAACTAAAGAGCACTACTAATTATAGTTGTTCAGATTTTTAAATAATTTGTATCTGTATTACTTTTTGTGAAAAAAACGAATAAAAGAATGAAATTGATTTTAATTTATTTGATACTTTTATCTATAACGTGAGAGGGTGAGGGTTTAAACTAATATAATTAGTAATTTATACCGATGATAAATGAATATATTTATAATTTAATGAATGTAATACAATTAATGGCTTTAATTTTAAATTTTTTAGAATTTGTTTTTTTGGTTTAAAAAAAAATATTCTTCTCTTCTTCTAAGTGAATATAAACTCGAATATTATTCTATTAAACTTTCTTTAAAACTTTGCTTGAAAAATGCAGTTATATCGAATGAATGAATCGTTGTTAATTATTTTTATTTTTGAATACCCTAGACAATTTTATTAACCATAATAATCTCACAAGATTCTATCTATGAATTCATACGCCAGTAACACAACAGTCTTTTCAAATATACCTACACACAAGGTTATAAAAACATACCTACGTTCTGCTATATGAAACAATCCACCTATATTAATAAGTTTAAATATACAAGAGTTTATTTATATACATTTACATTAATAAAACATTTTTTCTTTAATATTGAAAATATAAATATATGATGAATACATTTTCAAATATGCATTATGTATGCAAAGAAATAGGAAGAAAGGTAGTAAAAGTAAAATAAAATATACGGTCATCATGGCCCCCCCAAGATTATAAGCTATGTATGTTAAACTATAACGATTAATACTCAATCTCGAAATCAAACTTTAAGAAGGTTCAATTTTTTTTTTCCGATACTACAAATAGAGGAAGGTAGAAACCACAGGTATATCATAGGTATAGTAATCGATTGAAAATAGGAGAAGGGAAGGGAAGGGAAAATTTTTTATAGTAAAACTGAAATGAAAAAAAAAGTAATCCTAGTCCAATTTAGTATGATGGAATTTTTATAAGGGAAAAGAAGAGGTTATGGACAATAAGTAACCAACCAACCAACCAACCAACCGACGAGCTAACCAATCAATCAATCAAATCAATCAAATCAAATCAATCAAATCAAATTAATCAAATCAATCAGTCAATCATCCCATGGAAAGAAGAGAAAACTGGAAATTAGCAAAATAAAATAGATTCATTATATTTAAGTTAATTCACCAGAGAAAGAGACACGGGTTGTAATTGTCGTTAATTCATAATAATGTAATGAATTCGCATTCCAATGATATTTTCAATACTTGTTACTTGTACTCTCTCTGTTAGTGTTCAGTTTTGCTCTCTAGTTTAAAAAAAAGACAACTTTTAATTTCATTTTGTATAGAGTAAAACTAGAGAGCTGGTGAGAGAGAAAGCAGAGCCTAAAATAAAATACAACAGTAATTAAATAAGAACACCAAGGAATGAGGATATCAGTGATAATCTTGAAGAAGACTCTTGGTTGGTAAAAAAAGCATAATGAAAATGGGAAATGAGAAGTGAGAAGTGAGAAAAAACACCCAACGGTAAACATCTAACCATACATAACGAAAGAGAGCGAGATAGACAGAGAGAGAGAGAGAGAGAGAGAGAGGTAGGAACCGAGCCGTAAAGGACTAGTAACAACAGTGCTAGCTACAATCTCATCATCATCATTCATCCACGAGGAACCAAGTCTATCATTAGTTAACTACATTTCTTTATCTATTCTTTTACCAGTATATCACATCTATATTTATTACCTTTTTTATGGTACTGTTTAGAACGGCAGAGAATAGTTAAGTTTTGAGATAGGACAGAATAGAACAGAAGAGACCAGACCAGAGCAGAACACAGTTAATCTCGTTGTTATTGCCATCGTTATTGTTACTGTTATTATGATTGAAACTGTGATTGCAACGGTGTGTATTTTGAAGTATGTAGTTGTAGTGGTAGTCTGTTACACACTACTCACCTTGTTACGTCCAACGCAAGTTATTTCTTAACCAATTGTAGGTACTGGTTTTTGGATTTATTTTTCATTTTTCCCCCATCCCAGCACATTTCATTTGAGTACAAGTCAGTGTATTCCATCTAGTTCGACTTTACGTGGTGTCTCTATCTCGTAATATAAGAGTCTGCCTGTCCAGTACATACGAATTCCAGTTGACGTTACCAGTAAACTGCTTACTGCTAGGGTGAGATGCAGGCTCTCCAGGTGGAGTAATAGATTAAACTCTGCCAGGCCATTCGTTGCTACCAGAGCAAACCATCATCACAAACCTCGGCTCCGAAGTTAAGGCACCTCGCGAACCCAATCAGTAGTTTGGTAGAGGTAAGAAGAGAGCACTGGGTTCTGCACAAGAGGAACGAAATTTTTCTATTGTAGTAAGTGGTAGCTAATTTGGTGGTGGTTTGAACTGAACTATCGATGGTGTAGGATAATTCAATGAGCCCATTGGATGAATTTTTACCTGTTGACACTGACCAAGAGATGGAGACAAACATGGTTCAGTTGTCTAGTTCTTCCTACAAGAAATAGAGAGAGTATGTGTGTTTGCTTGTGTATGTGATTTTATTATTTCTGTCTGGGAAGGGCATGGGTGATAGGTTCTGGACAGAGAGGGAGGGAGTGAGGAGGACGGTCTCTCTGTTGGTATTGTGCTGAATACGCAAGACTGGGCTGGGCTGAAATGTCTTGTGAAAGTGTTCTAGGCTGCAATCACAAAGATTTTTACTCTAATTTGAATTTGGAGAATAATACTGAGAAGACATGCGTACGAAAAGAAAAAATGATGCTTACTTACTACACAGAGCTAGAATGGCCAAGAAAGGTTGGATAAATTGTAAATTGTACTAATTGTCTTCCTTTCTCTCTCTCTCTCTTTGTATATACAAATCTATATTTATATATGCGTGTGTGATGTTAGGAAGGCGAGTTTTATGCACGTTGGTATTGAACATGTATCCTACAGTAGCAATCACATACGTATTTACACTCTGTCTTTCTCAATAACAATAACCTTCTTATTCCATCTTGGCCAAGCAGTTCAAACTACGTAACTAGTTCAATAGGTGTGTGTTACTTGATAAAACTAGAAATAGCCAACATAAAATTTGGGTGGGAAAATAATTAAACCTTATGATAGCGAGCTGGCATTTACTATTGAAATGACAAAAATTAAAGTATATGATGCATTAAAGATATAACCATATTTACAAAGTTTGTTAGTGATAATAGCAAAAACGCAATTGGTTTTGTCTTATTTTAATTTTTTTTGTTTGTTTAATTTGGAAATCTTTCACTACCAATTAGTTTCAGACAATTTTTAAGTGGTGTGACGAGATGACGTTTTCCTTCACTCCACAAACCCCAATGGTAAATTAAAGTCACGATCGTTTCAATCGGCAGCCTGATAAATTCTTGACAGATATTTTTATTGACAAATATATATACCAAGAAAATAATACGTCATTTATCCTAATTTTCTTATTTTACTTAATTGTAAATTTTCTTCTCTTCTCTTCTCCTTCACTGGTTGGTAACTACTGAATACACGACATAATTTGGTTAACTCCAAAGCAAATGTGGAGTTATATGTATGTATGTATGATATAATTTTCAATTTAAAAATACATAAATTCGTTACCATTATATTTTTTGTTCAAGAAAGGTTGAATTCTTTCCAAAATCAATCCCGTAACCTCATCAATATTTTTATTAGTGACATTGATTATTTGTAATCCGTTTTCACCTGCTTCTTCTCCTTCTTTTAAATTATCTAATTTTTTAAAAATTTCATAAAATTTTAACTTGACAACTTTTTGAAACTCAATATTTTCATACCTTTCTTCGCCAAATCCCTCTCTATCATCGTTATTCGAATCATTTGTTAAAAAAACCGTTATGTCTGGTCTAATCAATCCTTTATCACATTGATAACACCAGTCAATGTCCATACCACTAATATGTTTAGCACTAGAATATGCTATCCCAGAATACACATATCTATCTAATATAACATCTCTACCATTATTTAGCTCAGTTTGTATAATTTCACTCATCTCCCAACGATTAGCTGAAAATAGCAAGTGAATTGATTGATCAGGCATTTTAAAACTCTTGTCAGTAAGATAATTGTTAATTAATTGACCAATTTTTGTTTCTCTTTGAGGAAACTTCATCAATGTACCATTAAGCTTTTCACAAAGTATATCACATTGAGTACTTTTACCGGTCCGATCTAGACCTTCAATTAATATCAATCTTCCACGACTCATCGTTAATATCCCTCCACTGATATTTATTTTCTTAAATGCTTACTCCACCCTCAAAACACGTATAGATCTTTACAACATTTCGATCATAGTCATTGCTAATTAGCGTTGAATGTTTTATAAAGTTGATGAAAATATATACGCTTGGTAACCTTTCTGTTTCTCGAGCCTTGTACCTTGTACGCGATGCCCCGAATCCTTTTGCATATTCTCTAAGATTCGAGAGATATTAAAGAGAAGCTTAATCTTTAAAAAGAAATTGACCACCCTCCTCTTCCAACAAGAAATCCATTAACAAGTGGAGACACAGATATACGAATAGTCATTTAGGATGCAATAAATGTGAAAACACTTTAAAGAGGTAAAAATCTGATTACTGAGGGTCTCTTCATGAGTTATCTATTAATATCTCTCTAATTACTGATTGTATTAGGTTACCATGTTCTTCAACTTTGTTTTTGAAATGCACTCCTCAAATGATATTAAAGTGAGGAACATTGAATATTTTATTGATCGATCATGATACTATATTCAGAATAAATAAATCTAGATTTATCGGAGTTTCCTTAACTTTTTGCAATATTGTGTGATCTCGATAAAGATAATGAAATGAAACAACATTCAACAGATTTCGATCAATCGTTAACCTTGAAGTCAGTGCATTTGATTTCATTTTAGTTTTGCATAGTTTAATCTCCATTGAATTCTTGATTTCGAAAAATTTGTTGATCTTTACAAAATTCAAGAAGAGTCATTTGGATGTTATTTCCAGATATAGAAACATACTGTTTTCGAATAGCAATATTAAATAATATCAAGTATGCATTACATGAACTAGAAAACATAATTTTGGAGTTAGTTTATTTTTAATATTTGGTGTGAGATATGATTAACAAATTTAGGACACTTCGGTTTGTAATTAAAGGAATATTTCTTAATAGTAAAACCAATATGTAAATAATAATATTTTCCAAACTAAGCTTCTTTTATTTCGTTCTATAGCACATGCAGATGGTAATACTTCCCTTCATGATATAGATCTCTATTTCTTTTATTTACTTTATTTGTTAAAGAAATATATAAATATCATCATAAAAAAATTCAGCTTGGTTTTAAATTGTTCTTGAACATTACTTGACCGAAATTCTAGATTTAGTTCTACCATCCAGGTAATTATGTCAATAATATCTGATAATTATTAAATGATGAATATCTCTACAAAACATTTACACATCAAGCTACTTCAAGAAATTATATTGTTAGGTTACACTTGGCTGAATTATAAAGCTAGTGATAATTTTGCATTTGTAATTGTTCTTGATTATATCTAAGTTTATATGAAAACAAAATTGAATAAGTATGGACACTATGGATTTTTACTTCTTAAGAAATGGACCAACATCGTTAAGATAAAATTAAGTGATTTCTTCTTTTAAGTGGTAGTTTGTCTAGTCTTCTGGAACCCTTAGACATTATATATATTCAAATATAAAGCACCAAAAAATCAGTTAATAATATAAATTAAATTTTTATTTATCATCACAAATGTAAACAATTCCAATTCATATAAGATAGGTTGATCAGTACTTTCAATTTAAAAAAACAATATTATTTGAAATAGAAATTAACTGACACTTCAAAAAATTTAACCGACAATATCCCCTGTTAAATAACATTATTAGTTCCAAAAATAGCTGATTTTTGTTGAAAAAAGTGCAGAAACAATAGCTAGTTACAAGAGTAGTTTGATTTGTTTCAGTGATTCTTCCATATGATAACTATTTTTTTAGCTGGTGCTGTTGGAATTAGAAATATGCTTTTGCATTACTGGTATCTGTTACTGATTTTTATAAGATAAGTTTGTAATATAGATTTGATATATATTTTACAAACAATTGTAAGATACTAGGGTAGGGATGCTGCCACTAACTGTCCTTGCTCCCAGTAATGGCTGTCTATTAACAAATTTGATTTCTGGCATAAGAGTATCAGAATAAAGCTAGGAGATTACAATCTGTCAAAAATAAATATTATGGAAGTTATAAATAAACTACGTGATATACTGAAATAGTTCTATTTGTCTAAATTATGGTACATATATAGAACGGTTTCAATTCATAGGAATAGGTCGATAATTTTGAAGCTGGAAAATATATTGTTCAGATAATTTGTAACTACAATGGGAATTATCAACCAATATTAATAGTAACCAAAGGAAAAACATCAACGAAATAATGTTGCAGTAGTACAGAATATCTAAATATAGTGTAGTATGAAACAGAAACCACAACAAAACGTTGCTTCTCTTTGTTTCCATTTTTATATCTTAACAACTTGATCAATGGATAGATCTGATATTGTTTCTTGGTTGTTGAAGGAAGGGTAAAAGGTAAGATCTAAGTTCTATTTAAGTAGGAAATTTTTCATGAACAGACATATCAATCTTGAAAATGCTCGTGTAGCTCAGTGGTTAGAGCTTCGTGCTTATAGTTGCAGTCGGTTTAACCGAAGCATTCTGTACTCTAGTCTGCTAAATACAGACAGTGAAAAAGCAACGCGACCGTCGTGGGTTCAAACCCCACCTCGAGCACTTTCTCATTTTTTATATTTTTGTTTTTTTGTTTATTATTATTATCAGTTCAGCATCTAATCGTATATCACAGCTAACGAACACGTGTTCTATTTCGCTGTTATTTTTCCCACTTGCAGGAACTATTTCATACGTGTATACATTTCAAGAGTCGAGTCGTATCGTATCGTATCGAAGTAGTTGGCCAAGCAATAAAAATGAATTTGGATTTAATCATTGCAATACGATACACTAATACATTGCTAATATTTTACTAATATGAAAACAACCTTTACATTACAGTTCACACCCACTTGGGCCAGTCGTCATATTAGTATGATTACGGGAACAGCAGCCCACTATCAACAGTGAGACTCTGCGCTGTGTGCGTGTCTATCTCCCTCACACGCCGTTCCTCCCTATTCAGTTATCTCTTTCAACGTAGACAGATTTCGTGGGCCAAACAACAGTATTGACATGAAACAGTAAACCAACCATTCTCCCTTCCACGTAGCTCTCTCCAGAAAGGCAACAAGAGACAACACTCAAGCATCAACCATCAACCATCAACCCAAATTCTTGGTTTCACTTCGGTTCACACACATAACACAAACCGTCTTTTCCAGATTACCCTGACTCTATTGTATTGTATTGTATTGTATTGTATTGTATGTCTCCTAAATATTTCACTCTTGTCATTTAACACCTATCTGAGCCAATATATACCAGCCATCCATTACTATTCATCGACTCTATCGTCGATTACCATCACTATCGCCTGTCTGTCTCTTTGTCCATATCCATATCCATACCATACCATACTAGAGTAGAGCAGAGTAGATATTATAGCATAGGATGTATGTTTCCCACCTCTGTCTGTGCTTCCCTTTCTAAGGGAGGTGGTGGTAGTGGTTGCGACAAAAGTTTGACTTTTTGGAAAAAATTTAGAATTTAGAATTTTGAAATTGAAATTGAAATTAGAAACGAACAAGGTCCTAATTCTAATGCTAATAACTAACGTATTCGTTATACAACATATATATTTATTCTTGGAATAGCTTGGATTAGTAGTTGGTTTTGGTGAAGTCACCTAAGAATATATATATTCAATTGTGTGTGTTTTTTTAAACTTTTTGTCTTTTTGATTAGTTCAGTTTATCTCATTTGGTTTGAAAACCTACGTTCGATAAAATAAAATTACAGTATTAATAGGAAAAAGAGGCAATTTTAAGATTACAATAGGAACTTAAGGTACACTTTTCGCTGTTGAATTAATTTATTTTGGTATTATTATTGTGTTACTCTCAGCATTAGTATATATATTATACATTCATTTGAATCCCTTTGTTTTCGCCAAATATATACACATATATCTATAAAGGAAGCAAAAAAAAAAAAAGGAAGAATATTAAATCCATATATATATATTTCAGTCCCCTTTATTACATTGATTAGTAATAAATTACAACAATAATATATCAATAGTAATAATCATCCTCATAATATAATCATAATCATAATAATAATTATAATAATAATATAATAATAACATAACATAATATAACATAAAAAAAATGCAAACTTTGAAATGTGTTGTTGTCGGTGATGGTGCTGTTGGTAAAACCTGTTTATTAATATCATATACCACTAACCAATTTCCAGCAGATTATGTTCCTACTGTGTTTGATAACTATGCAGTAACAGTAATGATCGGTGATGAACCATACACTTTAGGATTATTCGATACAGCTGGTCAAGAAGATTACGATAGATTGAGACCCCTTTCGTATCCATCGACAGATGTGTTCTTAGTTTGTTTTAGTGTAATTTCCCCACCATCTTTTGAAAATGTCAAAGAAAAATGGTTCCCAGAGGTACATCACCATTGTCCAGGTGTTCCATGCTTAATTGTGGGTACACAAATCGATTTAAGAGATGACAAAGTTATTATTGAAAAATTACAAAGGCAAAGATTGCGCCCAATCACTCCAGAACAAGGTGACAGATTAGCAAGAGAGTTGAGAGCAGTCAAGTATGTAGAATGTTCTGCATTGACCCAACGTGGTTTAAAAAATGTCTTTGACGAAGCTATTGTAGCAGCTTTAGAGCCACCGGTTATTAAAAAGAGTAAAAAATGTACAATTTTATAAGAACAATTTAAATATTATTATCGTATATGATATCATTATTGCAAATAGTAAGAAGTTTTATTGCTTTCCACCTTTAGTGTGTTCTTTTTCTTTGCCTTCATTCTTCTGCTCTTTTAACGAGATGGATCTGATGTGCATGTATGAGTCTGTGAGTTGTGTGTGCACGCACACTTTATAAATATGTATATATGTTTTATTTCGAAAGGTGAAGGAAGAAAGAAAGAAAGAAAAGAAGAAAAGAAGAAGACAGGATGAAGGGAGGAAGGAATAAAACAAGATTTAATGTATAAGTAAAGATAAATAATTTTTTTTCCCCGATACATAGAAACAAACCCATAAATAACTACGTAAGTGAATAAATCAGTCCTTAGGATAAATTTTTTCTATTCATTCAATACCAGAATAGCCAACCTATAATGAGAAGAATGTGACGACTGTTGGGAGACCATCTAAATGGGTGAGGGTGAGCAATAGGATTGGGATTGGGATTGGGATGAGAAGAAAAGGATCGATTGGGACAGTATGTATGAAAAGGCTAAGAAAATAATTATGTAATTATAGTTGTTCCTGACCCCAGTCTCAGCTACGACATGGATGGGGGGGACACATTTCAGTATTTAAGTGATGAAGCAATGTAGATCAGTTTTACAATTGACGCCGACCCACACTGAGACCCAGACCCAGGCCAGTCCAGGTAACGTGACGTAAGTAAGAAAGTAAGTAAAGTAATGTATTGGTTGTCTCATCTGTCTCTCTGTTGATTATCGCACCTAGTGTGAGTTGTCTCCGGTGGAAGGACAACCACCACCGAGACCTTGGAGAGAGGGGGGGAGGAGGAGAAGGAGAAGGAGGGGAGATAGTGTCGTATATAGTTACATAAGTCCACAACACACACACTAGCCAGATATATCTGCGTGTGAGCGTGAGTGTGAGTGTTAGGTACAGACATACCGTTGTACGTAGGTACGCTGGAAGAAAAAAAATTTATTTTTGGAAAAAAGACAAAAACAGCAGCCGGGTTCCGTATAAAGAGACATCGCGTCAGAGTGAAAACGGCACAAAAAAATGTTTTCTGTTTTTCTTTTTCTGTTTTTGCTGTTTTGTGTACACAAAAATGACCCGGGAATAAATGTGTCAGCGGCGGACAAGACGGCGATTGTCCAGGAAGAGATGCACCAATCGGGCACAGCGGTCTGTCCCAATCAGGAAACTCGGTGCTGCTTCAAAGAAGAACCAAAAGTTGAAAAGAAGAAAAAAAATTTTATTTTTTTGTGTTTTCTTACTCTTGCTTGTTCCGTCGAAATGTTAATGCTGATGCAGATGCAGCCCACTCACCTTCCCATCGGAAGAAGCACTCTCAACTCAGGCTGTCGGTCCTCAATCTCTTTCTATATCATCACACATAAACTAATCAATCAATCAATCAATGAACTTGACGAATTTAATAGAATCAACTTCAACTTCAACTTCATCTCTTATCCCATCCCATCCCATCCACATCCTTCCACATTCACATTCACTATCTCTCATCTCTCATCTCTCATCTCTTCCATCTAGCCCTTTGACACCTTTTTAATAATCGCTCTACTTTCCTAATTCACAATCTCTAACTTCTCTTGCTCTTTCCCACCCCATCAACTATCTCTCTCTCTCTCTCTCTCTCTCACTTCCTGAGTAACTGGTATTGCACTTACTATTCTTGTTGTCGACACCATACCATACACTAACTTAGATGTGCTTTACCTTTCATTCAAGTTACACCCTGTGATTTCTTAATATTTTTATTCAAAGAACGAATCAGGTCAAACAAACTTCAACTTTAGTTTCAACTTTAACTATTACGGGAAATAGACTAATAGTTCCTCATTCTCTTTAAAGATATTTTCCAGGTGGTGGCCTCCTTCTCGCAGAAACATTTGTATTTCTATTTGTATTTGTATTTTCTACTATTTCATTTCGAACTATATTAACGGTTTTAATTCGAAATAAATAATATTCAATAATACAAGAATTAAGAGAAATTAAAGTTATTCGGGTTCACAAGATATTGAACTAATTCAGACAGACTCTCTGCAATTTTGAAATAGTTACATATTACTTGTGGCTCTTATTAATATTCATTCATATACTTTTAAACTCAAATTTTGGTTAGTTACTCACTACTCTACTGAAGGGGGAAATAGATTATAAAGAAAAAAATTGAAAAAAAAATTGAAAAAAATTATTTTAACTAAAAGATATATATATATACCCCTCACATACTTACACTAAACACAAAGCTATCTCTTCCTATTATTCAATGATGTCGATGGGAGGAAGAACTGCCAATTTAATCATAGATAATTCAAAACATTTAAAATTATCTGAATCCAATACCACCAACAACAAAAACAAAGACAGTATCGCAAGAACTGTACTTCATGATACCCAAATGTTACCAACTGCTGTAGATGTATCCTCATCGTCGTCATCTTCAACAATAACAGCCCCAACTGCAAATACACTTGCAAATACATCAATAAATTCAGAAAGCCCAACTGATCACATCGAATTAGTGAATGTAGGTGGTAAAACGTTTAGTAAAACTTCAACTGGTAAAAGAAAATTCCATAAAAAATCAAAAAATGGTTGTGACAATTGTAAGAGAAGAAGGGTTAAGTGTGATGAGTCAAAACCGATCTGTCAAAAATGTATTAATATGAAACTAAACTGTGTATATACTCCTGTCCAACCAAGGAAGAAAAAAAATCCTCTAAAGAATATTAATAATAGTAACAACAATACAAATTTATTAAATGATAAAAATTCAATTGGAAAAATCAATAATAATAATAATAATAATAATAATAACAATAATAATAATGCTAATAGAATCCAGAAGCCAAAGGAATTAAGCAAAAATAATATTGATATATCAGCGATTAATAGATTGAAAATGGAAAATAATATAAAATTAAATGGTTTATCCAATGATAAATTAATAACCACTACAAAAGATGGAATCATTCGAAGTAATAATGTTCCAAATAATGCATCAGATCAAATTAATATTCAACAACAACAACAAAATCAAAATTCAAATATAAACATAAATGGAGTTACCCAAACTCAGCAAAAGCAAATGCTATTACTACCTCAATTTATGACATTATCAGCATCAGGTTCTTACTCTGGCTTAATTCCAGCATTGTCTTCAACTTCTATAGCTTTATCAGCTAGCCAAGAAAAAGCTTTTACACCTTTTATAGATCTTCCAAATCCTGCATCACCACAACTTCAATCTACAGGAATGAGTATCACTAATAGTTTCAGTAGCATCTTCTCGCCTGGGAGAATTCCAAATCCATTGGGTCAACAAACTACCGCTGCTAACGGTACTAGTAACTTAAATCAATCAATTACAAACCCCCAGAATCAAACTCAAACTCAAAATCAAAATGTAAATACCCCTTCACTTCTAAACCCAGATAGTTTCACTCAACTGAGTAAAGCAAAAAGTTTCATGGGTGTAGGTATGGGACAAACTATGAGTAATAGCCTAAGTTTAGGTGCTAGTATGAATATGGGCGTCTTTTCACCTGCTGGTGTAGGAGGTGTTAATTATGATTATCAAGAGCTTTTGGGTTTGAAGATTCAACCAAACCAAGCTAATTCTGTAGGCACCCCAGTAACAAAGGTTAAAACTAGGGAAGAGGCATTGGCTAATATGCAACAGCAACATTCAGAACTAGTTATGAAAAAGAAAAATAGTGAAAATAGTTCTACCAGTAATAACAGTCATCATAGTAATAACAGCAACTTCTCTAATGCATTAAAAACCGTCGAAAGGCAAGGAGACAAAATGAATCCAGTCATTAGACAAACTGTTGAAGTTAGAAATGAAATGCCAGTGAAGAATAACTTAACAAGCACTTCGATTCCATTGACCCCAATGACAAAAATTGGTACAAATACCATGACTAGAACATTTTCAGCAGATAATAACGGAAGTGTGCTATTGCGTCCTTCTACATCGATAAATAGTATTTCTCAAATTTTTGGCTCTTCAAATTCATTACCTCTCCTTCCGACTGCTTCTTTGAATCAATCAAACAATTTATCCATATCCAACTTGAAGGTATCATCGATGTATCAACCTCCACCAATATCACAACCGAAGGTGGATAATTCCTCTCCCAAAGACGGTGATACGAAAGTTTCGAAATGGGTTTATTTATCTCAACAAGGGAACTTAAATGTGGTTGATTTGAAGTTATTCCATCATTATTGTACAGAGGTCTGGCCAACAATTATCGAATCAGGAATTTCGGGACAAAACGTCTGGAGTGTTGATATTCCTGCTTTAGCTCTTGAATATCCATTTCTAATGCATTCGCTATTAGCATTCAGTGCAACTCATCTTTCTCGTACTGAAACAGGATTGGAACATTACGTTTCCTCGCATAGAATAGATGCATTGAGACTTTTAAGAGAAGCTGTTCTGCAAATATCAGAGGCTAATAAAGATGCTCTAGTTGCAAGTTCTATAATATTAATTATGGATTCTTTGGCAAATGCATCTAATAGTACTCCTAATACATCAAATACCCTTTCACCTTCAGCTTGGATTTTCCATGTAAAAGGTGCTGCTACTATTTTAACTGCAGTTTGGCCATTAAGCGAAAAGTCTAGATTTTACGATCTATTATCGATGGATTTAAGTGGGCTTGGCGGTCTTATTAATCAAGATAGTGATACGATATCTGAGTTGATTTGCTTTGATGAAAGTATTGCTGATATGTATCCTTTAGAGGTTGATTCGCCTTATTTGATTACATTAGCTTACTTAGATAAGCTGAACCGTAATAAGGATCAAACAGATTTTATTTTACGTGTTTTTGCATTCCCAGCTTTATTAGACAAAACTTTCTTGGCCTTATTAATGACAGGTGACTTAGGTGCGATGAGAATCATGAGAAGTTATTATAAGTTATTGAGAGGTTTTACAACTGAAGTAAAGAATAAAGTATGGTTTTTAGAAGGTATCTCACAAGTTTTGCCGCAAGACGTTGATGAGTATAGTGGTGGCGGTATGCATATGATGTTAGATTTCTTAGGTCGTGGATTACCATCCATGACTACTACTAATCTAACTGAATTTTTGTAAAATTATTAAAAGAATAAAATTTAAACTTGTATGCTAAAAATGCATTAAGTTTTTCATAGTAAACATATTGTACATAAATTTACATTAAATTTAGAATACTTTAAGTTCAGGATAAAATATTTCATTTTATTACAAATATCACCCATTTTGATCTATATATATACTTAAATATCTTTACTTGTCGTATTCATTTATTCAAATGTTAGTTCCCAAGATATACTACTGACATTGATTTTTTTTTTGATCGGAAAAATAGTAATTAAGAATATTCTGGAAATTGGAATGTTCAACCTTCAGTATAAAAAAATATAGAATAATCTGAAATATTTAAAGGTATTGAAAGTATAAGATTTAGGTTTATTGTCCATTGGATTAGAATTTTATTTGCAAAAGTAGGCTATCATTGTAAGGTCTGATAATATAGAAATAGTTAAGATTAAAAGATGGTTGTTAATAATCCAAACAATTGGCATTGGGTTGATAAAAATTGTATTGACTGGGCTAAAAAGTATTTACATGAGAAACTAACTGGTGTTAGCACCGATTCAGGTGAAGAAACATATGCAATTGTTGATAAAGTTTCGTCGATAGAAGGTGATTGTGAAGTTAATCAACGTAAGGGTAAAGTTATATCTTTATTTGATTTAGAAATTGTAATGGCAATGAAGGGACAAGTTGAAGGAAATGGATTTGAAGGTAGTATTAGTGTTCCAGAAGTTGCATTTGATTCAGAAATTGATGATTATCAATTCGAAATTTCGGTCTATAAAGAAACAACTAAATTGAACGAAATTAAGCCAATTATTAGAGAGAAATTATTACCAAAATTTAGAGAAATATTTCAACAATTTGGTAAAGATCTTTTAATTGCAAACGGTAATGATATTCAAATATCCCAGGAAAAGGTTACCTCTACATTTACCAAATCAAATCAAAAGCAAAGTTTAGGTGAGTTTAATAAAAATGCATCTACTACTGCAACATCAGGAAACACTACTGTGAAAACTTCAACACAAACAGATGCTTCTTCCTCTAGTAAAAAAACTTCAGCAATTAAGATTGGTACAGGTAACACTACTACTATTCATTTGGAACCAACTTTTAATGCACCTGCTGAAGAATTATACAAAACATTTTTAGATAAAGAAAGAATAATTGCATGGAGTAAAGGTGGTGTTAAGAGTGATGGTAAAGAAAGATTATTACAAAAAGATGAAGAATTTGAAATATTTGGAGGTAATATCATTAGTAAATTAGTGGAAGAGGTTCCAAATAAGATTCTAAAATTTGAATGGAGATTATTATCGTGGAATAAAGGAAACAATTCTACTATTAGAATGGAATTTCATGAATCCAAAGAGTTTCATGAAACTAAGATTCAAGTTGATTGGAGTGGGATACCGATTGGTGAAGAAGATAGAGCAAGAGCCAATTTTGAAGATTATTATGTCAGATCAATTAAGTTAACCTTTGGATTTGGTGCTGTATTGTAAAAGAAATTGAGATTAAAACCAGAATAATAGTAATGGGCAATAAATATTTAAATAATTGAATAAATGAATAAATAGCAATAATTATTATTACATTAAGATTTCTTTGGAAAGCGATGGATAGAGTATACAAATTATTCCAATAATTGGAAGAAGATCAACAGTATCAACACAATTCTAAGTAGTAATTATATTCACTTTGGTTTAAATAAAGGATGAAACCTCCATTGTTGAACAATTTGCTCAAGGATTTGTTTTTTATTAAACTATACAACTTGTTCCTTTATTAAAATTTATATTTTGTAATGTTTCTATTAGTTGTCATCACTTCTTGATACGCTCGACGATTCCAAAAAGACTAAACATCAATGGTGATGTATTGTTGTTAAATTGATTTGTAGCAAGATTTGCAGCTAAAAGAACACTTGAACGATATTATGATAATTACAAGAAGAGTTTGAAGCTTAAAAAACCAATTCATTTAGAAAAGGAGAGTCTTTTGATCAAACAATCCTCGCTCTTAAACTAAAGGACTCACTACCACCCTTATCCCCCGCAATAATTAAAATTTAACACTGCAGAGGATAAAAGAATGTAGTGTAATAAGAAGGTAATCCTGACTACTACTTTAACAAGATAATTCTCATATTAGGTATCATAACGGTTATCAGTGCAGATAAGCTTTGGATTGACTATCTCTATCTGCTTCCTTACTTTGTGATATCAATGGAATAGTAATAACGTTTCTATTTTCTAACTAAAAGATTCTAGTATTTTGATGGGTTTCCAACATGAAGAACCAAACTTTAACATTTAAGGAAACTAAGAATCATCTAAGATGTAGTAACAAGTCAACTGAGTTATCTCTTAAGAAAGTTCTTATTATTGCAAATGATAATCTTTTCTTTCATTTATTGTTGAAAAATAGTTGTACAGCTTCAAAGTTAAAGTAAATGTCATAATCTTAATTCTTACTTCAAGCCATTCTTATTATTATGAAAAACTCTATTTGTACTTCGAATTAAAATCATTATTTGTTAAGATAAGTGAGGAACTTACTAGCACATTTCATATTAAAATTATTAATTATATAATTAAATTACGTATTGGAAAAAAATAATTAGCCTCTCTGTTCCTGTAAGGATTTCACCAGCAATCGTGCAAAATATTTAAAGTAGTCATCCAGCAGCAGCCTTCCTTATAAAAGCTTTTTATACAAGAAAAGGAGTCCTTTTTACTAACAATTATAATACTTTTTAAGTTATCAATTTTATTCAAGTCAAACCAAGTAGTGAACTAATCATTGTATGAGAGTAAAATGACGTTTTTTATGTTTTATGTTTTATGTTGTAGTTTTTTTTTATTTATTTTTGATCTTTATTTTACGTCAAACTTTCCTTCTTAGATGTGTCGTGTTAATGACTGTCAGCCATCTTTTCTTTACCATACCAGAAAGGCTGTTACTGAAATGCCTTTCCTAGTGTTTTTCTTTCTTTCTTTGTAACGATTTTATTGTCACCCATCATTAGCAACATCATGTAAAAACATAGGGTTTCAATCCTTTTCTTGGTTTTGTTTCTTCTTCTATCATTTTATACAGTTGTCCAGTAAGATAGGGAGATAGGATCAAACACTAACATTAAATTTTTTATTGAGATTCCCTCTCTCTCTATCGCAGTCTCTCCCAGTCAAACAAGTTAAATGGCAAGAAATTGTTCTTAGCACTACCTGTCCAACATCTTCTTCAAGTCTTTTATTCACGTCTTGTGTGAGGGAGTGATCAAGCATAATAAGATGAATGGACGAATATTAATAATTACTGGACTTATACATTAATAAACAAAGTGGGTAATGACGGTTGGTAAGGAGATGATAGGATAGGAAATGGGAAATAGTGAATAATTTACAATGTATCAATTAGTAAAGTATCCCTCTCTCTGAAATAGATGTCCGTTATTCGTTGTCTGTCCTCTATTTCTTACTTTTTATTGTGTTGTTGTAGTTTGTAATTGTAGTTGTAGCAGTCCGAGGTGTATGTAGTGCAGTATATAGTCAAAGTGTGGTCTATAGTTATGGTTTGTTTCTTGCTGAGCCAAGTTGGCTTTTGTAAAAGGTAATTATAGTATTATGATGATTTCGCAGTTCTTGCGACAAGAAAAGAGGATAGGAAGGAGAAGAAGGGGGAGGGCAAGAAAAAGCATTATAGCAGTCCGCTCTTATGTGTGTATATTGCAATATACGTTTTTAGAGAAAGAGAAAGAGAAAGAGAAAGAGAAAGAGAAAGAGAGAAAGAGATGTGTCTTGTGTCTTTCTGTCTTTCTGTCTCTCATTTTTTTGTCGTTGATTTCTTTTGACTGGGCTTGAATGGGATTGATTCAATTTAATTTGATATGATTTGATTTGTGTGATATATGTCCTTGTCTCTATATTTTCTAAGATCTTTTTTCGGTCTTTTCTCACTGGCAGTGGTAATTGCTCTCCCACCACCACCCACTCACTAAATGTTGGAAGCGTAGTAATTATTATTAAGAGAGATACATCTTCTTCTTCTTTTTTTTTTTTCGTCCTCTTGTATTTTTTGTAACATATATATTATTTTTTGTAGTCTTACAACTCAAGCTAGATACAACTTCTGAGTATACTTGAATATATAGTACTTAAAAATAACATTTTTTTTTATAAAATGTATATATAGATGGATAGTTCTAACATTAAGATTGAACAGACTCAATAAGTACTTAGTGGTTCAATCATCTGAATTACTTCTGTTCTATTCCCTCCCTCCCCCCAAAAAAATACAAAAGATAAAGCATAATAATAACTATTACAAGAAATCGTTACGAGTAGAGTTTTCAAGGTACTAGTCTATCTATCATAAGAAAAATTAGAGATTTAGAACTCCAAGTCAATATCTCTTTCAGATTGTATGTATGTATATGTGTTTATTATTCTAATTATATTTTGATTATCGATATTATCTGAGTGATTGTTTGTTAGATTTCTTTCGCAGATTACCAGGAACTTAGTTTTTATATTACATTATATTATATTATATTATATTATATCACAAGAGAAGCAACAACAGATAGAGTATTCCCTTTGCCATTTATTAATGGAGATGAACCTGTAAAGTAAAGCAAAGTAAAGGAAAGTATAGTGTTGATGTAGTTTGCAAAATGGGTGGGTATATTATGAATATGAAATGACATAAACATACCTTTCCCATATTAAATATAATAATAGAATGGTATTATACTGTTCTGTTCTTGTTCTTCAAAAGAACAAGAACAGAACAAGAATCATCATTACCCCGCATACAATCATTTTCTCTCTTACTTTTAGCTGATTTATGTTCTCCGTGGAAATTAAACGGTAGGGTAACATCCTGATCCGACAGTCTCTTCGCCCTTTTGTGAAGAAATGTTTTTTTTTTATTTTTGGTTTTGATTATACTACGGAGAGATAACCAGAGAGTCATAATGACTGTTATTTTTTTGCATGAGCTAGTCCTCTTCCCCCCTCTAGAATGTGTTGTTTAATTTACTATCCGAAAGGTGATTAAGAGAAAAAGGTGTATGGAGGCTTTATTGTTCGTTGATTGTGAGTTCGAGATAAGTTCTTCATGTTAGCTTTTCTTTAATTCTCTTTATTTTTGTGGATTGTGTATGTGTGGCTTTATCGCTTATGTTTTCGAGTTTGAGTGAGCGAGTGACACAAAAACGCAAAAGACAACAAAATAGAAAAAATAAAGAAGAAAAAAAGAAAAAATGCAAAAAGAAACTTAGATCTAACTTCATAGCCGCCCAGGTTCCTCATTGTTTTGTGGCAAGTTCTCTCAATACATAATTATTTATATATATATTGGGTGGCAAATGAAAATTACAACCAATAAAACAAAAAAAAAAGAGAAAGAGAGAGAGAGAGAACATCGGATATTTTGAACAGTATATATATAAAAAGGGGAAACTCTCAGAACAGAGCCAATAATTTCTTCCGAACCATTTTTATTCTTTCTCTCTTGTCGCAACTATTCATTCTATTCCCCGATTATACAAATTATACCGTGGGGAAACCACTTCAAAAGGGTATCACAACGAAATCTCATATGTATACAACAGACAACTAAAGATTAATCAAATCAATTTTATTATTATTTTTTTTTTTATCCTTTATTAAAAGCTAAAAATTTTTTACTAACAGATCATTTTACAATATAACTATATGTGTAAATATATAGATTTACTGGGTTTGGTATTTGTTTCTGCACAGACTTTCATTTGAATTTTGTGTGTGTTTTCTGTTATTTTTTTTTACTTTTCACTTTCCATTATTTTAATTTTAATTTTATTATTATTTTTCACCAATTATTCCATTTTTATGGTGGATAAATTGTTTAATTGATTAAAAAGAACGAAAATTATCTATTATTGATAACATTTTCCCAACTGTATTTTTATTTCTAATTGCACCCCCCTACCAAATACTTGATTTAAACTATAACCATTATTTTTTTAATTTTGTTTTTTTGACATCCCTCAAAGAAAATACAAGAAATCAGAAAAAAACCATACATATATAAAAAAGGAATACTTTTTCTTTTTTGTCAAAAGTTTATTATGACTGCAGTTGAACGAAATAATAATATTCTCGATTATACTAATAACGAAGATAATAATAGTAATGATAATAATATTGGTAATACCAATATCGATAAAAATGTTGTATTTAAAAAAAGGAGATGTACTGTAACTGACACTAACAACGATAGTGATGACATTAATAACAATATTGATATTAATGGCAGTACAAGTGTAATGTCAAGAAATAATAGTGAAAATTCTATTAATACTACAAATGCACTAAAATCAAATAGTAATAATATGAACTCAAAAGTAAATAAAAATTTATCTCAATTACCAGAGAATCTAAGATTAAATGGAGTCACCCCAAGTGGTAAACCAAGATTATTCGTTTGTTCCATTTGCACAAGGGCATTCGCAAGACAAGAACATCTTACGAGACATGAAAGATCTCATACAAAGGAAAAACCCTATTGTTGTGGCATTTGTCAACGTAAATTCAGTAGGAGAGATTTGCTATTAAGACATGCCCATAAAATTCATGGTGGTAACTATGGTGATTCTATAACTATTACAAGTAATGGAACTGTATCAACTGAAAAGAATACTCCAAATTCTTTGATTTCATCACCTGTGTCATCTAATCTTGTTTCTATCACAGACCCAGCTTTAGATGTTGGTACAATCGATGAAAACAATAATAAATTTATTTTCAATAATAAAAGTTCAACCTCATCAAAAGAGCAAAATAACAATGCAAATAACAACAATAAACGAAAATTGACAAATTCATCAAAAGGAAGAAGAAAATTCACAAGAAACGTATTATCATTGAAAAATACGAAAACAAATATTGATAAAAAAAAAATATCTTCAAAAACAAATAACACTCAGTCAATCAAAAGATTGAATAAACGTCGTGCATCCTTTAGTGCACAATCTGCAGAAAAGTATGCTTTACCGATTATTACTGAAGATAACAATCATATTTATGATAGAATTAAATTTTCCACTCCTGAACTATTGCCTCTGGATTATTTCAACAATCCTGACACCAATACTTACTATAAACCAAATTTAACGAATAACGAAGAAATACCAAATTTAAATATTAATAATTTCACATGTAATAATAATAACTCTCAGTTAACTTTTCCAATTAATGATTTTAACCTCAATGACACAATAGAATGGATCAATGGTTCATCAAATATTAACAATATTAACAATATTAACAATAATATCAATTCTACCTCTTATTCCAATAATGATAATTTGGAAAGTAGTGCAAGCCCTCAAAGTCAGCAAAATTTCAATAATTTTAATGTTGTTTCCGGTATCAATGATTTGGCTGTCATTAACGATTATGCCACAAATAATATCGATGACAATAATAATGACTTCCAGTTATTATCTAAATACGCTTCATCGTCTGCAATAGACGAAGATATGGGTGATGATTTTGAAGATGAAGGCAACATGACTCGTTCATCCACAGCATTTACGATAAATAATTCGTACAATACAAATACAGAAAACATAACTAATAAGCATGAAGAAGATGATAGTGTCATATCTGGGTCAAAACCAAATTATAGCCAAAAAACTAATGGTTATCAATTACCATCTACAGCTTCTTTGTTCGGAAATTATTCGTACCAAAAATCTAATAAACCTAAGGTTACAGATCAAGAAAAGGTAGATACAAATAGCATCAATACACCAGTAAGTATTTCAAACAAATTGAGTAACGTAAATTTAAATGATGATGTATTTGATGTTAATCATTTATCTACGTTTACAAATGATATTCAAAATATTTTTGGTAAATATATACAAGATGAGGAGAAACAATTTTATTCAAATGACAACAAAAAGGATAAGAATATTCCAATGAATAATAATATAGCACCCCAACTTAATTGCCCAAATGATAACTATACGTTTTATGGTTTAGATCATTTTACTATATCCAACATAACACGAGCAACACCGCCAGAATCTAATGATACAGTTAATTATTCAAACTTGAAACCTGTTAAACTTTTCACGCCTGAATTACGCCAATTATGCATAACAGCGCTAAATTACTATAAAGAATGTTCCAATAGCAATGGTAATATGACTAATTGTTATAATTATAAAGCTCATAGAGATATTAAATCAGCAGGTATGAACCCGTTACTGGTCGCAAAAGATTTGGTATTGCCAAGTTGTAATGAACTGAACAATTACCTATCATACTTCCAACAATTTTTCTTACCTCATCATTCCTTTATTCACCCTAATGTCCTTCATTTTGATTTGTCCTTATTGAGAAGATATGTTCATGAAGAATTAGTGGATTTAAATGAATTAAAAAACGACTTTGATGATCAAGGTGAATTTGATAATGAAATTTATGATAGGGAAGATTTCAATTTAAGGTATGCGAATATTGCATGCTTGCCACTTTTTATGGCAACATGTGGTTCTTTCTACAAACCTGGTAGTAATCCCAAAACTATGGAGTTATATGAAATAAGTAGACGTGTATTGCATGTGTACTTGGAGACAAGAAAAAAATTAAGTAAGAAGGAAGAACTGTCAAATTATCCTCATTCTAAGAAGTTCCGTAATCTATGGCTGATTCAAACTTTAATTTTGAGTATTGTTTTTGCTATTTTTGCCGACTCTCTAAAAAGTGTTGATGAGAATACTATAAAAAGACAGATATCTGCTGTTTGCTCAATCGTAAAGAAAAATATAATCCCTACAATTTCATTTCCTGATTCAAAGTATATTTCATTTACTGATAAGAAGGAGATTTTTAGGTTTAATAATAAGTTTCAATATATTATTTTTGAAAGTTCCTTAAGATCAACTTTGATGGTTTATAATTTCTGCCGCTTTTTAAATGTTTTTTATAATATTGATTCAAATCTCTTTTTATCCGGAAATGATATTGAAAATATTGTTATACCTGATGATGAGGCTAATTGGATTTTGACATCTTTATTTGATACAGAAAGAGAGTTTGACATAAGAAAACAAAATTCGGTTACATACCAGAAATATTATCATAGTTTTGCATTTAACAAATTAGGAATGCATCCTCTATCTGAAATTTTAATAACCACTATGTTGTATTATGAGTTTAATTCAAGCAACTTCTCTACTTTCCATGTTTTCCTCAACAAAATCGATACCAAGAAATTGGAACTAAACTTTCCACAACATTTTCATAATATCATTAATGATTCGGATGAAGAGACATATGATAAAATTGAGAATCATTCTAAAATATTATGCGGTGATTCTATTACTCTAAGAAATACGTTGATGTCCATTTATCTATTTAATAAAATTGATGTCAGATTTTGTTCAAAAATTTGGAATGACCAAATTAATGACGTATTTCATATATTTTTGAATTCTGAAAATTTAAATATATTTACAAAGGGATCATACAGTTTGCTAACTGATTTTTTAGTTGCATTGAATTTTTCTATTAAAAATATTTCAAATTTATTTGTACTGAAGGATGATGCCAAGACTATTGAACTAGATGCTACTAAGATAACAGTTTTCAATATTCAAAGTTATTACTATAATTTCCTTATTATTATCAAATACATCTTAGATTTCGAGGCGACTCCTAATTTTAAGCTGTTATGTATTTATACCGAATTGAAGAAGTTGGCCAATAAGTTGTTGATTCCTAAATTCTATATGAACTATCCAAGTGAATTTTGTGGATTTGAAGACATTGTAAAAACCTATAGGTTTTTGAATGTCCATGATGAATTGAAAATTAATCAACAGTATGCTACAATTGATGTCGATAAGTTAGAAAAGCTACTTAATAATGTTTTGGTGTATTCATTTAATGATACTTCATTTTTGAACATGTCAGAACAATCGACAAACGAATTTTTATTCAGTAGCAATTACCCCACATATTATCCATTTACCTCTTCACCTCCAACAATTCTACAAAGCATACAAGATGAAGATGATAATAGTATGAATGATATGACATCTAATGACCCAGTACCTACTAAATCATCAATGGATTTGGTTGCAACCCATCAACAAATTTTGAATGGTACTGTTTCCACCAAAACGAATAAACAAGGTTTTGCAGAAAGATATCATTTGGCAGCAAAATATGTGACAATTGCCAAATGTTTCTTTAGGTTCATAAGGGAAAACCATATCCATTGTCACTTTTTAGAAAAAATGACAACAGATTATGATATTATTGGAAAAATGTTGGCAGAAAAATGATAATTTGGAGTTTTTATTTGCATTTGCATTCATGAATAACAATTTTTCAAAAATTTAATATTCATATATTTCATAAAAGCTTCTTGCAATGAAGCACTTGCTTAACTAAGTTCTGTTAATATGCATTGATTATATATAATTAGTTATATATAAATTATATTCCTCCTTATAAAAAGTATTTATGATTAAAAAAAATATATCAAATGTTAATTGGTAAAGGTTCTCCGACTAAAATGCTATGAAAATGTGGTGTTAACATTACAGATCACTATGTATATACCTCTTTGTTACCAAGGCTATCCGAGAGAAGTGTCTTCATTTATTAGTGTTTGTATCAGCCACTCTTTAGATTTGAAATAAAATTTGGTTGTTCCTTCGTAACTATTATTAATTTCGTCTCTAATATTCTCAGGTATGTACTGCGATGAGTTTTTAGTGACATTCATATAAACGATTATCAGTTTCGGAAGTTTGCCGAATGAATCCAAGATTTTTTGAATTGACTGTATTATTCCATTTGTTTTAAACTCTTTTAACTGATATAAAGTTTTAACTCCTGTTGAAGCAAACAAAAATTTTATAAAATCATCTAAATCTGTCGACCCATTTAAAATAACAATAGCGTCACTTAATAAACTTGTTAGTCCATTGATTTGATCGGGTAGTTTTTCATTTCTGATTAATTTGGTATAAAAGTTAAAAATATTACTTGACTTAACAGTGCACGCTTTTGATGTATCAGATTGCAATGCAAATCTAAGACTTTCCCCAGCAGGTAATAAATATTTAAATACTGATTCCAGTACCAGTTTCTGTTTAGTCACACACTCTACTACAAACTTCCAATGTAGAACTGGCCACTGAAGCGCCAAAGTTTCAAGATATTTCAAACTTCTTGAATAATTATCTGCAATAAGACATGCAAACCTAAAATCCTTAATTAAAGATTCTTCCTTAAATTTTAAACTTAAGTCAAATTCCTTATAACTTTCATCGACAGAATTATTTGAAGTAGAATAATTGAACAGTGAAGAAAATCCCAGTTCTAAAATAGTGCCCCCATTAGCCAGTATTAATTCACTTAATTCATCTCTATTTTCTGACACATTCGTTAATATGAAAATCGAATGTTTAAAGATTAAAGACTTTGGGTTATCATAATTATAACTTAGAATCGAATCTGTTGCCTCGTTAAATATTGATTTTTTAGAAAAGGTTTTAGTAGTAGAATCACTAGTAGTTAAATGTGTTTTAGATGCAGATCTAATAGGAGACGACATTAGTGATTTCAACGGAGATGATCCAAGTTGACTTCTATGGCTTCGTAATGGTGTACTAATTTTTCTACTTTCAGTATCATCTTTCTCTTCAGAGTTTGTAATTAATTGACTTCTTTTGGTCCACTCATTAATATCCATTGATATTGAGCTTAATGGAGTTATATATGTTTTTTTTCCTAGCGTTCCAGACGCTGTCTTTTTTTTCAAATGTAAAGTGTCATACCCCCTGACACATCTGATTATGCTTTCTTCATGTGAATTGCATTCTAGTCCAACTATTGTATATGGGTGACCCTTCCATAATATCCTGTCACCTATCATGATATTTAGGTAATATATGTCATCGTTATTCATTAAATTTTTCTCATTTTCGAACATTATCCAACTTTTGGACGTATTTGGTTCTGCATTTAACAATATACCCGGGTAGAACTGACAATTCAAACTGTACAGACACCAAACAGAATTTTCAAATAATATATCATCATTAGACAAAGAATTTTTGTCCTCAGAAAGAATGCCTGAAGGATATATTTTTTTCGTCTTCTTTAATATTTGAGGTGAAGACTCTTGATATTGAAACTTAATATTAGTAGATTCCGAATCCTCGATCCCTGTAGCTTCATTGGATATTAAATTGATATTTGAGGAGTCTATTCTAGTTGATTCAATATTAGAGTCTCCAGGTGCGCCTCCTTCTTTATTCGAAAAGTTCTCAAGACTCTTATCTAAATTTATTTCTTGTAGTTTTGTCATTTTTCTCCGTTTTGTCATCCTTCCATTAGGTACTATGTCTTGGGATTCGTTCAAATCAGACACTAATGCATTATCACTTTTATTTTTTAATTCATCTTCGTTTTGTTCTTCAACTTCTGGCAGTTCCTGTGTCATTTCTGCCTCACTAAATATGACTTTTTCTTCACAATCTTTAGCACCTTTTACTAAATCTCCATTTTGGCTTGATGTTAAATCGATGTTACTAGAAATCTGCAAATAAATTTTATCCGGACTTGCTGATTCGTAGAAACTGTTTGATATCCAGTTCTGATCCCTATCCCTAGGGGTGGGTGAAGAGTCTGTATTTTTCACACCATTTTTTTCTTCATTAAATATTGGTGACTTGGTTTGTGGGACCTCTAGTATCGTTTGCTGTTCATTTTTCTTTATTGGCACAGGTGTGTTAATATTATTATCAGGTTGGTTACTTTCAGAAAAGGACGGTCTTCGTTGGAGGAATAATGGAATTGTTGAAGTGTCGGATATTTGAGTCAAATCTACCTGGGTGGAGATTGCATTCTGATCAGAAGATATAATAGGCTGTGTCTCGCCGTTTAATAAATTTGATCTATAATCCTTTTTATGATCTGATTTAGGTTGTTCAGTGTTAAATATCTGTTCTTTTGCTTCTAATTCAGGTTCTAAAAGTTTTATAGTATGTGTTTCGCTAGTGTCAATTAGTTGAGTTGATTTATAGCCATTCATTTCAATGCTGGTGTTTTCGATTTTATGTGGAATATTCGCTTCCGTAGTGTCATCTATAACAGAGTATTCAGAACTTAAAAATTCAGTTTGATATAAGTTTTTAATGGCCCTTGTAATGTCAATATCACTATTGCAAACAGGTTGTGTAATTCCGGTATTTCTAGACGGATTAATAACTTGATCTTTGATCGTTGACACAATCTTATCATCATTCTGTTTCTCTTCTTGTTCTTGTTTTTGTCCTTCTTCTTCTTCCTCATAATTCAGTTGAATTCCTCCTTGTTCGAATTGAAAAGATCTAAGGGAATTGTTGTTTATTTGATCAAGTCGTAATTTATTAATGATATTTTTAGGGTTGATATCATTCTGAACATTAATCTTTGCTAAATTATTATTTCTCTGTGATGGAGGAGTATCATCTGATGAATAATTTAATCTTTCAGCAATTTCTGATCCCGATGCAACTTTTAATTTAGATAATTTTGAATTATCATTCTGTATTTCTGGTTCCATAGAGCCCATTGATTTCTCATTGTTCTTTTTATATTTTATCGGAGAATGTCCATCTTTAAAGAACATTGCAATTCTGTTAATATCCTGAGTTCTTTTACCAAGTGGACTATTATTAGAACTTCTAGTATATTTATTAGGGGAAGGCGTTGTATTACTATGATTATTACTCTTGACAGATGGTTTAGGTACATTATTCTTAACAAAAATATCCTCTGTGCTCATCGACTTGATCGGGTTTTTAACTACACTATCATCTCGATTGGAAGGTGTGACATTCTTCAATTCGATCCGTTCCTCATTGTCACCAAACAGATGTTTCGAATCTCTATCTGTTGCCCTCATATCATCACTACCATTATTCATAAGGGGTTTTCAAAGAAGAGAACTGAAAATGGAAAAGAACAAAGACAAGAAATCTTACAGTACTTAACTAACCAAGTTATAACATAAGGGCAATGTTGAAATACTTGATCAACCTGTTAAGAGCTCATCATCTCATCTCGATTTCGAAACTTATATTCACCGTTACTGTTCTGTGCATTGAAAAATTTCACAATTCTTTTTTTCTTTATTTTTTTTTTTTTTGATCTTGTCTGTTACTTCGTTTCGGCTCTTGCTGTCGCCGTCACACACATTGAGTGCCTTAACAATGAAAAAGTTAACTTTAAGTGTCAGTAAATACAGATTTTAAAATAAACCTGATTGAATTTTGTTGCAATTACAAAACTGGTCAAAGTGGTGGTTACCAGCAACAACTACAGAATGCTACTATTGTTGCTTTACTTCAATTCATGGTTCATATTTGTGAAGTTCAGGATAGAAGGTGAGTCCATTCAAAAATACAATAATCAAATTGTTAAATAGATAGATTTAATAGTGACATAACATATATATATAAAAAAGAGAGAGGAATTGGTAGTATGTATATCTGTGTTTTTTATATCAGTATATTCTGTGATGGACAATTTAGCTTCTAGTGATTGAATTGAGCTTTGGTTGTTACTGTTGTTCTTTTACTGACATTAAATATTATTTTTGTTTTTTTGGATATGTTCTGTTCCAGTAATTATTTTATATTTCTGAATCCATTGTAATAGACCTTATTACTTTTCTTGTTCTTCTTCATTTGGGTTGGATATTGTTGTTGAGTCTGATATTAGTTAGTATAATAAAATGTCTGACGAATATGAGGAAGTGCGAGCAGCCTTTATTAAGGAAATTGACGACATTGCCTTGTCGATACATGAAATGCAGAAATATGATCAAGAAGTATTTTTAAGAACACTTTGCTTATTATTCAATTTTTGCCCTGCGGATTTGCTAGAAATACTCTTTAAAAGAGATTCTATTATTAGAGATAAGATCGAAGTTATTATTGGTAAGGAATTGTTAAAAAATTTATCCTTTGATTTAAGAATGGAGGCAAAATTTATTGCTTGGTGTTTCCATAAAAATGTTTCCTCTCAGAACAATAATAGCAGTAACAATATTGGGAATTCAGATGATTTAATTATGTTTATTTTACTTTCAAAGGGATTACAAGCATACTTTTGCTTTTACGATGGGAATTATAGGAAAGCAATGTGGTTTTCAAAATGGTGTGTACAATTCTTATACTTTATCAAAAAGTATAACGTAAACATTCAAGAAAAGTATGAATTTTTGAGTGATGCAGAAAGATTTTTTGCTATATTATGTGCTAAATGTGTATCAATTACATTTTCAAGGAAAAGCTATCATTTACAACTTTACCAAGTAGCAAACCCAAAGATTGATGAAAATTCAACCTTAAAGGCTTTAACAGTTTCAATTTTAGAAAATACAGATCCTGAGATAATGACACATTGTAATGCCAGAGATAAATTAGTTCTCTGTAATATTTTTGACTCATTGGCATCAATACAATCAAAGCTTGCAATTTTTGAAGGTTCTTTAATTCAATATCAAAGTGAAGAAAACATGTTTTATGAGATCGGTATTAGAACAAGTAGAGAATATACTAAGGAAATGATTAGAAAGTATATTATTTCATCTACACTGAGACCTACAGGTGATCCTAATATTATTGATCAATTGAATAATATTTTAGTTGGATTGATTTTGTACGGTGGCATACATGTGGAAATTGTAACGGTATTTCACAATATTCGTAACTATTATTGTGAAGTATTCAATGAGGATCTTAATATATTGTATTCTCATAGTGAATATAATGAATGTTTGAAAGGAATTGATAAAATTGTTGAAGAATGGGAAAAGATAAAATCGATTTGTTTACCAAAGACAATTCAATTACCTCAAGTTCTACTACAAAATCTGCAAAATTCGATAATAATTGTCGACCATGTTTTATCACCTACTTCAAAAGAACGTAAACATGAGGTCATCCAGTTTTTTAAAAGCCTCAAATCAAAACTAAAACATAAGTTCACTGATAAAATATTCATAGAAGATGAAGATTCAGATATTTTATGGAACATGGGTGTGGAAATGATAAAATATTGGGAAGAATGTTATTTAGATAACGTGGGTCCTTTACCTAATGAGGTGTCATATACTCTTCATAATTTTGTTTAAAGTATGCTCATATTTTCAAATATATATATATAAGTACAGTTTAGAATTTTGTGTTTTTTAAAATCATTTATTAAGCAAGAATATAATTCAGAATTATACAGGACAAAATAAATGCTAATGTGTGTCTATCAAATTACCTATATCTTTTTTGACGTTCTTTGCATTTATCATGGTCTCTAATTCGCTAATTTTCCTTTGATAGGCTTCAATTATTCTATTCTTTTCTTCCAGTTCTTTATTTAATACCGACGTTCCTTGTCTAGTAGTTTTATTTGATACTGGAGAAATATTACCCCCATCATCTGTTTTAAAACCCATTCCTTCTCTAGAGGCTACTTCCTCATTTGAAGAAGATATGATGCCAGCTGTAAAATTGGCATAACCTTTGTTTCCCAACAATTTTCTAGTTCTATGGTTCTCATATAGGACATCGTTTGTGAAATCTTTAAAATCTTGTATATGTGATCCTAGAAGAATTCCCTTTAAGAACATAAATTCTGAGGTAGACACATCTTCCACAATTACCTGTCCCCACTCGAATTTAATTATATGAGACAACTCAGATCCATTTGTATCTGTAACTTCGTTGCTACAAGCAATTCCAAATGGCAAAATGTGATTGATCTTTGGACCTGTCTGTATCTGTATATTTGGATAGCTTCTATCCAAATCATCTTCTGTCATTATGGATTCTCCCAAAGTATCCTCTTTAAAATCAAATAATCTTATACCATGTCTTTCAATATCTTCCATAATTAAATGTTTGTTAAAACTCAATTCCTCTTCGGTCAATGTGTCTACTTTACTTAATACAGGTATAATATTCACATGATTCCCAATTTCTTTCATCATTTCTATGTCAATTGCTTTTAAGCCTCTTGCTGTTGGTTTTATAAAATATAAGCAAATATGTGGTCTTGGATCAGTGTCTCTGGTTCTTCTTTTAATTTGAATTTCTTCATTTAAAATATGATCGAATTGAGTTTCTAAATATTCTCTTACTAAAGCTGGAGTTTTTGTATCATCTAAATTATCACCAGCACCTGGAAATAAAACAACATCTAATGTGATAGTAACACCATTCCCCTCATCCAAATTAATAGTCTCTTTAATCACTTTAACCGTTGGACTGATATGGGCATGAGATGGATCTTGTAAGCTTTCCTTCTGTTGTAATGTCGGAAATATTTTTCTACCACATAGATTATTTAAAAATGTTGATTTCCCAGTACCTTTGGAACCTAGCATTAATAAACATAATTGAGTACCCTTCTTTGCATTCTTACGCAAACGTATCTCTTCTGTATTAAATTTTGCCATTTTCACGGTTTGTATAAAACTACCTCTTTTGAGTATTAGTGAACAAAAATTATTAAGAAAACCTTAAATTTTAATCAATTGTCTTACTTTATAAATCACAATTTAATATCATCTCTATCATTAAATACAGGTGGTAATTAATATTTTAAAAATATTGATGATCACTTAGTTTTGACATTTGTAACCTTATATGACACAAAACATTTCTTGATATATTTACAACTCATTACACTAATAAAAGAAGGATTACTGGCGCAGTCAGTGTTATATGCTAATGTAGTATTAAATTTTGTTAGAACTATCATAAAATAAAATATTGGATGTTCAGAATACCAAATTACAGATAACATTAAAAATGCAAGGATATCATGGATTATGTTAGATATTAAATAAAATAAATTAAATGTCTTTGAATCCTTTTTGATAAAGAATGAAAGAAACAAATTTCGATGGTCTATTATTGTTTTAGCTTTTTATCAGGAGTATTGTGTTGTTGGTTTGAGTTTTCTGGATGGGATCTTTTTTTACCTTCTGTTTTTATTTTTTCGAATAAATCCTGTAATCTTGCCTTTGTATGATCTAGTAATTCCTGTCTTACTTCTCCGGATTTTATCAAATTGTAGTCATAAGGGTCTGGAATTTCTCCATCGATTGGATCTTCGTCTATTAATCCTTCAATGTCACTTTTGCTAATTTGTAATTTTTCACCTTTATTACTCTTCAGATCAAAGAAATTTTCTTCTAACAATCTATAATCGGTGAATAAATCTTCCATTTTTTGAGGGTCTATTGGGGTAGGTAGTTTATTCCTGAAAAAATTTTTAGGGTACTTGAATTCATTGTCGAGAAGCTTTTTATACTGAATACCACAATATATTAGTGATAATGCGATGAAAGTGAAACCATCACATAAAAGACAAGTAGGTTGAGTAACCGCTTGGACAATAAAATTTCTAGCTTCTTGTAATATTTTTGGAAATATTTTCTTGAAATTGTCAGGCAAATCAAAATCCCTATTATATCTATAGTATCCACTAAAGATTTCTTCTATCATTTCTTTAGGATTTTGTACATTTAAATCGAAACCAAATGAACATATAATAGTTTTCTCGTTTTCCACTAATTTATCTCTTATATCCCACTTCATCTTATCAATGTTTGATATTTTTATACCTTGTACTTCTCTAGAGATAAATTCGCATGTTGCTTTAACATAAGCATCTATAGGCCTATTATTTTCAGTTCCTTTACACGCAGTAACCAAAATGCTTTGAGATAGATTTATGCAATCTATTAAATTTACAGGTAAGTTATAAATGTACCAATGTCTGAAAAATAGAATACATGATGCTGTGTAGGTATGATCAAAAAGGTTAAGTCTTTTTTTCAAAGTATAAAAATATAATAAACATTTTTCCATATTTTTTTTGGATTCTAATATTAAATTTGCATCAGTCCCCAGTCTGTCTATTATATCTTTACATGAAAATGTCCAAGTATTAACTGGAGTCTTTATAATATCAGGCCATAAAATTCTTGAATTAAATTTTGATTCATTTGTAGATGATGTTTCGTTTACCCTTTGTTGGGGTGCAGGTGCTACGTTTGCCGGTCCTTTTGGTATATTTTTAGTAAAATCAGATGCAATCTCTTGGGAGGAATTCGATTCATCTTTACTAACCTGTGATTTTTGAAGTGTAGAAATTTCACCTTTCTCCTTTGGGTTATTGCTCGAAGGCGTTGATGGTGAACTCATCTTAATCTATAATACTTACAACTTTTGCGGGAACCTTCTAGCCTTGAAAGAAAATTTTAGCACTATTAATACAACCAGGGATATCTCAATATATATGCTTATTAGCCCCTAGATCAAAGATTAGAAGATTGATCTATTGTTTAAACCATATCAATCAAGAGTTTGACAGTATCATCGTATTTAAGTAAAAATTTGATGTAGTAACTGGTATTAATTCATTTGATATTTAAGTTGAAATTATACATATCCGGGTAAAACTAACTTTATAAGGATATTACAATAATAAGAAGGACTCTTACCATAATGACAAAGTAATGAAATTGTGTAGAGTACTGATATAATAGTATATGATTTCAGGATATCAAACTCTCATTCATTATTATTTTTTGATTTAGTAATTCGATTTCATGTAAAGTAGAAGCTAAAAATAAAATACACTTGTAAAAGAAGAAAATGCTAAGATAGAATGAATGCATGAACAATTTATGTCACTTTCATAAACTTATTATAGTATTTACAAATAAATGATAATTACATTTTAAATAGTCCGATATATAACCTATAATAAATTTTCCCCTTTGCAATTACAATTCTTAATTCAATTTAATTATATATTTTCATAACTTATTTTATTATTGTCCTTTATAATTGCCTTAAGTTTTCTTCTTAAATGTCTTTCATTAATTTTATTCGTATCTGAAGCCTTTGATAGATATGATTTATCTATTTGATCATTGCTTCTGGTGAGAACATCTAAATATCCTTGTGATATATTCCTCTTTGTACCCGAAGGTGCTGTTGGAGTATTAGTTCTTGGTAAGTTTTCGACTATATCTAAATCGATGTTGTAATTGGTTAGAATGTTATCAAATACAATTGATTCTTCGTTAGACATCATTTCGAATAATGCAGTTTTATCTTTAACCTTCATTGAAGATCTCAATTGACTTAAAGATTTTTTCGATCTCAAATGTTGTTCGGTGTCTGTTGAATGTTCAATATCATCTATTGATGTTATTATGCTAGTATTTTGAGAGAGTTTAACAGTTACATCTGAAAACAATGAACTTGTCGGTGATTTTGAATAGTCTGATTCTATATCTTGGCTAATATTTGATGTATTACTTTGTCCTGGAGTACCTTCATCTTTATTGTCTGATTCTTCATCTATTATCTCATTATCCCGATTCTCTAATGCAAATTTTTCAAATCCTTGTAAGATTTCTATATATGGAGAAACTTCAGGAGTCATTGGTTTTATTAATTTAATATTATTACTGTTATTATTGCTGTCGCTGTCGCTGCTGTTGTTGCTGTTATTATTATCATTATTATTATGCATATAGTTCTCATTAATATTATCAATCTCTGTATTCTTACTAATAATTTTATTTATAGTTTCCTTTATCTGTAAATGAATAGGATTATGATCTAAGTTATACTTTTTTTGTATTGCTCTAATTGATTCTATTAGAGATATGTTGTGGTTTAAGTTCAATTGCTGAATAGCTATTCTACTGTTGTTTAAAATATTAAATACATCAATCGCCATTTTTTTTGTCAACTTATTACTCTGGCTATTATTATCCCTCGAATTAATCCTATAGATATAGCTTTCATTGGCCAAGCTTCTTAGAATCTTGCATGTTTTTGACACATTTTGCAACTCATATAAATCTAAATCTGATAATATCTGAAAGAGTATATTCAACGGTAAGTCTATCAATGAGTATTTTTTCGATATAACCAACTCCGTTCCCATTGTTCAAAAACTTTTCCAGTCCTTGTTATACTAGTATACTTGTATTAGTGGTAGTTGCTATGATTATAAAATACCAGTCAACCTGTAAAATAAAAATACCTCTTAAAGGCAGAATTTCATTGGATCAACACTGCTGGACTCCAAAGAACTAAACGAATCCTCAATGGCAACGATATATTTCCATCAATTGCATTCCAGTTCCTGTATATTTAAACCTATTGTAGATGATCTTTTGTTTATTGTTTGTTTGTAAATTTCGAACTTTTCAGTTTAATTTCAGTTTTTTTCCAGTTTGTCCAATATTTTTGTTTTACCCAATTAGTACATTTCAGGACAAATGACACGTGATAGTGACATCCTTGGTAGAGAGGTACTGAACATGTGCTTCGATACTTACAAATAGATATATATTTAGACATTTATAAGTGGGTCAATACAAACCAAGAATTCCATATTAACTGTAGTGTTAAATATCTGTGCCCTTTAGAACATTGGCAGAAACCACATATCCTTTAACTTTTTTGTCACGTTTGTCCAAATAATTGAACAATTAGGATATTTCCTAGTCCTCTCCCCCGTCCCCTTCTAACCCCCCTTCTCCCACACAAATCAGAAACTGGAAAATTAGGACAAATTACTAAAGTATCACTAATATGGAAGATTGACAATTGTCAATCTATTAAAGGTATAAAACAAGAGCCATATTAATGATAGTTGTTCACTTCTTGAATGTTTTAATGTTGGTAATAACATATTATTAGGTTGGTTGATGAGTACCTGATTAAGAATATATCCGGTGGAGTTGAATATTTTGTAATTTGCCAAAGATGATTCTACCAAAATTGGTATCGTTTATAAGTTTTGCATTCATTTCTTCTCAAATTGTTTCAGGTAAGCCAATTATTGGTGTTCCTGAAGACCAGTTGCATTTATATCAACCTATAACTGAAGGTAAAGATATTGGGAAATGGCGTTGTATTGGTGCTCCTACAGTTTTATTGAATTATAATCAGATCAATGACGGTATTTGCGATTGTCCTGATGGATCTGATGAACCAGGTACCAATGCTTGTGAGAATAGGTTATTGTTTTATTGTAAGAATAAAGGTTTCTTACCTAGATACATATCTACCAATAAAGTGAGTGATGGTATTTGTGACTGTTGTGATTGTTCCGATGAAAGTTTTGTGATGGAACCACCTGCTTATAAGGGTAGTGACTGTTTGACTTTGCAAAATGTCTATAATCATTTGATTGAAGAGGAAACTAATATCTTTGCAGAAGGTGCTAAAGCTTTAGAAGATTTGAAAGTTAAACATTCTATAAGATCCATTGAAGATGAATTGGCTAATGGTCAAAAGGAAATGGAAACATTAAATGTTACCGTTAACAATCTAAGAAATCAGTTAAGTGATTATGAAAGTTTATTAGTTCAAGAAAGAACTAAGTATGAAGAAGATTTAAAGAAAAACAATCCAATTTTATATGAGTTTGAGAAAATGGATATGACTTATTTAAGTCAGGTAGTAAATTCAACATTTGAAGAAGTTGGAAAAATTAGTAATGCTTATCATGAAATAATTAAAATTATGGATAAATTATCAAGCTCTTATACACCTTCTTTGAAAGATCGTGTTGTTAATGAAAATGTTGCTAATTTTGCTAAACTTTACAAAGAAAGTTTGGAAAAAATAAAAACTGATCCAAATATTGATACCGGTTTGAAAGGCCAATTGGCTGATTATTTCTTAGTTGAACTACCAAAATTATTTACTGACGGAAAATCAGATGACACAGCTAGATATGTTTTAGCTAAAATTACATTCGTCCGTGCATTAGCTCTAGGTAAAGTTGATTATAGTGTCGAGATTGTTAATGCAATTGATAAAATTCGTGAAATGCTAAATGATATTTCAGAGAATTATAATGTCAACTTTCAAGATAAAGGTGTTATTGCGGCTGTCAATTCTTATAAGGATTATCTAGGAAAATACGAATCTTCTTTGAAAACTTTAGTGTTACCAGAAAATTTTATTAAAGAAATTGACGAACTTTATAAATTTGTTGAAGAGAATATTCCAAAGTTAACTACTTCACAAGTAGAACATGGTGCGGAGGGTGAGACTGAAAACGAAGAGAGCAATGAAATGATGGGATTATCATGGGGCGGGATAATGAACAAAATTGGAGGCCTATTACCTAGAGACTATCAAAGTTCATTTGGATCTACAATTCTTTCATTGAAGAATCAAATATCTACACATGAAAATGAAGCATTAAAATTGAAAGAAAGGATCAAAGGAATTGAAGAACAAATGAAAGATAAGGAAGAATTATTTAATAAATTTGATGATTTGAATGATGAAGATAAGGTATTATTAGAGATTAAAGAATTGATTGAAAAAATGAAGGATTTTTCTATCACTGATAAGATTGATAATTATTCATACGAAATAAGTCTAAATCCAAAAGAAATGGGATCAATTTTACAAAAAGAGACCAAAGGAAATCAAAAAACAGTTAGTCTTGGTGAATTGCAAACGATTAAAATGGACAAAACATTTTCATTAATCAAATTTGTCGAATATTTAAAATTAAAATATACCGATGAAGATATCATGTTACATTTGATTAATGAAAACGGTAAAATTGGAGAAGAGATCTATCTGTTTGATAATTTGCAAGACATCAATAACGGTTTGATATTTGAATACGAGAATGGTGATAAATGTTGGAATGGACCACATAGATCAGCAAGAGTATATATGAGATGCGGGAACACATTTAAGATCCATGGAGTTCAAGAGACCACAAAGTGTAATTATATAATTGATGCAAGCGGACCATTAGGATGCAACTCAACCTTTGCATACAACAAAGACATCCAAAGACAAATATAATTAGTTTAAACCATGCACACTTGGTATATAAAAAAACAATTATATATATATATATTTATGTATATATTCACCAATTACAATGACCAGTGTTAATATCTCTTTTCATCATTGTTCTTCTTCCCCATTATTGTCAGTCTTTCTAGTCATAATACATCTATATATAGAGAGAGATGTGTGTGTCTATGTGTGTGTACCTGGTGCGGCAAATCAGCTTGGTATTGATGATTGACTATAGAATCTGCCCAAAGAGAAAAGAAAAGAAAAGAAACGAGAAGAGATTGCAAAACCCGCCGATCACATGACTTAGTCCGGGTAACTCTAATCGGAAGACAGAAAATAAGAAACGAGAACCGTTCGTTTCTTTTTTCCTCAAAATAGGAAATGGGTTTTTTGAAAATTTTCTTTGTCCAAGCTCATCTCAAAAAGTTGAAATAGCAAATATTGATATTAAAATACTATTAATGGTATAATTTAAAAAGGATGGATGTTTTCAAATTGATTAATTCAGTTGTCATCTAGCTATTCTTCGAGCTGATACGGTCCAAGATATTGCCAGTTTAAATATTTGGGAATTGGATATATTTTTTGGGATAATTCGAGAAGGGCAGGTGTTCTTTTTGTATATTTAAATTAAACTTTTTTTTTATCCTTTTTTTTTTTTTGGTTTTGGTAATACTATTATAAATTGCAGCGTCTAAAATTGTTGTTGCTTTACAATAGGTGAGTTGAGAAGTTAACAAGAGCATACTCACTCTGTGGTCGGGGAATACTTTTTCATTAGAATACTATTTACAGAACACTTTTAAGTGTGAATGTCAGAGTGCTTTTTTCGAAAAGAAAAACTAATAATAATAAAAAAAAGAAAATTTTATTTGGATCCTTTGATCTCATTTAATTGAATCTTAAACTGGCATATTTGGTTTACGTTTATTGTATTGGAACTGGGGAATTATTTATTTGTTATTGATTTTTTGTACATATTATACTCACATTAAAGGGGCCATCGAATTTTAATTTTTTTTTTTTTAATTTAACTCACTGCATTTACTTGATTCGATTCCAGGTTGGGCCTTATTTGTTCATTTGATATTGTTTATTTTATTTGCTTTGATTCGAACTAAAGAAAAGCAATAGAGTTTTCAGAATTACGAGAGAGAAACTTTTGATTAGAGGTGATTTTATATTAGTGCATCATGGCTGGTAAACATAGTCCCCAAAAGAAGGGAATTGATCTTTCCCAAAGAAATACAACTAGTGGGAAATTACTAGGAAATCTTAAAAAATTACAGGATCAAGTACCAACTGGATCAAAAACTTTACCTAAAATGGCGGCATCCGCTATCGTGGGGGAAAGACCGCGAAGGTTTAGTTTAATATATTCGTCAGATTCTTCGTTGAGTGACGTTTCCGATGGTGGTGAAAGAATGGATATCAAAAATAAAAGCGGTAAGATATTTAAGAATCCTTCATTAAATAAAAATAAGAAACTAAAAGATAACTCGATGGGCAAAGTAAGCAAACTTATACGAAACCCAAATGAAAAAATTGACGAAGAAAATAATGATGGGAATGGAAATGGAAATGACGATGAGAATGAGAATGAAAATGAGAATGATGAGGGAACAGAATCTTCCGATTATGACGTTTTCGTAAGTTCGGATAGTGACAGTGATGTTGATGACGATGACGATGACGACGATATAGATAGTGACAGTAGTTCCGAAGATGAGAATATAGACTTCGTCAAATTAACAGCTCAGAGAAAGAAAAAGGCATTACAAGCATTATCTGCAATTAAAAGAGGTTCTACAAACTTATTGCAGAATTCTTCTCAGAATAATGACACCGACGATATCAAGAACGTTATTGATCATAAAGATAACAGCGGTATAAATATTAATACTAATGCCAACAACATCAACATCAACATCAACAATAATAATAATAATAATAGTCATGATCATAGTAATATTGATGATGATGATGATGATAATTTGCATAATACATCGGTTAAAGACGACAGTTCAGATATAGACACTAGTGAAAGTGAAAGTGAAAGTGAAAGTGAGTCCATCGAGGAAGATATTGGTGAAGAAGTTCAGGAAGAAAAAGAAATAGAAATTCCAAAATCAAAAGCTACCAATGGTATTGATGAATTGCATGTTCCTACTTTTTCGGACTCTGAAGAATCAGATTATAATATTGATCAAGAAGCCTATTTTAATGCCATAAATGATGATGATCAAAATGACATAGATGAAATAGACACAGGTATAGAGACTGGTGAAGATGATATCCCATTACTTCAGGAAGAAGAACAGATTATAATGGAGGAATTGGAAAATGATAGTGATCTTTCTTTCGATGGAAGCATTCATGCGGAAGGATCTGATCCAGATGATGAACGCAATGTTACAAGGAAATCAAATCGTGACAATGATGAAGAGGATGATGAGTACGACGATGAATTTGATATGCCTTTCTATGAAGATCCAAAATTTGCAAGCTTATATTATTACGAAGATGGAAATGCTCCGAGATTAGGTTTAAGTACATCCCTACCTTTGCTATTAAACGATGAAAAGATCTTGAAATTTAGAAAAAAGCAAGCCAAAAAAATGGAAAGAAAAGAACATATTAAAAGACGTAGGTTGTTAAAAAGTTCGAAAGTTGCTATAAAAAATGGTTCAAAAACTCCTGCTCTAGATAATGGAGAAGAATATATTTTCGGTGTGTTCTTTCAAAGTGATGAAGAAGACAGTCATAGTGGCAGTAATGGAAAACTAAAAGGAGAGACACCTTCAGGAAGCATATCTTTTAAAAAGAACTTAAGTTTAGAATCACCACTAAGGCATTTGGAGTCTACTAGCAGTGTGAAAAATGGATACTTGAGTTCGGATGATGAAAATAAAAATATTTTATTAGACGAAGCGCATATCCCTTCAGATGACGATGATGAAAGTACAAATGCAAATGACGGTAAGAAAACAAAATCTTCAAGTACCTTTTCAGATGACTCCGATTCTAGTTCAGAAGGCTTTTCAATAGAACTTGATGACGACGACGATGATATTAGTTTAACCAATGTTTTCATAGATATTGACGACTTAGATCCCGATTCATTTTACTTCCAAAACGATGAGGATGAAGAAGAAGATGATGATGATGTATACAAATATTATCACAATGGTTCATCGAGTGATTCTGATATTTTGTCTGATTCTACTGATATGGACACAGATAATAAGATAAAACAAGAAACTGAAATAGTTGAATATATTGATGATGAATCAACAGATGAAGATGACAACCTGCCACCACCTACATCTAGGAGCAAAAGTATGAGTACAAAAGCTAAAGAAGTGGTTGGTGCAAACGTAGTTGGGTTGCGTCCTCCAAAATTGGGAACATGGGAAACAAATAGTAAGCCATTTTCGATTATTGATGGTCTTTCGACAAAGTCATTATATCCATTGATTCAAGAACACCAACAATTAATGCAAGAAAGGGCCAACTCGCAATCTCCTGAACTTGATAGCCATGATGATGTTGTCACACCAAATGGAGATGAGTTGACATTGAATGAATTGTTAAATATGAGTGAACTTGATGATAATGAGGATGAAGATGATCATGAAAATGGAATAAGTCCTAAAGTACCCAATATAGAACAACCAGTTGCAACCTCCAATTGGTACGATAAACCTAGAGTTCCTCTATCAGCATTTAGAAACAAAGGTGTTAACTCTGAGTTGGAAGATGAATATCTAATACCCGTACATTCTACCAAAAAATTTCCAATTGGATATATTGGAGGTGAACGCACCAGAAGAAAGATTGATCGTATGAAAGAGTTTCAAAGAAAGGAAAATGAAAAAAGAAGGAAAATCAAGAAGAAGAAGAAATTATTAAAGTTAAAGAGAGAGCAAGAAAGGAAGGAAAAAGAACAGTCATTAATAGGTAATGAATTGGAAGGAACTAAATTAGAAGACCCTATATCACTGGTTGGAACTCAAGATGACGCTACTAAGACCACAATCAAGAGTGTAGGTCTGGATGAAATTAATGAGATTTTAGGAAAAGACAATAGTAGCATTTTAGAAATTAATAGTCATCTTGATGATTTGAATGGTGATGATATAGATATAGATATTGACATGGATATTGATGGAAAAGATATTCTTGATAGCAAGGATATTGATATCTTAACATCATTAACAGCACCTGTACCACTGGAAGATTTAGGAACTACTGGGACATCATTTTGGAGACGGAGACAGAGTATAGTTGAAGCTGCAGAAGAAAATATGAGATTCACGAAGAATGGGTTATTTAGTGAAAGCGCATTAGCTGATATAGAAGGGATACTTGAAGATGGTCAATCTTCAACCAATGCATTTGAACTTAATGAGGTATTACAATAATAAATGACGTTATTTGTTAGACATTATGTTTGTTTTCATTTTTTCTAGAAATTCAAGAAAAGAAGGCATATTTTTAAATTTATTGACAGTAATTCTGAAAAGTGTTATTATCATGATTTTTTTATAATCATATATTATAATATTATTATTTTCCGGTTTGTTTTGATTTGAATATTATTTGATTTTTATTCAGCTCTGTTTTAAATTATATTTTTTATCCTCAATTTAAAATACCAAAGACCAACAACATTCACTAATATACATTAATATATTAATCCAATTATAAATAGATTTTATTTCATTAATAGGTAAATACAACATTTATTAGGTAAAAAAATGGACAGCATTATTTAGTTTTAGCTTGTTTAAATCAGACACTTGATTATTAGATTGTTACATGTCTTTATTTACCCTGCACAAGGATACCGATATCAAAATGAAATTTTTCAAATAGGCAAAGCGATGAGATGAGATGAGATGAGATGAGCTTCTTAATATTGAATTATAGCTTAAGAAGAAGTGGATTTTAATGATGATGGGAGAGCATTGTGGATAGGTTCTATTGATAGAATCTGTTGGATTTGAGTTTAGGACAGATACAAGTGATATTAATTTATATTTCGGTGTAAATTTTGAAAAATGTCGTCTCAAGATATTAACATAAAGCGTAATGCTAATAAGAAAAAAAATAGAAGAAAGAAGAAGAGAAGAACAGCAAATTCATCATCAGAGTCTGATATATCGTTTTCTTCTGCATCTGAAAATGAACTGGCTAACGAAGAAACAGTAGGTGTTGATAAGTTTCAGGATATTGAGTTATCAGAGGAGGAAGAAGTAAGTGAAGAAAGTGAACAAATAGTAGATCTAAATGAGGTATCAAAGATTGAGGTCACTGAAGGAGCCAAGACAATTGAAAGCGTACCAATTAATACTGTTAAAGTAGAAGATAAGGAGTTGAAGAATAAATATTTAAGTTTGATCTTTGAAAATTTTGGTGATGACATTAATAAATTGAGAGAAGCTCCAGATTTTAAAAACAAGACATTGAGTTTACTTGCCAATGTATTAAAAGAAGGAAGTGAAATGTTTGATGAAGAAACATTGAGGACTATTCTTGAGACGAAATAATTAGTTTGGGATTACTTTTTAAATAGGCATTAATAAAATTTGTATAATAATAACAATAATAGAACAAGCATCTTAGATTTATTTAATGTAAGCATCATATTTTTTTAGTAGTAATGATTTCTAATTGAAATGTTATATATATAAATATATATATGTATATATATGATGATAATGTTAAATAATGTACAAAAACCTATAATTTCCAAATTTCGATGAAACAGAGTATACGTGTATCCAGGGCGGGAAACGGTTTGCAGAGAGTCTGTTGGTAATAGAGGTTGGATACCGTAAAATATACGTATACATTACTTGCTTACGTAATTGGGTGATGGATAGATTGATTGATTGATTTTATCGAGTGAAGAGATGTATGTATGTACGTTTTTAGATTATTCATTTGCTTCAATCAACCCAAAGTTTTAACTAGGAACCAAGCTGAACCAGCTGCTATACCACCCACAGCTACCATTTGGAGACCTTCTGTGATTTTCTTGGATAGTGAACATTCATCACCCATTGATAGTATAATTTTAACATAACCGAAGCAGAATAGAGTGATTACCATTAATATTATTGAGTAAAGTAGGCCGGTTCCTACGGATTGTACGAAGAAATAAGGGATTAGAGGTACCAAACCACCTACGAAATAACCACCACCGATAGTAACTGCAGAGATTAGTCTTCTATTTGGATCAGGTTCTTCTAAACCTTTACCATATCTTATGATGAAATCTACCATTAATTCAGGGTTTTTCTGTAAGTCTTTGATGAAGGTCAAGATAGTTTCGTCTGTGAAATCTGGGTTCATATCTAAAAGGATGTCCTCGACTTGGTGATTGACTAAACTTGGGTCATTGTAGAATACTTTTTTTTCATTTTTAACTTCAGCGATATAGTAATCAGATTCTGATTTTGCACCTAAATAACCACCTAAACCCATTGAGATTGTACCTGAAATCAATTCAGCGAAACCACCGGTGATGACCAATTTTGCATCACCTAGAGAGGACAGACCTGCAGTTAAAGCAAAAGGGACTGTCAAACCATCACTTAGACCAATAATTAGATCGCTAATTACCCTTGGATCGATTTTACCAAAGACCTTATTGATCAAAGAGCCTTGTAATATATCGTTTGGGAGGGCAGCATGTTCCAAATCGTCGTGGGTGTTTGTACCATAAGAGTTATCATTTGATTGATTGTTCAACAGGTTTTTATTATCGTTGTTATTACCATTTTCATTGATGATGCCAACCACAGCGTTTTTCAAAGCAACCACAGACATTGTTTCAAATTAACTCTTGAGATCGATAGGAGAGAGTTGTCAGAGGGGAGGGGCTTGTGTGTATTGTAGTTATTGGAATGGTTGTTTAAGGATAAAAGCAACAGTTGGGTGTAGTGAGAGTGTGTATATATGAGTATATGGATGAATATGTGAATATATATATATATTCTAGAGAGAAGAGAGAGTTGATTACAAATAGATGAGATAATAGTTTTTCAGTGATGAGATGAAGAGACAGTTTGAGGAAGGCAGTATGAGTTTGTAACTGTGATTGAAGTTGCCATTGAAGAAGTTGAAATTGAAGTTGAAGTTGATGTCATAATTGCAAGATTGAGATGGATTGTGCTAAGGCAGAGCAGGGTAGGGGTAGTTTGGTTATGGTGAAGTTTCGAGATGGGATGGGATGGGATGGATAGGTTATGAGTTGAGTTCAGTTAAGTTGAGTTAGAAGTTGTAGCCCTTTGGGAATTTTGTTTGCGGTTCGAAAGTGGACTGGGACGGGGACGGGACGAGAGTGAGAGTGAGAGCGTAAGCATAAGCATAAAGCGTGAGAGTGAGTATTTTTGCAAGGGGTTGTTGAAAATTTGTGCGTTTGCGTGTTTGTGTGTGGCTCTGTGATGCTTGGTAGGAGTGGGATACTTTCTAGTTTTTGGCGAGTTTGACCAATGAGATTGCAGAGTGTTAGTAATTGGTTCTTGTCTTGTTTGTATGTGTGTGTATTTTCACGTTTGTCACGTGTGCAATGATGTTCTGTCTCATCTCATCCCATCTCATCTCATCTCTTGACATTCTATCTTATACTACTAATCTCGTCTTATCTTATCTTATCTTATTTATTATAATAATACAACCCGAATATCTCTTATACAAAACGTTATTTAATTAAATACTGTAACTATGACTAACTACTAGCAATACTAAAACAGTAGTATATTCGATCCATTCTTATTACCTAGATTATACCCAGACGAGAGCTGTTCAATGCTCTCTCACTTACTCATATCGCACGTGTGTTTTTTTTTAAGTTTTAGTTTTAGTTTTGGTTCTGGTTTAAACCACTTCATTCTCCACTGGTCAGCTGACCGTACGGCAGATCAGATTTAAGCTTGAGTAGATGAAGAGTATTTGGTAACAGCTCTGGTACCTTCAGAAACAGCATGCTTGGCCAATTCACCTGGCAAGATCAATCTGACAGCAGTTTGGATTTCTCTGGCGGAGATGGTGGACTTCTTGTTGTATGCAGCCAATTTGGAGGCTTCAGTAGCAATTCTTTCGAAAATATCGTTAACAAAAGAATTCAAAATAGACATGGCCTTTTGGGAAATACCTGTGTCTGGATGGGTTTGTTTCAAAACCTTGTAGATGTATGATGAGTATGTTTCCTTTCTGGCCTTGGTTCTCTTCTTACCTTCACCACCGGCAGTTGGGGTCTTCTTGGCAGCGGCTGGGGCTTTGGAGGCAGGTTTCTTTTCGGCTTTGGCAGACATTATTGATATATGTGTGTATAGTTGTATTTGTGTTTACTTGGTGTTTCTTACAAGTACAATAGATATATAAGAAGTATGAGAGAATAGAATATACAAACACTAAAACAGTTTGACCCAAAATAAAAAATAATAAATTGAAAATTGAAAAAGATTGTTTCTAGCTTGCCCTTTATATATCTTTTCTGATAAGATATTTTTTTGCCATTTCAAACCATGCATGCTAAACTTTATTATCATTTATTCGCTTAATTTCACCACTCTTGCAAACACACACATGGACATGGACAAACAAATACTGTTATTGCCACCACACCACACACTCCCTGCCCACTCAATCACTCACTCTCACTCTCACTCTTGTCAGTAATAATCTCTCCCTCCAAAGAGTGAAATTGTCAGAACCCTCTTTCCGTTTTAGGAAATTGCAACGATCTCCCATACTTAACGGCCTATCCAATTTTTAATTCAATTCTGCCATTCTCATCGACAATTCAAGCCCATAGTTGCTGTTCCTTGTTTTTCTCCCTCCGTCGCGCGAAACTTGTGGTCCGGTCCCAGCTCCCGCCCGCTTCAGCATCGCATCGCGTCTGCTAACAAAAAACAACATTCACCTCACCATAATAACATAACACCAAGTACTGTAATGCCTGGAACTTCTTGATACCTAATACTCTCAATGCTATTGCTATTGATGCTTTAACATACTACTAACAAATAACATAGATATAGTTGTAGATATAGTTATAGTTATAATTATAGTTATAGAAAAACATTAGCACTACCACTACAACTCCACAGATTCGGTCGAACGTTCAAGTAAAGTAAAGTAAAGTAAAGTAAAGCAAATCAAATCTTATTCATTTAATGGTCCAAGTTACAATTATCTCCTAAGATTCCATTTTATGAAAAGTATAAAAGGACAACCAATGTTTTAGTTTGCAGATACTTTTTGGTTTTCATATTTCTCTTGTTTGCCATATTCTTATTCATCTCTATTAAATATTTTTAAATATAACTAAACTAAACAAAACTAATCAAAACACATATATATAAATCAAAAATGTCTGGTGGTAAAGCTGGTAAAGTTGGTACTGCTACTAAAGCCTCTCAAACAAGATCTGCTAAGGCTGGTCTAACGTTCCCAGTCGGTAGAGTTCACAGATTGTTGAGAAGAGGTAACTACGCTCAAAGAATTGGTTCTGGTGCTCCAGTCTACTTAACCGCTGTTTTAGAATATTTAGCTGCTGAAATCTTAGAATTGGCTGGTAATGCCGCTAGAGATAACAAAAAGACAAGAATCATTCCAAGACATTTACAATTGGCCATCAGAAATGATGACGAATTGAACAAATTGTTGGGTAACGTCACTATCGCTCAAGGTGGTGTCTTGCCAAACATTCACCAAAACTTATTGCCAAAGAAGTCCGCCAAGGCTGCCAAGGCTTCTCAAGAATTATAATAAGTTTGTTCATTGGTTTGTTGATCTTTCCCAAATTTATTATTGATTTTTTGTTTTATACTATTAAAATTCAAATCAATCATTTAAAACAAGATAAAAAGAATTAAAATTAAAAAAAAAACAAATACAATAAATTAAATTTTCGAATCTTTATTTCTATTCCCCCCCCCCCATTCAAATGATTTCGAAAATTTGGTGTATATACAGGTTATCTGGGTGTATAATTTAATATATTTAATCGTTTGGTGTCAGTTCACCAAAGCTATATTTAAATTGTGTAATATTATTATAAATCGATATTGTTATCTTTTAGAAAGAAGTCTCTTTTCCTTAAAAACAAAAATAGATCAATTAATTATTAGATTAGATTATAGTATATTATATTATTAACGTACTTAAAAATTATTAAAGTTTCTTAATCAAAACTTTCTTATAAAAAAGAATAGTTATTAATTGTATTAAAAGGTAAAAATATGTTTGAGTTACAATTAAAAATGTTCATTTGTAAAAAATGGATAATAAAAAAGAACAAAAACAAAATAAATTTGGTAGTATAAATTCGATATTTTGTTTAACTCTTTTTCCCCTTTATCTTTTGAACAATTTTTCAAAAAATCCCTTCTTCTTTGGTTTCTTGTCACCAACCCCACTCCCCGACATCGAATTCTTACTGACTTCAATTTCATCTGCATTACCAACCGGTGTAACGCTGTGTTTACGTCTTGATGAGATATTGCCAGCTTGTATTTGTTCATTAATAGATTGTCCACCTGTAACATGTCTACTTAAATCAACCATTGGATTAGGTGTAATCACCTCAGGAACGCTAGCAACAGGTTCCTCGACAATCATCTCCTCCCCACCAAAATTGTTACTAATGCCGCCAAATAAACTGTTCCCTTGAGAGCCAGAGAGGTTGGCATTCTTGGATGACGCTTTGAAACTATGGCCTGTTGATGATTCTTTTGTGCTAACTTGTCGTATAACGTTGTCACTAGTACGATCAAAATCACTTGGAATACTTGCTAGTTTATCTGATGGAGATATTTCATCAGAAATGACATTACTTGTTTTGCTAGTAATCTCAGTAGCATTGAAAACGTGTCCTGGTGTCACTTCAATTCCTTGAGGGGAAACCACTTCGTCTACAATATCCACCCCTTTGTTCTCTAGGACATCTAGTTGTTTCTCACCTTCACCTTTTTCATACTCTAATAGTTCTTTTTTCGATGGCTGATATCCACTGTTCTCATTTGAAAATTGAACAACTTTATCAATAACATTCTTGAATTTAAATTTCCCATTAGGATGAGGTTCGGTTGAAACTTTTGATATTTGTTCGCCAGCAACCTTTCCACCACCAATACTAGCTGTAGAAACTTTACGAAGTCCCAAGAATTTATGATTTGAATTTGTTTCTGCTTCACTTGTTGTTGGTACAATATTCTCAACCACTTGTGATGGAATATTCTGCTCATTAGCAGGAGGTCTATTCATTGTTGCAGGAACTGAATTAGCCACTGGCATACCCGATACATTTTTAACAGGAGTTTTTAATGGAATGGCGTTTGTAAATTGATGAGATTCATCGTACCTCTTTTGTGCAATTTCTAAAGCTCTACTATACATTTCTTCATCTGACATTGGAGATGTAGTACTTGGGACACCACCCACAACAGCACTACCTCTTTGAGATGTATTGACCTTTGGTTGATTACTTCCAAACTTATTACTCGAAGTTGGGACTGACTTACTGTGTAAAACGTTATTAGCAGCAGGCATTGATGAACCCCTCTTTTGAGATAAATTAAGTTTGTTCGTTCCAGCGTTTGTACCTGCATTACCTCTCAAAGACATTCTGTTGCTCATGTGGCTCTTATTGTCACCAACATTTTCAGTGCCTGGCATTCTATTTTGGTATACTTTCTTGCTAGCGATTTCGTAAGCTCTAGCATACATTTCTTCTTCAGTCAATGGTTGATTGTGTTGAGGCTCGGGTATAACTGTTGACTGTCTCGCATTTGGTGTTCTTTGTTTAACTTCATGAGTAGAGTTTCTAACAGAAGGTGCATGACTCTTTCTTAGACTACTACGTTTATCCCTTGGTGCCCTCTTCTTTTGCTTTACCGATCTCTTCATCTTATTAGGGGCAGTTTCTAATTCTTCTGCATCCGTAAATTTTGATATACTACTAGTATCATCTAAAGGAATTATACCATTTTGTTCATTCGCAAGTGGTGGAACTGGGGACACTAAAGCTCTATACCCATGGACATGTTTGTCAGAACTTTCGAATTCTCCATTTTGCGCAATCTCTGGGGTCATATCGAACTCCTCTTCTTCTAAAATTTCTGAAATTGGTTCATCCTGAATGAAGTTATCACTGAATTCATCGAAATGTCTATCGGCATCAGACATTTGTAATGGTGACTTGATTGTTTGTGTTGTAGTAGTGGTTGTTTCGACGTATTCATAACCATTTACTCTTTTAATAGTTTTCCTTGTTATTGATTGTGTTTTTCCATGAGGGTCTTTAACTTCTGTAGTCTGTACGGTGATAGAATTTGCTCTTGAACTATTACCGTTTGCTGTGTTTGATATTTTGGCCTTTGGAGCAGAACCTCTTCTAGTTGAAGTAATTGAGTTCAGTCTATTTGCCCCTAGGGTATCAGAGCTTGCCTGTGATCTTAATGAGTAACTTCTTCCTCCATTACTGGAATTTTTCAATTTATAATTTTGCAAGTTTGAAGAATGTGAACCTCTTCTGTTATTGTTATTGGCATTGACATTGTTATTATTTCTCATATTTTGCTGTAAATTTACCATTGATCTTGTTCTAGTAGTACTTGGAATACTTCTAGGTTTAGAATATTCATTTCCTGGAGCATGGCCAGTAGCCACTGAGTAAGCTGCATCTATAGAGATATCGTTGCTTGTATTATAATCTCCTTTATTTTGATAGTAGTAATCATAACGTGAAAGATCAGGAACTCTTCGTTCCTTTCTTGTAGAAATTCCAAATACCATTTATTCTTCGATTTTATATTTTGCAACAAGGCTAAAAAAAATAGTTGTATATATTTCCAATGGGCTGAGTTTATCTGATCCGTTTCCTCTTCACTTTAACCAACTAATTCTGCTTGCTATTATCGCTGGTAGTAGTATTGTGATTCTATTATTTCAATGCTGAATGAATATGTTCGAAATAATTATTGGGCTTTATGCTAATAATAGTGGATATATATAAATTTTTTTTCACTCTCCCTTGTTTAAATCAAAGACAATGGATGATGATGGTCCAGCAAACAAAGAAGAAAAAATATAAAAAGATAAATAAAAATAAAATACCTAGCCTCGAACCTCTTGTCCCAGTATGAAAACTTAACTCGTATTCTTCTTTAATTAGAAATCCAACGAAAAAAAAAAATTTAAATGGACTAAATCAATGGAGGGGATGATCCTTTACAGTTTAACTAACTTTCTGAAAGAGAACAGTGAAGACTAGAGACTTTTACGAAACTTTTAGACAATTTAAATATAATATATATAAAATGCAAACGCAAACGCAAGTGAAGGTGAAAATGAAAATGGAAATGAAAAGGAATATGAAAATGAAAATGTAGCTACTTGGTAAAAATTAAAAGTATACACCTTTACCGCAATTCATGATGAAAGTTTCCCATTTTTTCCTTCTAAACAAAGACCTTTCAATTTCGAACTTCAATTTCGAAATCATACTTGTAGATTGAAGCTTCGAAGTTCGAAATTCGAAATTGGGTTTGTTTGTTGTTTTTTTTGCCCAGTTGGATTTGGATTGGGCTGTCTTGAATTTTGACGTTTCTTTCAAGTTTTGCTACTGTTGTACTCTTCACGACAAGAATTTTCCATCGATCGATCATTTTTGCCATACAAAAATTAGGTTTTGCTGTTTCAGCAAAGGGGTTGGGTTTGTCTTAGAGTACTTGTTTGTTTTTATTATGTTCAAATTTGTTCTTGTTAAGTTTTTGAGGGGGAGGGTGAGAGAGGAAGAGAGGAAATGTTGTAGAGATGTGTGTTTTCCTTTATTTAATGTATTTTTGCTTGGTTTTGAAGGATTTTCTCAGTCCTGCGCTGTGTGGTAAGTCGTGGTGGGATGTGCTGTCCTGTGCTGTCCTGTGCAATGCTCTACCGTGCTGCTTTCGACGTGGAAGTTGGCAGGAAAAAGCAGAGACTAGCCGTTAGATGTGTGATATTCTTCTTTCGGAGGTAGCATTTTGTCACTGCAGCGGCGCACAGAGTGAAAAGCAAAGCAGAGCAAAATGAAAAAATAAAAAGAAGAAATAAATGTTCGGTCACGTGTGTAGATGTGTCAGTAAATTGAGTGGCTGATTGATGAATTTATTGATATAGTTGATGTGTGTGGGGGGGAGGAAAGATGATTATATATGTTTGATAGCATGGGGAATTATTTTGCTTGAGTCGTGGGGGTGTCAGTCAATGTTGACGACGAGGTTCTTGGTATTCCAATTGTTTGATTGGGGTGTTGTGGGAAGTGTTTGAAAATGAAAGGACTTCGAACTGTCTAGAGTTGGGGCCGCTTGAAATCATTAAATGTTTAAAGTGTGAATTTAAATATAGTTTTTAAATTTTGAGTTACCTTTATTTGAATTGTTTTCACTTAATAGGGAAATCTTGATGAGTTAGGAGGGGAGATTTGAATTGATAATGACTTAAGACACCGGAGCAATTTTATATAAGGTGATCTTTTCTTATAAGAGAATTTCCCCGGTTGTATTAATGCTGGGAATGAAGAGTTAATATTAAAGCGGGAGTCTGTGTATTTTATGTAGGATTAGGGAAACGTGTGGCCGAGCTGTGACGTGTTTTGGAAGAGTATGTCGATAGGGGTAATAACAGAACTCGTGGTAGAATAGAGATGAAGGGGAGTCTGTATGGGATGATAATTCTGGAT